TGCCAGGAGCTGGGACCGAACAATGAGAGCTCATTCCATCGTGGGGATTCAAACCGCCAACCTTCCAATCAGCAAGCCCAAGAGGCTCAGTGGTTTAGACCACAGCGCCACCCATGTCCCTAACTATGTCCCTAGCACCGGGGTCTGCTGACTATGGCATGCTCCAGCATCTGTTATACCCCATGAGCCTGTGATCCTGCATTGGAATCCACTTGTGAAGCAGAACTGGAGGAAGATATGGGCAACCACCCACCCACCTCTGCAGTGTTTTAAGGGCACTGCAACCAGCAGGTTGTAGGATACCACCCTTTTCAAAGGGAAAAACAAAAGCAGCATAAATTTGATGTCTCCCATCAGGATTTCATTCCCCTGATGGTCAGAAACAGCCTTTGCCTTCCAAGTACTGAGGTCACATGATTGTCTGATGATATAATCTAGGACTGCTTTGGAAGCAGCGGGGCAGGTTTCACCATTTCTAGCCGTTGTACCAAGTGGAGTGACACTGATTTAAACCCTGCCCCTTTGCTTGCTCCCTTTTGTCTGGTGCTTTCTCTCTGCCATGGCAGCACTGGGTGCTGTGATTACATCTCTGCTCCATTTCCTTTATAATTTATGTGGAGATCCTTCCACGGCAGGGAAATGCAAAGTGCATGAAGCATGGAGCAGCATGACAGTGTGTGAGATTTAGGGCAGGCATCAGAAACTGAAGGCGGAAAGTGGTCATGACTCAGGAAATTTCAAGGTCGTCCAACACAGAATGTGCCCAAGTCACAGAGCAATTTTATGTCCTGGAGATATTACTGTATTTCATTGCTTCCGAAAACCCCAGCGATTGCCTGTCACCGCTTTTTATGTATCTCTGTGTTTTATCTTGGGAGCAAAATGGATCAATAGTATTCATTTTGTAATGTTTACTACCAGAGGCTTAATCGCTAGCTTGCTCGATATCACACAGATATTTGGCTGAACTATAACTCCCCTCACACCTGGCCATTGGCTATGCTTGCTGGTGCTGGCGGGAGTTGTAGTTCAACCATGTCTGGGCAACCAAAAGTTCCCTCTACCTGCTTTCAGCAGAAGCACAATCCATCTCTCTATAGTGCGAAAGACTTTGTCCAGGGAGCCTATGGGCCTGCTCTGTCTGTGGTCCAAGTACTGCTAACTGCTGATGGGGAACTTCAAGGCCTCTGCAGTTACTCTTCTGGTTCTTGATGTCTAAACCACACACTTTTACCAAACCACCCTTCAAACAGAGGGTTGTCCTCTGTAAAGTTGGACCCGTGTCCTCACTAACCACCACAGGAGGCAGTAAAAAAAGAGAAGAGAGAACGAATGGTATTCAACAGGAGTCCTACCAAGAAAAGACCCACTGAATTCAATAGTTTATGAACTAATTATTATGAGACTGAGGAGAAAGGCGGGATAGAAATTTGATTAATAAAAGAATGAGTGTCACAGCACTGTCAGGCAAGGAATGTCCAGATCAAGAAATTAACTCGTTATTGTCAAAAGTATACTTACATGTTAGGGGAACGCATGCCCATCAGTCCTGCATCTCTTAGCTACTCCTAGGCGTGGGACTCAGGTGGTGCTGTGTTCCAGCAAAATACACCTCTGTTCCCGCATCGTTGCTTTCTCTTTGATACCTGGGTTGCTTCTATGTGATAAGAAGAGATGTGGGTGGTTCTGTGATCTAAACCACTGTCCCTCTTGGGCTTGCCAGTCAGAAAGTTGGCAGTTCGAATCCCCATGACGGAGTGAGCTCCTGTTGCTCTGTCCCAGCTCCTGCCAACCTAGCAGTTTGAAAGCACACCAGTGCAAGTGGATAAATAGGTACCGCTGTAGCGGGAAGGTAAACAGCGTTTCTGTGCACTCTGGTTTCCGTCACGGTGTCCCGTTGTGCCAGAAGCGGTGTGGTCATGCTGGCCACGACCCGGAAAGCTGTCTGTGGGCAAACACCAGCTCCCTCGGCCTGAAAAGCAAAATGAGCGCCGCAACCCCATAGTTGACTTTGACTGGACGTAACCATCCAGGGGTCCTTTACCTTTTTTACCTAGACCCACTGAATTCAGCAGTTTATGAACTAATTATTATGACCAATGTTGGATATCCCCTAGTGAATGCAGCAAAATGAGATTGGGAGGAAAGGTGGGGTAGAAATTTCATTTAAAAAATAATAGGAATGCCCAGAGTGAGGAATTAAATCATTATTGCCAAAAGTAGACTTACACATTAGGGGGAAGCATGACCATCAGTCCTGTGTCTCTCAGCTACCCCTGGGCCATCTTACCCATAGGTGCTAGGGGTGTGGGGCACCTGGGTGCTGGGCTCTCAGGGGCGCCAGGCCGAGAGTCCGGGGCCTGAGAGTTGAGTCTGGGGAAGAGCCTGCCCATCAGTCGGAGCGCCGCGACGGGCTCTTCTGCTGCGGGCAGCTCTGCGCCACGAGTTCAGGGGCGACCGAGCTAGCAAGACGCTGAGGCGGCCAGCCGGCTCCAACCTCCTGCATGCCTGGGACTGGGCAACCTGGGGGGAGCCCCCGCTGGGCAGATCTTTGCACCCCGGTTCCGCATATGCTTTAGACAACCCTGCCTGTGTGTAACCTGTTTCTGTTCCTCTCACTGCAGTCCTCTTCTGGTTCTGGAAGACAGTGGAATAGGAGAGGTGGGGGGAAGGAGAAGGTGTAGAAGCCCTTGACTCGCCACCAGCCTGACCTCTCTCTCCCTGCTCCTGCACCTGCGCTTCACTCTCCAATCCAGCAGCTTCTCCTGCCTCCACCTCTTGTCTCCTGGCTGTTACAGGTTCTCCCAGATCACTGCTTCCTTCTTCCAACCCTGCTTCTTCCAGTGCCCACTCATCATACTGGCAGGAGCTCTGCTGGACCACTTGTGTCAGCCACCCCCTTTCCTGCATCTCTGCCAATTGCCTCCGAATTTCTACCTTCTGCATTTCAGCTGCATCCTGTTCCTGGTTTCCAGCGATTCAGGTTCAATGCCAAATAATCCAATTAAGATGCTTTCAGAAAAGTCCCTGGTGGGCTGAATATATTTGTGACATCCAGCCTACGTTCAAAGGGGCCTGAGAAAGACAGTCTGACTGGAGTCGCACATGGAAGGTTGTGTATTATCTGGTGCTCGTCTGAGATCTTTAGTCTCATAGGGGCAGCCAGCAAAGTTAGTTCAGAATCTGAAGTAGGTGGGGAGCTTGGAATCCGGTCTGGTAGACTTGGGCAGCTCCAAGGAGCCCTGCTAATGTAGCTGCTGGATATGTTGTCTCTGCAGGGAACTATATCATGTCTAAGTAGTCCTGGAAAATGGTCCCCACTTGAGCTGTTATGGCTGTGAGCATCGCAGGATGCTTCAAAGGAACAGTTTAAGGAAATTATTATTTATTGCAGAAAGGTATTCCTTTTACATAAAAGCTTCTGAATTCAACGTTTGCTGTTCTTGTTCCATTTTATCCATTTCTGATACTGTTCACATACTCTTAAATCCACACACAGGAACTTGGGCTTGGTGACAAGGTCCTCAACCAGTGTTTCTCAAACGTGGGTCTCCAGCTGTTGTTGGACAACAACTCCCATCATCCCTTGCTAGTTGGACCAGTGGTCAGGGATGATGGGAATTGTATTCCAAAAAACAGCTGGAGACCCTGGAAAACCCTGTTCTAGACTAAAGAATGGGGTGCTGTCACAGGACTGTACCTCCCATCACCCCTGACCATTGGCCATTCTGACTGGGGCTGATGGAGCCCAATAACATCTGGAGGGCCACAGGTCCCTCACCCCTGTTCTAGACATTTCTGTTGGTTATAACAAAATAATTGGTTCCCCATTAATTAATTTAAAGATTATTTTTTAGATGAAAGCTGCATTTAAATATGATTGTGTGTCAAAATACTCAAATTTAAATATGCATTTAATTTTCAGACTAATGCGGACAGGGAATGGGATGGAATTATGAGTGATAACATGTTAAATTGGCATGGGTCAAAAATAGTCAGATTCACCCATCCCTAAGTAGGTGCTCAAGACTATTAACTGATGCTTGAGACTAGACCAGTCAATCAGCCAATCTAATTGCTCCATTTTATTGTCGTTAAATCATTAGATGAGAGGTTTATCTAGCACCGGCATGAAAAGGGGCGATCCGGCAGCTTGACTCCAGTTTATGAGCAAAACAGAATTTCATGGGCTTCTGTGATGTTCCACACAGTTATCTTAACCCATTCCATCTGGGAACTTGAGATAAGCCTTGCAGCTGAGAGATTGGAGGAGGGTATTTTGGAGTCGATATATCTGTGATGTTTGGCTGCTTATTTGTGCTTGAATTTAATCTGTGGCCTGATTGGCAATTATGCCAGCCAGGCAATTTTGTAGGATTGTGGCTCAGGGAAGGTGACAGAGAGAGAAAGAAAAATTAATGAGGAAATTGTCTTACTTAATTTATTATCATTATAGTGCACTTTTTCTAACAATAACGATAAAACATGTCCAGCACAGGAATGTGCGTGTGAGAAAGTGTTCATGAAACTTGTTTGTTATAGGTTTGGGCACCATATATTTTCGCACAATGGTTTCCTGGGATCAAGGAGTAAGTTCTCATTTGTTTGGATGCATCTGAACGCCATTTTGAATCAAGATGGTGGAATGAACTTTCCAAAGCTGCACTGGTTTCAAAACAACACTTTTAAAAGCATTTGACGTTTCTTAATCATGAGAGAGAATATCACTTAAAAACCTAGTATGGTTACCAAAGAGCGACAAAACGGGTTGGGTAAGAGAAGAATACTTCAGCCATTGCATTTTGGTTGCCTGAATGCATACAGGGTTTAACTATGGCCATTTAAAAGGGACATTTTTTCAGCTAACAATGACACAGTAGATTAGCTGGGAGTGTGAAGAAAAGCCAGCTGCCCTCAGCTACAAATCTAGTGGAGAGAACTTAATGTTCCGTCTTGAGAGAGGAGACGTATAAAGTGTGCAGAGGCCATGGGTGCCTAATATAGGCAGCTGAAGCCTCACATCCTTGCAAAATATCAACCAGAGGACTCAATAAGAAATGAATGTGGCCCTCCAGGCATGTTTATCTGGCCCTCAGGACTCTCCCCAGGACGCCTTACTGGCCCTGCCCTGAACTCTCAAGTGCTTTTGCCTGGCTGAAATGTGTCTCTGAGCTGTGATAATGCCTTCGCTGGATGGAAAGAGGGTTGTGTGTGTGTTTGTGGAATGTGGCATACTGTGGAACAGTGGTGTAGCGTGGGTTGCCGGTGCCCAGGGCAGGGCAAGTGTTTTGCCCCCTGGTGGACTGGGCAGCTGGGGTATGGGTGGCTGCTCCAGGGGGTGTATGCAGAGCCCAAATGGAGGGTGAACAGAGCCCACCTCCAACAGGCTCCTCACCTGCCCAGACATGAGGTTCCCCCAGGGCACAGCTTTAGGAAGTGTTACACACTTGAAATGCAAACGCTGCAAAATTACCCTTTTAAAATGGCGACCACAATCATTCTTGACTCAGGGTTTTATTTATTTCTAGCATCCAGAGCAGGCTGCATCGTTTGATGATGATTTTTGTGCGTCTAATGCAGTAGGCTTTTCCGTGGGAAAGCTATGCCTTGATGAATGTGTGCTACGAGACATGTCGTCTTTTTCCTTTGCTGCAACAGACCAAGAGCACCACAGCTGCTCCCTTGGATGTGAAGGAGGAGATCAAGCATCGCTGCTACTATGCTACAGGCTCTGGTGCACTGTGCCTTTAAGATTATGTCTGTGTTTCCAGCTTTCTGGTCTTTCCCAGACTCAGGAGTGCCAGATGCCATCAAGAGGGGAAATAAGGGAGTCCATGTCAAGATCCGTCAGCTTCTGGTTCTGCTTTGAGATACCTGGTGGTACCCAACGCTTTCCCCCCATGTTCTCGAGATCTGATTGTTGCTGCTGCCTTTCCAAACCCTGAGTTTTGAAACATCCAGAAACTCCTGAGATGTCGTCTGGAGGTGCTTCTTCAGCAAAGTCCTGCAAGAGGTCGAAAACGGTGAAGCGCCATGCCAGCATCTACACCTACCAGGAGCCACCCCACAGGTGAGAGATTGCCTTTGGATAGGATAGGCTAGACTAGAAAGGCTATGGGGAACCAGGTACAAAGAGAGACTGCTGCTGCTCAGGGTTGCTTGCACAAAGCTGCTGCTGAGGTTAGATTCTATTCAGTCCTTATTAAGCACTCTTGTTTATAGGATGAATTTGTCCTGCATTCATCCTGATTTGCTTACAGGGTGTTTATACATCTTCATGTTATTCATTCATCCCACCCTTTTCAGTGCTTTTCCTTGTCACTTTCCAAACTGCAAAAAGTCAGATTCATTATTTTTTTTAAGGGACTTTGCTGCACCTGGGTAACAGCACACTTCAACCCACTTCAGTTGCACAAAGCTAAATTTCTGGTATGCACCACAAAACAGTGACAGTCTGGAGGAGCCCTAAGAGAGGGAATTTAATTAGGTACTGATTCTCTCATGCTTGCCTGACAGGCTTCACCAGCCAAAAATGCCCCCTTTTATTCAGTTGTTCCAAGTACAAGAGCATAGTCCCTTTGGGGATTTTCTCATTCTCTCTCTCTCTCTCTCTCTCTCTCTCTCTCTCTCACTCACCCACCCACCCACACACATCTACTTCATTGTTCTTATTATTAGAAAATCGTTGCTGTCCCTCCTTCTGTCACTCAGACACCCAAGGAGTCTAACACATGGTTTAAAAATGAACACACTCAGAACACTATTCTGGGTATAGCACCCGCGCAGTCCAAATTAACAATCTAACCCAAGCACTGCTTTTGCAACTGGCCTTTTGTAATGCCCTGAAATGATGCGTGCAGGAACCTGCATTTTAAAATCTCCGTTGCCTGCAAGTTTTCAGATGCTGTTTCTCTGCACTTCCAGTGTTGAATTCCAACGCCGTGCATTTCTATTTCTGAAAGATCCCAGCTTTATTGATAAGATTTCGGCAGGGTGGCAAGCGATTAAATCTCTTTGGTTGTTTATTTGTTCGGAGACTTGTTTTATGAATGTAGGAAAGTGTGGTCTTCTGCATCTCCTTCGCACACACATCTTCACAACCACCATTGCAAAGAGGAATACTGTCCATGCAGTTTATGCCTCTAGATGCTGTCTGAATTCAGTAAATGTATATTATTATTATTATTATTATTATTATTACTACTACTACTGCTACAACTACTAGTAGTATTGTTATATGGTTCCCCACCTTTTCTCCAATGAGTTCAAGGCAACTTACATAGGTCTCCTTCTTCCCATTCCACCCTCACAACAAGCCTGTGAGGTAGGTTAGGATGAGAGATAATGACTCTGGCTCAAACATCATGGCTGAGTGGGGATTTAAACCCTGGTTTCCCAGGTCCCAACCCAACCCTCTGACCACTACACAACACTGCCCCTCTTATGTGCAACAGGAAATTGTTAGCAATGAGTCTTGGTTTAAAAAGTCAGACACATGCTACCTACTTCCCTCAGAGTGTAGTCCTGTGTGTATCAACTCTAACATAAGGGGAACCCAAATAAAGCTCAGTGAGGCTTACTCCCAGGTAAGCATATATAGGATTGCTTTCCTCCTTGTCCCTTTCCCCTTGTGTGTTGTGGATTCTTTTTAGATGGCAAGCCTGTGGATAGGGACTCTCTTGATTATATGTTTGCCCCTCTGGGAATCTTTTTGGATGAAGAGTGGGGTACAAATGCTCTTAAATAGATAAATATATAGGATGGCAGCCTCAGTGGCAGAGGAATAATATTGCTATTTTAAAACTAAGGTTGCTGTCGCCGTCATATGCATATTTACTTCGGAGCAAATCAAATTGGGGGACCTATATCTGGTTAAATATGCAGAGGATCTGGTTGCAGAACCCTTTATTCGCAGTCCCGGGGAATTGATGGCCTTGAGCCATTTATTCTATTGTTATTTACACATACACACACTTCTAGAAAGAAGCACTGTGTTATCAGTGCAGCTCAGATGGAAGACGATGCAGAGCTGCAATTAAATGTGCAGCAAGCACTTGTAATGGAAAACGCAGACATGCCACTTCAGTCCTACGGAGCCATGTGTTTACAACAGGGCAGTCCAAAATGCAGGTAGTTCTCGAGGCCTTTTTTCCAGCCCTCGGCAACATTTGAACTCCCCCTTCACTCCGAAAAACCCCTTGCGCTGCCTTCCCAAAGCCAGGTAAGAGAGTTGCTGGGCTTGAGGAAGGAAGCATGAGGGCTCTGGCAGCTTCCTGTTATGTACTGAAGTTCTCACCCTGGGCCAGCAGGGGGATACTGTAGATAGTTATGCAAATAAGGGATCGAAAGTGACGTTCAGTGATTGGATAGTTTTTGAAAATTGTTACAGTTATGTTGTACTGGAGCTCTATATAAGCAGCTGGCTGAACCCTTCAGTTCAGTTCTGTTCTGGCCTGTGAATAAACAAGAGTTGTTTGAAGAATCGCTGTGTCGTCTGATATGTTCACCCACAACTTAACACCTAGAGTCCCCCATCCTTCTTCCCAGAGCCTAGAGAGCCCTTTCCCAGCTTTGGGAAGAAGGTAGAAGGGCTCTAGGACCCTGGGAGAGCTTTGTGCCTCCTTCCCAAAGCCCGCCACATCACTTATCCAGCTTTGGGAAGGCAGCATGAGGGCAGGGGGCACTCAAATTTTGGCCTCCCTCCCAACATGACAAGTACAGCCCGTGGGTTCCATGTCTTTTTTCCCCATTTTTTTTTATTGATTTTCCAAAATTTTTGAACAAACAAACATACATCTTAACTTTACTTGATCCAATCTTGGTAACATTGTTAAGTGACTTCCTCAAATCTCCCTGGCTGAATTTCAGTGTATATCATTGTAATAGTTTTCCAAAACCAATTTTCTCATAAAATTAACTTAATCACTTAACATCGTTCTTTCTTTTCATTTTGACTTTAAACATATTATTCTCTAACGTCACATATTTAAATCCTAAGCCTATCTGGTATTTGCAAGTTTTCCCAATTAAGTTATCTTAGCATATTTAACTAAATAGTCTTTGAATTTCATCCATTCCTTCTGGTACTCCTCCTCCTTCTGGTCGCGGACTCTTCCAGTCAGGTTGGCTAGCTCTGAAAAGTCCATTATCTTCATCTGCCATTCCTCCACTGTTGGGACTTCTGGTGATTTCCAATTCTTAGCTAACAAAATTCTAGCTGCAGTTGTGGCATACAAAAACAATCTAACATCTTTTTTGGGCAATTCCAAACCTATTATTCCAAGAAGAAAGGCCTCTGGTTTCTTAATAAATGTATATTTCAACATTTTTTTTCAATTCATTATAAATCTTCTCCCAGCAGTCTTTCACCTTGGGGCAGGTCCACCAAATATGATAAAAGGTACCCTCCTTTTCTTTACATTTCCAACATAGATTATCTCTATTATGATATATCTTTGCTAGTTTTACAGGGGTTAAGTACCATCTATACACCATTTTCATAATATTTTCCTTTAACACCATACGTGCAGTGAACTTGACTGTGGGTTCCATGTCAAAATACTCTTGCGGCCCACTTGGTATAAAAAGTTAACCGCCCTGGTCTACAAATAAAGTGCCTTGGTCAAGCCTTGAAGTCAGAAAGACAGGTAGCCCGGCTTATCTGGGACAATTTCGGTTCTCTCGGTTTCTTACTTTAACAATCTTAAATTCAGTTCTCCACATTTCTGCAGCAATTTGGGATTTTCTTAAGGAAAATAAATCTCCCCAGGAAATTTTTGTATCGTTTTGTTGCAGGTTTCTCCCAGTAGGCACATTTTTAATACAGTTTTGACTAATGTGCACATTTTTGCAAGCAATATAATTCTACTACAATTTTTTTCAGTTATTTTCACTTACATTCCCATCGCTGTGCACACATTCTCCTAATGTACGCCATTTTTGTCAACACTTGTTGGAAAACTGCATCACAAAAAATCCAGGTAACTGTAATACAGTGGTGCCTCGCAAGACGAAATTAATCCGTTCCGCGAGTGTCTTCGTCTAGCGGTTTTTTCGTCTTGCGAAGCAACCCTATTAGCGGCTTAACGGATTAGCGCTATTAGCGGTTTAGCGGCTATTAAAGGCTTAAAGGCTTAGCGGATTAGCTGCTAAAAGGCTATTAAAGGCTTAGCGGCTTAGATAAAGGGGGGGGGGAGCGAAAAAAAAATCTCAAGACTCGCAAGACATTTTCGTCTTGCGAAGCAAGCCCATAGGGAAATTCGTCCTGCGAAGCAAATCAAAAACGGAAAACCCTTTCGTCTAGCGGGTTTTCCGTCTTGCGAGGCATTCGTCTTGCGGGGCACCACTGTAAAAGATGGTCGGTTCATTTATTCTCTTATTGTTTTGAATGTGAAAATGTGATAGATGTGTCTTTAAATGTGAACTGAGTTGAATTTCCTCCCTGGGCTAGATTTCTCTACTTGGGAGTAAGCCCCATTAAACTGAGCAATGTCTGATTAGAGATGTGTTGAATTGTGGTGTTGGGGGCTGCGTTTATCAGTCTGCTGTTTAAAGCACAGAAGCATTCAGAAAAGGTGGACTAAATTAAGTACCAGAGTCACAAGGATTGAAATATCCAACCATCTGTTTGTATGATGGGGGTTTCTAGATAATCTGCACTGATGCAACCTGTATGTTTTACTGATGCAACCTTTTGCTTTTGGCTGAAAAATCACTGTGATGATAACTCACCGTGCGCTCTCTGTGTGTGTATGTACATGCACCATGGGATATCGGCCATACCTAGCAACTCGGATGAAGATAATGGGGATGAGAAGGTTGACAGCAGTGACCCAGAACAGATCTTCCAGAATATACAGTTTCAGAAGGAGATCATGGCCAACATCCGTTGCAGACCCTGGCCCATGAGGCAGAAACTCAGGGCGTTAAGGTAATGGAAATTCTCCAACAACATCAGTCATTTCTGAAACATACACCCTTGTGGGTTTTGTGATCTCAAATCATTTACATTTTCCAAGAAACAAATCAATGGCTGCATCTGCCTAGTGATAAGCAGTAGGTAATATTCTGTAAGTCAACAGTAGAACCATTAATCTGCAGGATTTCAGAGGGTGATCTTCTTAGGTCTACCTGGAAATAATAAATAAATAAATGCATACATACACACATACATACATACTATCTGGCCAGGCCTCCCCAGCCACTCTGGGCAGATTCCAGCAGGATATTAAAAACACAATAAAACATCAAACATTAAAAACTTCCCTAAACAAGGCTGCCTTCAGATGTCTTCTGAAAGTCAGATAGTTGTTTATTTCCTTGAAATCTGGTGGGAGGGCGTTCCACAGGGCGGGCGCCACTGCCGAGAAGGCTATGTCAGGGCTCCTTCAGGCACTGTAGTGGTTAAACACCTTCTTCCTTAGTTTTTGTTTTCTTAAATTTCTTTGTTTAAGAGAAAACATTGAGTGGAATTACAGACCCTCCAAGTGTCCCAGTTTTCCAGAGACAGCCCCAGATTTACAGAAGTCATCCCGGTTTCTGATTTGATCCCAGAATGTCTCACTTTTTCTTAGGACATCCCTAGTTTCATCGGAGAAATGCTAGAGGTTATAGAGTTATGCGACCCCCCCAAACCAAGTAAACCTTTAGAAGACATCTGAAGGCAGCTCTGCATAGGGAAGGGTTTTTTTTTTAATGTTGAATGTTTTATTAAGGTTTTTATATGTATTGGAAGCCACCTAGAGTGGCTGGGGCAACGCAGTCAGATGGGTGGGGTATAAATAATAAAATTATTATTATTATTATTGAATGGGGCATCCCTATTTTCATCAGAGAAATGTTGGAGGGTATGGATTTAGCATTGTTGCAATGCTCCAATTTCTTTTAAGTGTAGAGAGAGAGGGGAAGGTCCACAAGGCAGGTTGCATTTTGCAGCAGTAATTTGCGCTCCTTGGCAAGTTCGTTAGATGTTATTTATGAGAGGGGGACGTCAGGAGCTGGGGATGTAATGAGATTTTGGCCACGCGGAATGAATCTCTCGTCTTCCTTGGCAGACAAGCCAAAGAGATTGTACTGAAGTACGAAGGTCGGCTGACTCGAACGAGAGGCTACCAGGCAGCCGGAGCTGAGGTTGGTCTGCTTTTCATTACAAGCTCCTGAACTCGCTTTCCATGAAAGTGATTGAGGATTTCCATTTGCAGAGGGAAATGTTTCCAAGTCATCATTATTAACTAAATGAAAAAAAAAGAGGGCAGCAAGTTAGAGGTTGCCGGCATATCTGTCTGGCAGAAATTCTGAAGGGGAAGCTTTCACAGCCTTGCAATATATATACAGTGGCACCTCAGGTTACATACACTTCAGGTTACAGACTCCGCTAACCCAGAAATAGTGCTTCAGGTTAAGAACTTTGCTTTAGGATGAGAACAGAAATTGTGCTTCGGCAGCGTGGCGGCAGCAGGAGGCCCCATTAGCTAAAGTGGTGCTTCAGGTTAAGAACAGTTTCAGGTTAAGAACGGACCTCTGGAACGAATTAAGTACTTAACCCGAGGTAGCACTGTATAGGACTAAATATATATAAATATAAAGGACTAGTGGGGCGTGTCTGTCACCGCCCAGGAATTTTTAGAAGTGTAATTTCTGACTTTGGACCCATTGTGCCAAAAATTGCCCCAAGTCATGCCCAAGTCACATGTTGGTTTGCCATCTTGATTCAAAATGGCGGACAGCAACATGGACAAAAACTGTCTCCCCCACCTCAGGAGCCCTCGTGCCAAGTTTAGTATCAATATTTCAAGAGGCAGCCGAGCCGTTTGAGAACCATTTTCCCAAATATTGTTACAGATTTGGGAGGGATCCCTCAAACCCTATAAATTAATACAGTGGTACCTCGGGTTACATACGCTTCAGGTCACATACGCTTCAGATCATCCATGAATCTGCCCAACCCTATTTGAAAGCCACCGCTGCCTCTTGTGGCAGCGAGTTCCACAGATTTAACTGTGCTCTGGGTGAATTGCTCTCTCTTTATCTTTTAGCATTCAGCTGTGTCTTATGTCCAATACACTGGTACCTCGGGTTACAGACGCTTCAGGTTACAGACCCTTCAGGTTACAGACTAACCCAGAAATAGTACCTCGGGTTAAGAACTTTGCTTAAGAACTTTAAGAACTTTGAGAACAGAAATTGTGCTCCGGCAGTGCGGCAGCAGCGGGATTAGCTAAAGTGGTGCTTCAGGTTAAGAACAGTTTCGGGTTAAGAACGGACCTCCAGAACGAATTAAGTACTTAACCCGAGGTACCACTGTAAATGGTAGTGTTTACCCCTTAACCTTTTCTTCTCCTGAAGATATCCCGCAAGGCAGTGGAGGTTTAGGACCAGAGTTTTCCTTCTCCTAGATGGGCTACCTTCCCAGGTTGACAAGCCCCATCTACCCCACAGTTCCCTCTCCGGAATGTGCAGAAACCGCCTTCTTGACTGTTCCACCCACTAATGGTCATGTTCACTCAATCCACCAGAGCTTGTTCTCACATACAGAGGAAGTCGCTGACTCACCAAGGGTTTGAGACCCATCAGCTACCGTCACCTGGTTTAGCCAACCAATCAAAGCTGTTCCTGGAGTGTGGCTGCTGTCACATGCTGACAGCTTCTAGGAGCCACAGACGGGAGCTGAGTGCAGGATGGGGCCCAAAGGTGGACAAACCACCCTAGAAGAAGCACATGTCCCTCACCAGAGGTACTTACTGAAGTGTAGGTGGGTTTCCATGAGGCAAGACAGTGATAACAGCAAGAACCTTTATTGAACCACATAACTGGGAAACAGGGGCAAAGCAACTGCTTATATACAATCCTGAAATCCTGGGCCACTCCCACTCCCAATGTGATTGGCTGTCTAAACTTCCAAGCTGCGAATCACGGCTCAGAGTTCAAGGGCCAATGGCAGAGGCCCAAATCCTGAAATGTTCTGTGATTGGACATCATGTATCGAATCAGAACACAGGAGCTCGGAATCCTTAGTCCAGACTCAAGCTCAGGCAAACACAGACCACTGAATACATAACACTAACCCTCCCCTAACACCCCATACACCCCATGGAAGTTGTAGGCTAGCCACATCTGGAGGCTGGCAGATGCCCCTTTGCTGCTTTACAATATATTGCCTTTATCTGTGCCATTGATGTGGTTTTCTGATTGATTGAGAAGGTCTGTGCCATCTGTTAATTTTTTGTTTAATTAAAATACTTCCACTTACAGCAATAAAGCCTTGGAAGACCCGTGAAATTAATTAGCTTTGACCACGGCATTGATTATTCATGAGTTAACAAAAATCTGGCTCGAAAGAAATTGACTGTGCATGAGCAACTAGCGACCAGAGAAGGCGGCCTCTTGAGATTGACTAATGGGCTGAACCATCATAGGCAGGACAATGTTATTGCTTTCTCAATACCATGGAGCAAAAGGGTCAAATGAGAAATTTTGCCCAAAGCGCAGTTCAGCATGAAATGGAGAGTTACTCCATGAGCAAAATGTCTGAGGAATTTTAAAAGAAATACAGTGGTACCTCAGGTTAAGAACTTAATTCGTTCTGGAGGTCTGTTCTTAACCTGAAACTGTTCTTTACCTGAAGCACCACTTTGGCTAATGGGGCCTCCTGCTGCCGCTGCGCCACCGGAGTACGATTTCTGTTCTCATCCTGAAGCAAAGTTCTTAACCCAAGGTAATATTTCTGGGTTAGCGGAGTCTGTAACCTGAAGCATATGTAACCTGAGGTACCACTGTACATGTTATCAAATGTCAGAGAACTTTCTCCTCTGGGCCAGGTTTGAGGGGGACACTGGGAGTGCCCCACGTCATTGTAGTCAGATGTTTGTATTTTGTTTTGCCAAAAAGTGTGGCCAAAGTGGCTTGCAACAAATGATATGAACACAAAAGTTGTTGTTGTTGTTGTTGTTAATACCCCATCTATCTGGATGGGTTTCCCCAGCCACACTGGGCAGCACCTAGCAGAATAATAAGAATAAGAATAATAATAATGCAATAAAACATCAAACATTAAAAACTAATAGAGAAGACTTGGTTGTGGCTGGGGAAACCCAGCCAGATGGGTGGGGTATAAATAGTACAACAACTACTACTACTACTACTACTACTACTACTACTACTACTTTAATAATTATTATTTTTATTAAACCACTCTGGGAATTGTAGTTCTGTGAGAGAAATGGGGGGTGGTCCTCTTAACAATTTTCCAAGCCCTTAACAAACTACACTTCCCAGGATTCCTTGGGGAAAGCCGTGACTGTTTAAGGTGGTATGATACTGCATTGAATGTACAGTGCAGATGGGACCTAAATGCTGAGAACGATCCCTTGTGTCAGCAGAGTGTATTCCTTTCATGTGAACTAAAGCTGTTTCTAATATGTCTGTGTTTTTCCTAGCTGTGGCGAAAATTTATTCGGCTTGCATATAACTTTGTGGTCATCTTTATTCCCTGGGAAATGAGAATCAAGAAAATAGAAAGTAAGTATGGAGGGAGGCTAATTAACTAAGATGTTGCCTGTCATGGCAAAGTGCTGGGAATAAGGCTTTCACTTTGGCTTATTGAAAATATTATATAATATTATATTATATTATAGATAGATGATGATAGATAGATAGATAGATAGATAGATAGATAGATAGATGATAGATAGATAGATACATAGATAGATAGATGATAGATGATAGATAGATATAGATAGATAGATAGATAGATAGATAGATAGATAGATAGATAGATGATAGATGCTTCCAACATTTGTCAAATTGAGCCAATTAAATCAACATTCCCTTATTTTTGAGCTGAGGTTCTAAAGCACACTTCCCTCAGAGTAACACTGCAATCTTGCATGTTTCTACTTGGAAGAAGGGATGGAAGAATCTGCCAACTTCAGTCTGTCATTTTTCCTCCCAATCTAAAGTTTAGTTCGTCTCATTTCTGAATCCGTTTGTGATTATCAGTGCTATTTTGGTGGGAAAAGAGGTGCCGGAACTCACCACAAATGCCTTCCTTGTTCTCTTAGCATGGCAATGGCGTCCATCTGAGAGGTGCAGGAACTGGGTTCCGGCGGGTTCCGGCTGGGAAGAAAACCCTGGTTATTATTTTGTTATTTTTTTAATGCGGTGTGAAAATTCACCAGCATTTTCTTGTGACATTCTCCTAATGCCTGGGAGAGGGCAATCTCTGTGGTAGCCTCTTAAGTTGCCAAACTGCCTCCCCACAGGAGGGACCTTTGTTATGCAGCTACCGTCAAATGCTGAAGACCTTCAAATGCTGAGGTCCCAGGCTTTTGACACTTCAGATGTATGTTTTTAGGGCCCACGTTATTTCTGTGGGGGCAAGTTGTTAGAAACTCTTTTTAATATTGTGTTTTAATTGTTGTAACCCATCCTGGGACCATGGGGGGTGAAGGGAATAGAATAGAATAGAATAGAATAGAATAGAATAGAATAGAATAATAATGCTAATACTCCCCCCCCCCTTTTGTGATTGAAGGTCACTTTGGTTCTGGAGTTGCCTCTTACTTTATTTTTTTGAGATGGCTATTTGGAATCAATATTGTTCTCACCATCATGACAGGAACATTTGTTGTTTTACCAGAGGTAAGCAATGCTCGTTGGATGGTATTTCTTGGTGGGATGTGTGGAGAGTTATTTATTTATTCATTCAGAAGTGGTATACAAAAACACAACATCATACCAAAAACAAAACAAAAAAACCCATGAAAAGGAGAGATACAACATTTAAACAAAACAAAACAAAAACAAAACACCAGCAAAATTGCACTATAAAAACAGGAATTCGGTAACAGGAGTCCAGTCTTATGTGTTAGGTACACTACTGCCTGCCTGCTGTGGTGTGGTGTGGTGTGGGAGATTTGGCATGGTATGTGCTTATTTATTTATTTATAAATTAAAGCATGTATATACTGGCTTTTGGCCCTCAAAAGAGCTGCCCCAGGTGGTTTACATCTTGATACAATTTAAAAACTGAAAGCAATCAACACCTAGGTTCATATGCAAAGAGGCAGTCCTTGAGGTGTTTTCACATACCCTCCAACATTTCTCCAATGAAAATAAGGATGTCCTATTCAACAACAACAACAACAACAATTTATTATTTATGCCCGACCCATCTGACTGGGTTGCCCCAGCTAATCTGGGTGGCTTCTAACATATATAAAAACATAATAAAACATTAAACATAAAAAACCTTCCCTTTACAGAACTGCCTTCTGAAGTCTTCTAAATGTTGTATAGTTACTTATCTCCTTGGCTCGGGGGGTTGCATAACTGCACACCCTCCAACATTTATCTGATGAAAATAGGGATGACCTAAGGAAAAGCAGGACATTCTGGGGTCAAATGTCAAGGTTTCAGGGAATTACCATTCCTTCCCCCGTGGCAGTCAAAAAGCAGATAACCGAAAAGAGTTCTTAACCACGTAAATTATTCAGTATTCACAGAGAGAGAGAGACAAAGGAACACCGTCTCTAATAAGTAATGGCGTTGCTCCAAGTCAAGTCCCACCCCCTCAGTCCCTCCTATTCTACATCACCCCTGTGGCGGCTGATCTGAGTTTTCTGCCTCTGAGCTTTCTGTTCCACTACTCTCAATGCACGCCTGGTTCTGGGAGAAGGGAGTCAGGAAGGCTTTCTAGAGACACTGAGTCTGTCAGCTGTCTCTCACCTGGTGCTTCTTCTTCCTGCTGCTCTCTCAATATTTCCCAACTTTCCCCCTCTGCAGCCTCTGAGCTATGTCCTTCTGCAAACCACGATTCTAAATCTATACTGTTCTCCTCTTCTCGGAAGGTGCAGGGGGGCAGCGGCTCCCACCATTCCTCCTCAGTCCAACCCCTGACATCAAATCAAAAGCTGGGAAGGCTTCTGTAAATCCGGGACTGTCTCTGGAAAATAGGGACACTCGGAGGGTCTGTTTAAACCTTTGCTTTGTTATTACAGATCCTGGCTGGAGAGCCCTTTGGAAGCACTCCAAGCAAGAGCATCCCTGCTGGGCAAGAAGAATCTGCACAAGATCTTGATACGATCTGGTCTTTGGGGGCAAGGCGAAAAATTATATTATCATATCAGCAATCGATTGGGCCTTTTTTCTTTAGATGGACTGGGTGGCTACCCTACTAGATGCTGATTTATTTCATTGGTGTTTCCACAGGGCTACCTCCAGTACTCAGTTTTATTCTACGGCTACTACGGACAGGCGAGGAAGATTGGGACAGCAGGCTACCGGTTGCCCCTCGCTTACTTCCTCGTCGGAATGGCCGTCTTTGCTTACAGCTTCATCATCCTCTTAAAGAAGTAATGGAGCTCTTTTGCTTAAGGCAGGGGTCGCCAACCTTTGGGACTTGGGGCAGACATTTTGGATATTCGATAAAGCGCTGCGGTCACAAAATGGTTGCTACGGGGCATGTGGGAGAGGACGGGCAAGTAGAGGCTGAGCATCAGGTTCAGCAAATGCCTGAATCCCAAATCCAGAGATGGGCCAATTCAGGGTGGGATCCAGGCTTTGTCCAAGTCAGGTCACGGTTGCCCCAAGTTGGGCCACCCGAAGCGAGCCAGAGCTGTAAGGGGGCAGGGAGTTGAACAGGGAAACAGAGGCAGACAGCCTCTGCGAAAAAACAGCATGGGTTTGTTTGCAAGCAGGTTTTTCAAACTGCACCACGCTGCAGGGGAACACACACGATCAGTCAAACTGAGCAGGATCGAACCCTCTGTTCGTACCCCCTCCCCAAGAAATCCACTGGACTAAAGTTATCCAACTGGAATTGCTCCCCCCACCATGCTTACATTACTTCATTTGCAAGCAAACAAACTGGCTAGGATTGAAAAATGTATAAATAAGCAAAGGCATAAATAAGCAAAGATGTTTGGGTGGTGTTTTTATTGAACCATACCTGTATCCCTGAGGAAGCGGGTGGCACTGTGGGTTAAACCACAGAGCCTAGGACTTGCCAATCAGAGGGTCGGTGGTTCGAATCCCCAAGGCGGGGTGAGCTCCCGTTGCTCGGTCCCTGCTCCTGCCAACCTAGCAGTTTGAAAGCACATCAAAGTGCAAGTAGATAAATAGGTACCGCTCCAGCGGGAAGGTAAACGGCGTTTCCGTGCGCTGCTCTGGTTTGCAAGAAGCGGCTTAGTCATGCTGGCCACATGACCTGGAAGCTGTACGCCGGCTCCCTCAGCCAATAAAGCGAGATGAGCAACCCCAGAGTCAGCCACGACTGGACCTTTACCTTTACCTTTACCTGTATCCCTACTGGTGCTAAAAAACAGTGTTTAGGAGCAGGACTAGTTAGAAGAGAGATTCCATGGTAGGGAATACCCATTTCAGCATGAACAGTCGTCTCTCAGGAGGAATCGTCTATTTATTTGAAGAACTGCCTGGCCCAAGTCCGGTTTCAAGATGAATCACAATAGAATAAGGAACAGGTGGAAGAACCATAAAGTTTCTCACCTGCAGGTATTATGTGGGCAGCAGACTGAACTGGCACCCACACAACCTAGCCACAGTCTTCTCTATTATGGCGAGATGCCTTGCATTCCCACTTAAATTATAGTGATAATTTCTTAATTCACAGCTACACATATAAATTTGCACGTGTCAATTTGGTGCAAACCCATTCCCTCTTTTGCCATCTTGGTTACCCTGTGCTGGACAGGTATGTTGATTTATTGGGGGTAAGTCACATAACCATTTTTGCAAGCCATTTCCCATAGCATTTGCAATGAGGAGCATGATGTGCAGGATGAACCATCCTTGAAGGCCATATTAGACATGGTGTTTGCTGTGCAGTTTTCCCTTTCTAGTTGACTTAAAAAAACAAAACCCTGATCGTGTGTGGTAGTGGGGTGGTTTGAGATCGACAAAGAGATTGCGACCAGGCATGGGAGCAGGGGCGTAGGATGGGGGGAGGGTTCCCCAGGTTCCATAATGGAGGGGGATGACAAATTATCAAGGAACAATTACTGCCCTACTAGGGCGGTTCATAAAAAACTTTTTTTAAAAAAATGCTTGCTCCAAAGGTCTTATTTTACTACACTAGGGATTATATAGCTATATTTGAAATTTCATGCATATCAGTTAATATCTTGACCCTCCTCCGTGAAAATAGCGGTTTACTTGGCCGTTTTCCTATGTCGTGGAGGCTAAAATTTCAATTCAGTGGAACACTTACTGTTCCCAATCCTAAACATGCAGAAAGCCATCTAATTAGACTTTAATTTGATTTTGACATGTTTTTAGGAGGTAATTTGATTATTGCTTGATTTTATACCAATGTTATGTATCTGATGTTAGTCGCCCTGAGCCCGACTTTGGCCGGGGAGGGCGGGATATAAATAAAATTTTTTTATTATTATTATTATTACTTATTATTACTTCTTTGTAAGAAAATATGAAATAACGTAAAACCATTTTTGCAGGCAATAAATAAATAAATAAATAAATAAATGTGGGGGGGGTGACAAGAAATTTTCTACACCGGGTACCACCTGACTTTCCTATGCCTTTGCATGAGAGATCTTTAACTCTTTTGCCTCCAGAATTCTTGTACCTGCAATGGGAGGATTAGTATTAAAATTATTAATGATTAGCCATTTGCAGTCGGAGTGTTACTATCATTCAGTGCCTGTTCAAACACTGTGCTTTGGAATGGAGTCAGTTCGCACATTCAATGGAGGAATTTGGTAATTTGGGATCAGGTGCTTGTATGAACCAGCCCTTGAGCAACTCACATTTATGCAATATCTCCGCTGCTCTTATCCAGGATGGCTAAAAATTCAAGAATGAGCCTAGCAAGCGCTTCTGATGAAAATTACACGTTTTGTTGGCGGGTCTTCTGTGCCTGGGATTATCTCATTGGCAACCCTGAGGCTGCAGAGAGCAAATCAGCTGCCATAGTTAACAGCATCAGGGTAAGCAACTGGTCTCTGTAGCTGGAAGAGATGCCTGCCTGTGATTGTTGTGCATGAGGCAAATGTGTTACGGACCGAATGCAAAAAGAAAAGAAAAATGCAATACATTAATGCTCCAAAGGTGCAATTCTTGTTAGTGTTTGAAAGTAACACTGTTTGGTGGTAATTGTTTGTAGAGGCAGCTCTGCAAACAGCAGACAGAACCCCGAAGGGATTTGTGAAAAAAACCAAAGATTCTATTTTATCCCAAGGAAATAGATGACTTTAGAAGAATTAAGAGCTCTTCTTTTAATGGATTGCTAGCTACAGGGCATTGTGATCTGCCAATAAATGATAAAGCCTTGCATTTCTAAAGAGAGAATAATAATCATCTAGTAAAATCTGAGTGCACATGGAAATAGCAGCACACGGTCACTCCTAAATCCTATTATCCATAAGAATTCAAATAGTCTGCCTCTCTTTTCTGACTGGGGGTAGTAAAAACAACAAAAAGGGGTTGTGGCGCCTAAAAACCTTGACTGGCACCCTAACAGTTCTCTCACACCTTAGAGCAGGCATAGGCAAACTTGGCCCTCCAGATGTTTTGGAACTACAATTCCCATCATCCCTGACCACTGGTCCTGTTAGCTAGGGATCATGGGAGTTGTAGTCCCAAAACATCTGGAGGGCTGTGTTTACCTATGCCTGCCTTAGAGAGGGACAGGAGAGTCCAAAAGGGGGCTGACCCAACAATGCAATCCTATGCATGTTTACTCAGAAGCAAGTCCCATGAAGCTCACCACATGCCATTGGAGCCAACTCCTAGGGGCCAAGGTCCCTTTGCCCCCCCCCAATAAAATATTTGAGGGGGCTGCCCCCCAAAGTTGATGGGCATTGCCATTCAAATGGAAAGTGTGCACTGCATCATGTGATCGATTATGTGGGGCGGAGCTTATGTGCCACGCCCCCAATATTTTATTTAGGTTGGCATCCCTGCTACATGCTATTATTTCTGTGTTTCTCCCATCACAGGAAGCCATACTAGAAGAACAGGAAAAGAAGAAAAGCACAAACATGTATGTATATGTATCATTTCCCAGCCTGTGTTCCACGATTGCAAAAATGGAATTGTCTTCCTCCTGTCCTTTTGAAACAATATGAAAATGACTTGCTGAAGCAATATCTATACTTTGTCCTACCCTCGTGTAAAGGGCCGTGACCATAAGCTTAAGGATCATCGCCAACATCCTTGTTCTCCTCTCACTCGCCGGAAGCATTTACATCATTTACTTCGTAGTGGATCGATCCCAGAAATTAGAGCGCACGAAAAAGGAACTAACACTCTGGGAAAAGAATGAGGTAATAAAAACACATCCTCTTCGTCTCCGTCTGCAGTATGGGGGTGATTACATTGACCTTTGTTACTGGGCTATCCACACTTAAATACAGGTTTTGAAAAATTTTCTCTCAAAATACACATTTTTAAACCTTATATTGAATACGGGTTTTGAGCCAAGAACCGAGAGCCACAGCTTATGTAGAAGTGTGGAATCCAAGAGAGAGCAGCAGTTTGATCTGAACATTAATCCGAGATGTGTGGATCAAGTTATTCTGTACCCCGTTTAGCAAATGATTGAATCCCACAGGGACCCCTGGCGAAATTGAGGTACAAACTGCAGACAAGGACAACTGTGACTTTAAAGAAGAATGGGAACTTTTTACAATTTATTTTTTAAAAAAAGCACAAAATGAATTGGACTCCTTGGCAGGTTTTGAATAAACATACACAAATTTATTGGTTGTTAAGATACTAGACAGATAATTTAAAGATTTTTACAATTTTACAATATGCAGAGAACAACATGTGTTGAAACATCAGAGAAATATTGTAAAATTAATGAATCTTAGAAGGATGTTGGATAGAAACTAAATGGTTTCCAGCTGTAATGCTTTAAGAGATATGAAAAAAGGTTTACAAATGGGTAAAAGCTTAATGGTAAGGATTTGCTGAACTAACAAACTGAACTGGAATACAAAAAAGGGAGGTATGAGGAGGTCCGGGGAAATAAGGCTAGGGAAGTTATACTATGGAAAGTTAATGTGTTTTTAACTGTTTTTATCTTGTATGTTTTCCTTTATTTTTCTTTTTTTTTTTGTTATATTTTTAAAATCTTATTCTTTTTTCTGTATTTTGTACTTTCTTGTATTTTTATTTTTTGTTTTTGTATTCTTTGAAACTTTAATAAATATCATTTTAAAAAAAAAGAAACATCAGAGAGAGGAGCTGAGGGTAGTCGGGGGGGGAGGGAAGGAAGGTTCTTCTTGGGAAGGGGAAAAAATTGGGGGGGAGGAAGATGATATGTTTTGATAATTTGTTGTGTTGAAATCCTTAATAAAAACTATTTTTTAAAAAAAGAATTCCACAGGGACCTCTGCTAAAAATCACACGTGTCCCTCTTCTTTCCAGGTGAGTGTTGTTGTCTCCCTCATCACAATGCTCGCTCCTTCTGCCTTCGAATTGGTTGCTGCATTAGAAATGTACCATCCTCGAACAACCCTACGCTTTCAGCTTGCCAGGTATGGGAAGGAGGGCTGGACTAATTGTATAGTGGTACCTCGGGTTACGGGGACGTGGGTGGCGCTGTGGGTTAAACCACAGAGCCTAGGACTTGCTGATCGAAAGGTCGGCGGTTCGAATCCCCACGACGGGGTGAGCTCCCGTTGCTCGGTCCCAGCTCCTGCCCACCTAGCAGTTCGAAAGCACCTCAAAGTGCGAGTAGATAAATAGGGACCGCTCTCCAGCGGGAAGGTAAATGGCGTTCCGTGTGCTGTGCTGGCTCGCCAGCTGCGGCTTAGTCACGCTGGCCACGTGACCCGGAAGCTGTCTTCAGACAAGCACTGGCTCCCGGCCTCTTGAGTGAGATGAGCGCACAACCCCAGAGTCGGTCACGACTGGACCTGTTGGTCAGGGGCACCGTTACCTTTACCTTTTACCTCGGGTTACAGACGCTTCAGGTTACAGACTCCGCTAACCCAGAAATAGTACCTCGGGTTAAGAACTTTGCTTCAGGAGGAGAACAGAAATCGCGCAGCGGGAGGCCCCATTAGCTAAAGTGGTACCTCAGGTTAAGAACAGTTTCAGGTTAAGAACAGACCTCCAGAACGAATTAAGTTCTTAACCTGAGGTACCACAGTATCATATTTTTGTCTGTATGGTAGGGCTGGGTGATACCAGGTTCAACATGGCAGTGTTATCACCAGCTAAACATCGCGATATAGTGACACATCACAATGTTGAAAAGGAAGGAGCATCAAGCCCCCTGGCCCCATAAGATGCCAGGGTGAAACTGCTGCTGCTCCCTCTGTCGCCAGTGCCCAGCACATGGAGGGAGGAGCAAGGAGCACTGGCCCCAGCCCTGTGAGGCACTGGGCTGAAATTGCCACCGCTCCCTCTGCCACCAGCACCTGGCACAGGGAGTAAGGAGAAGAAAGGCAAGGCGCTGAGCAGCAGGCAAGCCCCACCCACAATATACCACTGGGTAAAGACACCATCGCGATCTGGTCCTGGTTGATGTATCAATACATTGCCCAGGCTTACTGTATGCTACAATGGGGAGGCAGTGGTTGAGTGGCAGAACATCTATTTTGCACGCAGAAGGTACCAGGTTTAATCCCTGGCATCTCCAGGTAAGGCTGGAAATATCTCATGTCCGATATCCTGGGAAGCCACTGCCACTCAGTGTACAGTGGTACCTCGGGTTACATACGCTTCAGGTTACATACGCTTCAGGTTACAGACTCCGCTAACCCAGAAATAGTACCTCGGGTTAAGAACTTTGCTTCAGGATGAGAACAGAAATCGTGCTCCAGCGGCGCGGCAGCAGCGGGAGGCCCCATTAGCTAAAGTGGTGCTTCAGGTTAAGAACAGTTTCAGGTTAAGAACAGACCTCCAGAACGAATTAAGTACTTAACCCGAGGTACCACTGTATAGGCAAGAAGAAGCTGGAACAGATCCAAGTGTCTAACTCAGTATAATTCAGTTTCCTATCTAGCACTGTGAACTGATGGTAGCTTTCTGAACTTGACGTTTCTGTTTTTGTTTTGACAGAGTTCTTGTCTTATATCTGGGAAATCTATACAGTTTGATCATTGCACTTCTGGACAAAGTAGACAGCATGAGCATCGCTGTAAGTTGCAAATCTCGACCATCTTTGGGATGTAAGCTCTGTGCTTTTTATTTATGTTTTTGGCCTTTAATGTTCCATCTGTTTTTCTGAGGAACTCAAGGTGGATAACAAGTCAAAATGCAAAAACAATATTTCAAAAGTATTAAGAGGGTCCAAATGCATAAAGAAGAGATTGACAGACAGGACAGCTTACTCTATGGCATTAACCCCTTCATGCATTAATTAGACTTAAGCATGCTGGCTCCCTCGGCCTATAGAGCGAGATGAGCGCCGCAACCCCAGAGTCGTCCGCGGCTGGACCTAACGGTCAGGGGTCCCTTTACCTTTTATGCTGGCTATATGAGGCTGGTTATCTCACAGTTTGTTGCTCTCCTCTGAACTGCTCCCAGCTGGTAAGATGCTGTGCCCACTGATTTACCTTATAGGGCTGTTATAAGGGCTGGAAGAGAACCTGTCACCCTCCAAATGTGGTGTACTCCATATTCCCATTGTCCCTGACCATTGGCTGTTGACTGAGGACAGTTGGAGAGTTGGCCACAGGTTCCCTAGCTCTGTCCTAAAAGATCTAGATCTCCAAACTGTCTGGAACCAGGATATTTTAAGCACCACCTTCTTAAGGCTTAAGTTTATGAGTTTGACTTTTGCTCCATGATTTCAGGAATCTGAAGTTCACAACAATGGAAGCACCACAGTGATTGCCACAACCACTTCAGCTACTAAACTTGTTAGAGAAGACAACTTTTCAACAATCATTCCTAGTATGCACATTATGAGGACCAGCACCTTTCTTCTGGTTGACAACCACACTCAAAGCTACGCTCTACCCATCAGCATGGTGACCAACAAGACAACATCTTATGAATCCAACACTCAGAGCCACCAAGATCAATGTTGGGAGACCTATGTTGGGCAAGTAGGTTTGACCTTTATGTGAGACTAGACAGGCAGGTACCCAAGACAAGGTCTTTGCAGGGATGGCAGCAGGATTGATGAATGGTTCCACTGTGGAGATCTGTTGAGCCCTTTTATATGTCAGCTTTTGGATCGGGGATGGGGATTCTGTTTTCCTCAAAATGTTGCTGGGCCAATTGTATTCACTGGATTGATTTCCATTCCAAACATGGGACAGACAAACAAACTTTGTTAGGCAATTTCTACTCCCGTATCTGCATTTGTTGGAATTCTCTGACATTCCTACCCATGACTAAAGCGTGTGTGACATCAACACAGAATAGAAATAGTTTGATCCATCTTTCCCTGTTCCTGGCAGTAATGGAAGGTACAGAGGCGCATCCCTTGCCCTGGAATGTGATATTTTTGCATCCTTCCTGTTTCAGGAAATGTTGAAGCTGTCGATTATTGACATGCTCTTCACCGTGGCGAGCATCCTGTTGATTGACTTCTTCCGTGGGCTTTTTGTCCGATACTTAAGTGACTGTTGGTGCTGGGATTTGGAAAGCAAATTTGTGAGTATATACTTACTATTAGTAAAGAAGGAGAATGGGAGGTAAAAACTGGGGGCACATTACACAGACATGGAGGTAGCTGCTGACTACTACATCCCTATATTGCATCACCCAGCCCTTTCGCTGTAACACAATGGCGGGGGATCTGTGGACCCTGCAGATGTTGTTGGACCATTAGTCACTCTGGTGGAGCTGATGTGAGTTGCAGTCCAACAACATCTGGAGGGCCACAGTCTCCCTACCGCTACTGGTGATTATATCTGTGATTATTATAACACCTCCAGTCAATAGATGGTGCTGTTCCACATCCTTTAGTGCCCAGCTAAGGTTCTATACCTTGTCCATCTTGTTGTTCTTTCTTTGGGGGTTCCTAAAATGGGCAGATCTAAACTGGGGACCAAAGCACTGTTGTTTTAACTTGCTAATTGGTTATAAAGTCTGCTGTTCTAAGTGAGTGTTAACAATAATTTCATTTAGTCACAATGCAACATTCCCCATCTTTGCTTTACAGTAAGCATCACCTGGTGTTCCAGCCAGATCTGCTCTCTTTGGGGCAAAGAATTATATTGACAACTGGCTGTGGTGTATTATTACATTAAGAGTGCCATAGATGAATATTTACTCTGAAAAAAAGAGTGGCTTTCTAGTCCTGTACTTTTGTTTACTTTGCAGCCAGAATATGGAGAATTCAAAATAGCAGAAAATGTCCTGCATTTGGTCTACAATCAAGGGATGATTTGGTAAGTGAGTACACATATGAAATTTTGTGAGAGTTGTATTTTTTTAAAATTGTAATTGCAATTGGTTTTATTTTAATTTTTTCAATACTTGTATTCTGACAATACTGAGCTCAAAGTGGCTCAGAATGGCATTAAAAATTAAACAAAGATTGCAGTCACTATTAATCATATCAAAAGCGCAACAGCATATAAAGAAGGCAGAAAACAAACAAATTCACCAAACTGTTAACACATTTCAATACAATCTCATAGTGATTCAAAATAACTTTTTATGCGATAGATCTAGATTGTGTGTGAACTACACAGGAAAAACAAGTAGTCTGTCTCACTGATTCTGGAATAAAATGTCATGTGTACATGGCTTGAGAGAGCTCGCAATTACCCCACCTGTTTTGAGATGACCAATGGCAAGCTTGCTTACCTGTATCTCCCCTCTCTGCTGTGCCTTCCTTTCCCCAAATTCATCGCTGCTTGCGGGGACGATGCTTGTTTTCTCTCCTAGGATGGGAGCCTTCTTTTCGCCCTGCCTCCCAGCGTTCAACGTTCTCAAGCTGATAGGGCTCATGTACCTGCGGAGCTGGGCTGTGCTAACTTGCAATGTCCCCCATCAGCAAGTCTTCAGAGCCTCAAGGTAGGTTAGTCAGTGAGTAAGTAAGATGGCCCTAGGGTTGTATCCAATGCTAGTCCTATTCTGTGTAGACCCACTAAACTTGGTGTGCACACAATCAACTTAGGTCCACTAATTTTGATTGGTCTCCTCTAAGTAGGACTTTGTTGGCTTCACACCAGTCTAGCGAGGTGGAAAACAGTAGCTTCTGCTTGTATATATTAAATGAATGGGTGTGTCTTGCTTTTAATTTATTTTTTAAAAAAATAACAACTGCTGGGGGCTGGGGCTGGTGGAAACACACATCTGGGAAGCAGATTTTCAATCACTCACCTTTAATTAGTTTATTTATGTAACCAAACATATAGACTGCTTAATTTAAAAAAAAAAGATTTCAAAGCAATTTATATGAAATAGTATAAAATATTTATAACAAAACAGTGATCAATAAACTTTTTTTAAAGTAGACATCTATAAAACCATCAAAGTATAGATAAAATCAACAGTGGCCTCTTCACTGTGAAGACCCCCTCTTTCCTAGAGGGCGTTAGTGGGTCTGACCTGATGCCAGAAACACAGTTGGGGAGGCTGTGCGTGTGATTTTTACAGGGACCAAGGAACTGGGGGTGAGGGGAGAGAGTTAATCTCCCTCTTGGGGTACTGCAGTCTCAATTCTCATTGCCAGTAGCAACATTAGGTGCAGACTTCGTGGCTGAAGTCAGGGGCAGCTTGGGGTGGGGGTGGCAGTGATGCAAATAAGGCCAGCCAGTGAGGGGCAGCTAAAGGGGTGGGTGTGTCATGCCTGCCTCTCAGATGCCAAAAGGGTGAAAATGAAGCAAAGCAGCATGGGCATTCCATGGCAGTGGAGGGGCAAGAGGGGAAGAGGCATCTGGGAGAAAGGACAAACGGCCTTGGCCCGGTATACCTGAAGGAGCATCTCCACCCCCATTGTTCAGCCTGGACACTGAGGTCCAGCTCCAAGGGCCTTCTAGCGGTCACAGGGAACCAGGCAGAGGGCCTTTTCGGTGGTGGCTCCCACCCTGTGGAACACCCTCCCATCAGATGTCAAGGAAATAAACAACTATCTGACTTTTAGATGACATCTGAAGGGAGCCTGTTTAGGGAAGTTTTTAATCTTTTATGTTTTTGATGTCGTATTATTATTATTATTATTATTATTATTATCATCATCATCATCATTATTACCAGCATGGCACAGGGGAGGGTGTTCCACAGGGTGGGAGCCACCACAGGGTGGGTGCTTCAACCATCATCCCTGGCCATTCCCCTGCATGTAATTGCTGCCTTAGCAGGATGCCTCAAAGACAAGCATTCATTTAATATATCCTTCAGTTTCCTCTGGAAGTAGAGTTTTGCAGGGCACTGTAGATCCCGAGAACGTTCCAAATGCCTTAAAGGAAGGTGTGTGTTTATTAGAACTGATGGTGCCATGAGGGGGTGGGGACCTGTTGCAGCCCTCCAGAGGTTCTGGGACCCCCATCAATGGTTGAAGGAAGCTGGAGCTCAATGACATCTGGAGGTTCAGAAGTTCCTCCCCTCCCAGGTCTCATAGATCGCAAATCAGCTTCTTCGCCTCCAGGTCATCAATTCGAAGCCAGCAAGGGGGAGAGAAAGGCTATAGCTTGATGGCACTTGAATTGTTCGAAGTTCATTTTCTATGTGACTGTACTGCACTGGGATCACATGGGACCTCGGCAGGAGATGGAGCCGTCGGCCAAAGATTGGAGCTAGGCAGCTCAGGGTGAATGCCAAAAGCCAAACTGGACCAAGAAGTATAGAATAGGTCAGAGGGATGACAACTGGTCAGTGAGGGCAGATCAAAGGCACAGATAACAACTGGGCAGTGAGGGCACAACAGCACAACAATGCCAACTGTGTGGTTAACCAACAGAGATGGCAGCCATCCTGCTCCTCTCTCGGCCAGTAACATTTAATAAAGCAAAACCTGTGATTGATATGATGTGATCACCTTCCTTCCTCTCTTCCTTGGATGCTGCTTGGGCGAATTTTTACCACCATGTGACTTGCTATGCTTTATTAAATATTACTGGGAGGGGTGTGAAGAAGAGCTAAAAGGTAAAGGGATCCCTGACCATTAGGTCCAGTCGCGACCTACTCTGGGGTTGCGGTGCTCATCTTGCTTTACTGGCCGAGGGAGCCGGCATACAGCTTCCGGGTCATGTGGCCAGCAGGACTAAGCCGCTTCTTGCAAACCAGAGCAGCGCTCGGAAATGCCGTTTACCTTCCCCCAGAGCGGTACCTATTTATCTACTTGCACTTTGACGTGCTTTCGCACTGCTAGGCTGGCAGGAGCCAGGACCGAGCAACGGGAGCTCATCCTGTCATGGGGATTCGAATCGCCGACCTTCTGATCGGCAAGTCCTAGGCTCTGTGGTTTAACCCACAGCACCACCCATGTCCCTCAAAAGAAGAGATAGCCGGCTGCTGATTTTGGTGACAGCTATGCAATGGCTGTAAGGGCCACTTTGGAATGTTTGTGTGTATTTATCTACTTGCACTTTGACGTGCTTTTGAACTGCTAGGTTGGCAGGAGCAGGGACCAAGCAACGGGAGCTCACCCCGTCGTGGGGATTCGAACCGCCAGCCTTCTGATTGGCAAGCCCTAGGCTCTGTGGTTTAACCCACAGCGCCACCCACGTCCCTCTAGACCTTGGTTATATCCCCCCAATAACCAAAACAGGAACTTCCGAGGTGGGGCAATGCCATATATCTTCCTTCCTAGCTACAGGATACAGTGGAAGGAAGACTTTGGCGTCAAGAATTCAAGTTTGATGGGTAAGATGCCCAGGGAGAAGGAAAATCCTACTCAAGGGAGGATTCCCCTAGCAAAAGAATTTGCTGTGAATGAGTTAGGGTGTTGCTAGAACCCTTTATGCAGAAGAACTGGGTATTAACTATTTCTTTCCTTGTAGATCTAATAACTTCTACCTGGCTATGCTGCTCTTCATGCTGTTTTTGTGTATGCTTCCAACCATATTTGCTATTGCCCGCTATAAGCCATCCCTTACCTGTGGGCCGTTTAGGTGAGTTGATGCTAGTGAGGCTTTATTTGGGGTTTGTTGTGTTGTGTCAGAATCCTACAGCAAGACAATCACTTAGACGTCATCTAGCCCATGCACCCTTGCTCAGCACAGGAATCTGACAAAGTTCGGAAAGACAAAACTCAGATGTGCTTGTCTCCATCCTTTTCTCCCAGTCCTTTCCCCACTTCCCCAGCAAATGCAGGCCTAGACGCCTACACAAGATTTCCAGTTATGGCTGTGAAGCTTACTGGGTGGCCTTGGGCTAGTCACTGCTTCTCAGCCTACCCTACCTCACAGGGTTGTTGCAGGGATTAAATGTGGAAGGGCAGAACCATGTACAGTGGTACCTCGGGTTACAGATGCTTCAGGTTACATACACTTCAGGTTACAGACTCCGCTAACCCAGAAATAGTACCTTGGGTTAAGAACTTTGCTTCAGAATGAGAATAGGAATCGTGCAGCGGCGGTGCGGTGCCAGTGGGAGGCCCCATTAGCTAAAGTAGTACCTCGGGTTAAGAACAGTTTCAGGTTAAGAATGGACCTCCAGAACGAATTAAGTTCTTAACCCAAGGTACCACTGTACATCACTTTGAGCTCCTTGGAGAAAAATGTGGGATAAGAATGCAATCAATAATATGGCTGTTACCAGAAGACAACTATGAAGTGTCTTAAGATGCTGGGGATTATTATTATTTTTCTCCCGAGAGAGCAACTGAATGTTTTTCACCCTAGCGGACAAGAAAAAATATATGACATTGTGTCCGAAACCATTCAAGCTGACTTTCCTGTCTGGTTCCACAAGATGATGATTTATGTGAGCAGCCCTGTAGTTGTCCTCCCGGCTTTATTGCTTCTCTTGTAAGTCTATAAACCTCTTCTATCGATTTCACTGCCAACATTACAGCTGCTGTTGACCTACATGTTCAGAACATCCTTTGACCCTTCTCAGACTGTATCATTTTAGAATGATGACTGACACCATGGTGGAATATGCTGTCCTATGACAAATTCTCCCCAGGCATAGAAAAAGTAGCATATAAAGAAACACTTTAGACCTGAAGCTTTCTTCCTGACTTGCTCTTTCCAGATCCCCCCCCCCCCAATGTGGAGGAGCTTCCAGTCTTCCTATTTATAAACACACACACACACACACACACACACGCATGCACACACATGTCTGGATTTGGGTCTACGTCCCATTGAGCTCAATAGGACAAGTGAGCTGTGACTTATTTTCATTCTGCTAATTTCAATGGGGTTTTTAGTGTGACAAGCTGTCTCTGGTTTGAGGCCATACATCTGTGCATGTATGTTGTCCTCAGGTGTCTGGGAGGTTCACAGGATAACACATACAATAAGGCCACCCTGTCCACTTCAGCTGAACACTTCAGTTGAAGGTGGCTTGGAAAGGAATCTGTACACAAAGTTCTCCAGTGAAACGAATGGGAAGAATGAATCGTGTGCATCATAGTTCACACAGGGGTCTGAATCAGGAGTTTAATGTGTATTTAAGTCTTACTGATAATGGAAGATTGGTGCATGGTGTATTTTGGATTGGAGGCTATCTGGTATTCTTCTAACCTGCTCTTATGTAAGTGGTCTCTCAATTCTGTGTATTGATCAGCTTATTGATCAGGTCCACACCTGCTTAGTTTCAGCAACTCTGCAAGATTAGAAGTTTACACAACATTCACTGATCTTCATGGAAATGAATGGTTTGCAGTTATAATCATATCACTGTCCCCGCACCAGAGCAATGTGGTTCAGTGATGACCCTGTGTTTCTCTCTTCCAGCATGCTAATTTATTATCTGCAGAGTATTGCTAGGTCGTTAAAATTCACTAACAATCAACTGAGGATGCAGATCCAGAATGTAAGTATCTGTTATCTTTTAATTTTTAAAAGCTCTTATTTCTCATGTTTAGTGGCATTTCATAAAGGACCTAGCACCAAAATATTGGGTGGGCGAGGACTGGAAGAGGAACTGTAATATTTATTCTGCATTAGCAATTTGCACTGGGTGTTTCTGTTATTGACAGATCCTATTCAGTCATCCCAAGTGTTTTGTGTGCATTCTAGGAAAGAACTGAAGACAAGAAAAAAGTGGTCCAAATGGCAGCAGGTGAGAAGAAATGCTAAATCCACAAACAGGAACCTAAGAAACACTTAGCTGTATTTGACTGAATGCTCTTTGGGAGCACAGACCATCTATTTCAGCAACTACTTCCACCAGATCCATTAGGAAATCATGTCACATTTATGTCAGTGGGAGACTTAGCATCAATATTGTTGGGTGCAAAATTGTTCAGTGCTTTATTGTTCTGCTGAAAAATTTGTTTTGTGAGCTCATGACTAACAATGCAAATACAATATTAGACGGGCCTGACAGTTTCAAAGTTTTTAGCTTTGTTTGCTAAATTAGAGCACGCTGGGCAGCTTCCAACATATATAAAAGCATAATAAAACATTAAACAACTTCCCTATACAGGGCCAGTGGCGGAGCTTCATGCTCCAGCACTGGGGGGGGGAGGAGGTGGGGGCGGGGCTGGCATGCGTCCCAGGGGGGCGTGCCACCCACAGGGGCGTGGTCACATCCTGGAGGCGGGGCGTGCTGCCTGTAGGGGCGTGGCACCCAGCACGGGCAGGAGGCAGCCGTGATGGCACCCCACTAGGATCGCGCTGCCCGGGGCGGTGCGCTCCCCCCGCACTCCTCTTCCTCCGCCAGTGTACAGGGCTTCCTTCAGATGTCTTCTAAAGATTATATAGTTAGTTAGTTATCTCCTTGGCTCTCCAATATTTCTTCAATAAAAATCGGGACGTCCTAAGGAAAAGCAGGATGTTCCAGAATGAAACCAGAAACTGGGACAGCTTCTGTAAATCTGCGACTGTCCCTGGAAAAGAGGAACACTTGGGGGGTCTGCAGTTGTGAAAACAACTGTCCTAGTTGATGAATAAAGAGGCTATAACCATGTTCTTGATTTAATCCACATCTTTAGCCAGAATACAAACTACGGAAGGAAACGACATAAGGCCGGAGCAGGAGAGTGACATCATCAGCCAGGAGTCCTCAGCCCGGTGCTCGACGCCGAGGAAGAACGGCAGTGTGGTGAACTTTGAATCACCCAAAGGCAGGAGAATACAAACCATCTCCCAGTCTGTAGCACAGCCTGAAGTAGCCAAGCCAGTCAGCCCACCGCCGGCAAATGCTCCTCCTGCGGCCCCAGCGCCTATAGCGGCTCCCTTGCCCGTAGCATCCCCAGTGCCCATAGCTCCGACACCTGTCACTCCAAAGCCATCTCTGCCCAGTGTACCGAAGCCGAGAGTGGAACCAATCGCCAACAGGTAAAACCCTCCTCTTGAGCTCTGGAAGTAAATGGAGGCCCACAAGAAGCAGCTTCAGTTGTTTTGTTCATGTTATGCTATTGCAGACCATAAGAAGAGCCCTGCTGGGTGCCCAGGTAGTCCAGCATCCTGTTCACACAGTGGCCACCAAATGCCTATGGGAGACCCACATGGATGCAACAGCATTCTTCCCACTAGTGAATCTGAGAAACTGGAACCCGGAGGCAAGCTGCCTCTTTTTCCTCTCTAAACCAATATGAGGTCCTATTCCTCAGAGTATGAAGAGCCAGCTAGAACTGGCCTAGTTGCTGAGATTGGAAACCAAACCATGAGAGTGCATGCCAAGGCACCCAAGCCCCAAAGTTCCCAGGAGAACAATAAATCACACTGACACGAAATATTTGGTTTATGGGTTCAGATAGGCCACAACTTTATTGGTTACAGATGTGAGCGGTTTGGCGGTGAAGCCAGGCTATATCTTGACTCCTGCCCATCTGCAGGGAGTCCACAGAAGGGTAAACCACTGATAGGAGGTGACTTATAATTACGTCAGATAGTGGCACCCCATGGGGTCCCCATAAGAGCTGTGACATGGCCCTAGCCCATGCCCAGGCTTCGGACAGTATTAACACCCCAGATCCCCTTAGCAGGATATCCTTACTGAGGAGGGGCAGGCGAAGGCAACAACCTCCCCTCCAACCAACCAAAGGCTTACCCAATGCCTAACGTCACAAAAGTTGTGACGATTGCTACTAGGTAGGCAAAAACCCTCAAAGCTGGTAGCATTTGTCAAAGTCTCTTTCAGGAAGATAGTTGGCCATTACTGACAATCTTGCGGAAGGACACCCATTTGATAACAAACTGGTGTAGACTAAGGACGAGAACTAACATGAGAACAGGCCTTCTCTGCTTTGGCCCCCCATCTGTGGAATGCTCTCCCCAGGGAAGTTCGCCGGTGCCTTCATTATACACCTTTAGGAGCCAGGCAAAAACGTTCCTTTTTAACCAGGCCTTTGGTTGATCTGTTTGACATCCTATGCCCTTTAAAAATGTTTTTGGGAGTGGGGCGTTATTGGGTTGTTGTTTTTATTTTGATTATATATTTTGTGGTTTTATATTTTGATTTTGTTCTGTGAACCGGGCGGTATATAAATTCAATAAATAATCATAATCCACACTTCCGCTTGTGCCATGCCTAGAAAGCATGGTTCTGAGCAGTTATCGCTCATTTCCCAGGGAAAATCCGTTTTTTAGATAGACAGGAACAAATGGCAATCCAGGCAAAACCCAAATAGATAAAGGTAAAGGGACCCCTGACCATTAGGTCCAGTCATGACCGACTCTGGGGTTGCAGCGCTCATCTGGCTTTATTGGCCGAGGGAGCCAGCGTACAGCTTCCAGGTCATGTGGCCAGCATGACTAAGCCTCTTCTGGCGAACCAGAGCAGTGCACGGAAACACTGTTTACCTTCCCGCCGGAGCGGTACCTATTTATCTACTTGCACTTTGTGCTTTCAAACTGCTAGGTTGGCAGGAGCAGGGACCGAACAACGAGCGCTCACCCCATTGTAGGGATTCGAACCGCCGACCTTCTGATCAGCAAGTCCTAGGCTCTGTGGTTTAACCCACAGCACCACCCACGTCCCATAAATAGTTGGCCCCAATTGAGTGCTAAAGAGCTGTTTTCCCCAGGGAGAAAAGCAGGAGGAGAAGTGGAAGTGTGGATAAGCCCTAAATTAATCTGCCTTCTCTCACACACACTTTCTCTCTTTCTCTTTCTCTGTAGATACCCAAGTGCTGCCCATGGAAGTGCAAGCGACCTCTGCAAAGCCAAGGCTTTCACCCCTGTGAAGTACAAGAAACGCCTAGAAGATGTTCACTCAGAACCTCTGTTCAGGAAGAGCCTTCGACAAACCAACCCCGAGGCTCGCGGCGCTGGCGGCACCCCTGCTTTTGTGGGCCGCCGGTCTCACACAGCCAGGTACTTCCTTGTCAACGAGCACGAACCCCGGAAAAAGCTCCTCCGGTCCTCCACGCGGCTGCCGAGGAATTTCCGAATGGACGAGTCGGGGGACATCGTGGAGCTGTATCCGAGAAACATCAGGAGGTACATGGTTCGGACGCCACACAGGGCCTACTCCCCTCATTTCAGCGAAGAGGAGGAAGAAGAGGAGTTGAGGAGAGCTCTGGCCAATAGATCCCACCGCCCACGGTCGCTCTCTGATCTCCGAGCAGCCCCCCGCTTCTACATTGGGGAGTGTGCTGACAGCCAGATCCTGAATAGCAAGGCGCTGGCGAAGATGCACTACAAATCTTGGGAGGATGGCTTTGGGCTCACGTTTGGCAGGCCCCCTCATGCCCACCGGAAGATTCACCTGAAGAACATTGAACTGGATCCGCGCTACCCGGAGCAGCACCCAAAGGCGAAATCCAAACACAAGCCCGAGCCGTCCCCGACGGAGTCTGACTCCATCTCTGACGAATCGAGCAGTGACCAGCCAACTAGCGGCAACGACCAATACATCCAAGTCATCCACAGTAAAGACAAGTACCTGAAACCTGGAGCAACATTAACCAGGAAGAAATCCAAGACTGGTGCCGACTTGAACATGGCCGAGGCTAATGAACTGATATGCTCAAATGTTTAGTGGGGAGGGACGAGGCTGCTTCATTCGAGAGCAGAGGTTCCTAAACTTATTTGGCCTAGAACGCCCCCCCCTTCCAGAAAAGAAAATGCAGTGGTACCTCGGTTTTCGAACGTAATCTGTTCCGGAAGACCGTTCGACTTCTGAAACGTTCGAAAACTGAGGCACAAAGGGCGGTCTCCCAATTTAATAGAGAAATTTGTGAAAAACAACAGAGACATGCAGTGGAAGCCGTTCAACTTCTGAGGTGCATTAGAAAATGGAAGCATATACTTCCGGGTTTTTGGCTTTCAAAAACCAAAACGTTCGGCAACGGAGACATCCAAAAATTGAGATACCACTGTACTCTGCCCCCCCCCCACAGGAAAGGTTTTTCAAAACTGGACGAAGGGTAGGGTAGGCCATGGGATTAAAAATCCATGGGGTGGACCAGAGTCCGATCTGCCCCGGGGTGGTGCCACAGCCCACCTGCCATTGGCCAAATAGGCAGGCAAGCTGAGATCCACTTTCCGGGCTTGGTGAACCACAGCTCCTATCAACCCAACTGGCCATGCTGGTTGGGGCTGATAGCAGCTGGGGTCCAGCCATACCCAGAGTGCCACATGGTACATATCCCTGCTTTAAAAAATGTTTTGAAGCAAAGAGGCAATTGCATTGTGCTTGGAGCATATACCAATCAGTCCTTATACTGAGCAAGATTCTCTATATTCAATCATTCGTGGCCAAACTTACTGTGAAACGATATTGCAGCAGTAGAGAAAGGCATTTAAAAGCACTCACAAGAAATGTACAGAAACCATCGTGTGAAGCTTATTCCATCCTCTCATGAATCCTGGTGTATCCAATCTAAGTGTACTCACAAGTAAGCCACAATGCATTCAAAAGGACATATTCCTAGGTTAAGTTTGTATAAGAACACAACAGGAAGTATTGTATTCTGCAACATTGCCAGAAGGTGGCGATGCTGAGTTGCTCTCTGTTATGCTTGGGTACCACCTATGGCTAGAGGATGGTACTACATCTTCCAGTTCAGCAGTTGCCATGTGACACAGGTAGGCCAATAGGGATCTACCTGGTTGTATAAAAATCACTCAGATTGGCTCTTCCTTGCTCCGAGTTTGTATGACAACCGCTTTCAGATTGCAAACCTACTTAGCACCTCATTGCCTGTTCTGCCTCCAGATCAACAGTGCACTTTCTAACTCTGTACAATACAGTGCTCATCACTGGCATTAAATAAAATATTAAAAGCAGTAGTTGAACATAGTTGAAAACTCACGTCTGGTCAACTCCCTTCTTAACATCAGTGTTTCGTATCTGCTTTGCTTCAGTTTTGCACGGTGCCCGTTTCCAATATAATGACTAAGGCTGCAATATTATAAATCAGTTTAAAGTTTAATTGTTCTAAGAGGTGCGGACAATTCTCACTGAAACAGCAAAATATATTAGGCTAACCCTAACACATAGGAGGTGAGAGGCTGGACTCATATGTTTACACACAGTAGCCGCGAAACTGGTTCTTCCACATTTTATGGAAGGTGGAGGCAAAAACAGATTGCAGGGTTGGTCTGTAAACCCTGCCTCCTTATTTTATTACTGACGTACTCCACAAGGGTAGCATTATAGTGAAGCAAAACGTCTGATGGCACCTTGGAGACTACAGTGGTACCTTGGTTCTCAAACTTAATTCATTCCAGAAGTCTGTTTCAAAACTAAAGCATTCCAAAACCAAGGCGCGCTTTACCATAGAAAGTAATGCCAAAGTGATTAATCTGTTCCAGACTTTTAAAAACAACCCCTAAAACAGCAATTTAACATGAATTTTACTATCTAACGAGACCATTGATCCATAAAATGAAAGCAATAAACAATGTACTGCAGTCACACAATCAATCAATCAGTAGCTGAACTGGGTCCCACACAGTAACAAAAACAAAACAAAAAGAGCGGCAAAAACAAAAACGCAAAATAAATAGCAAAAACAGACAGACCACAGCATAACACGAAAAATGGGACTGTGGCATTAAAAATGGAAGTGTAGCACTCAAAATGGAGTACGTTTGGCTTCTGAAAAAAGTTAGTTCCGGGTTTGCAGTGTTTGGGTTCCAAGTTGTTTGAGTACCAAGGTGTTTGAGAACCAAGATACCACTGTGCAAATTATTATAGTCCATCTTTCCTCCAAGGAGCTTAAGAACTCTGACCCTTCCCCATTTTGCATTCACAATCTGCTTAAACCAAACCAAACCTTCAGTTCATCTGCCTCATTGGTCTTCTGCTGCAGACCAGGAGAATGCAGTACTGGGCCACAACCTCATCTAAGCTGGGCCACCATGGCAGCACTACCAACATACAGATATATCATGGAAATGATGGTCCTTGAGTCTGAAAAGGCTGAAGATTATTGATTTAGCTTGATATTGTCAAGACCAGGGTTTCCCAAACTTGGGTCTCCAGCTGCTTTAGGACTGCAACTCCCATCATCCCTAGCTAGCAGGACCCAGTGGTCAGGGATGATGGGAATTGTAGTCCCAAAACAGATGGAGACCCAGGTTTGGGAAACCCTGGTCTACAGCAACTGGCAGTGGCTCTTTGGGGTTTCAGACAGATGCCTTCCCCAGCCATATCTGCAGATGCCAGGAAGTGGGGAGGGCGAGGCTTCTTGTTATATGAGAAGACTGGCAATGAAAGAGAGAGGCATGTTAAATAGGGCATAAGTGAAAACAAGATCCAGTCGAAAGTGTAAAAGGTTCAACCGGAGTGGGCGTAACCCTCTCTCAGCTGGTAATGAGCTGGCAAAGCAAGATTTGTAGCGGGCATGAACGAGGACACATTTACTTTCCACAGTGGGCTAGCCACACCCAGTCTCTGTTGAGCCCAAATCTGGAAGTGTCAAATTGCACATGAATTCCAGCTCAACAGCTTGGAAGCGTCCCTTTGCAACAAGCAATATATGCCATTGCGTGCTAGCAATGACTGCTCTCCACATCAAATGGGGAGCGCCTTTTGCGTGGTCGGGCGCAGCCCCCCGGATCCCAGTGCGGTTCCTGGTAGTTCAGGCTGGCTTCATCCTCCCCAGGCTGGATACCTGGAGGTCTCCGCCTACCTCAGCCAATCGCCCAATCCCACCTAGGGAGGCATTGCCAGGGGATCGGCCAGGTAAGGGGAGGGTCTGCCCTGCCCACACAACAGAAGGTGAATCTTACCTGCAAAGTGTCAGTTGGCTCCAGAGCTTCTCCCACCCTGCCCTCCCTCACTTAAGTCTCTTTTTGCAGGTTATCTTCTTTTCCACAGGTACGCAGACGCTGCTATATCAGGGTCGCTGCTGAAGGGCCGGAAAGGAATTTCCCTGCATTGGCAGGTTTTGCCTTTCCCGTAGCAAAACGTCACAACTTTGGCGGTTTCAGGCCTTGGGCGGAATCCTTTAGTCTATCTTCCTAAGTAGGGGGTGTGAAGCGGTGACCCATGCCCCCCTTGTGGTGGTTCCCCGTTAAGGGGGTCTTGAGGGGAGGCATTGGCCATACGCCAAGAGGTTGTCATTGCTCTCCCCTCCAACGGTGGCAAAACAGGGGGTGTTCTCCAGAGTCAGCCCAATCCCCACACATTCTGGATAACCCTGATGTCTCCCAGATCCCCGTCTGGGGACTGGGAAGGATAAACGCCCAATGCCTGAGCCAAGGTCTCCCTACATCTGAAACTTAATAAAGTTGTGGCCAATTTTAATCCCATAGCACGTTGTCTTGAGTCATTATTCCACTCGGGGGTCGCCAGGGGCTGGGGGGGCTCCGCCTGTCCACGCAATTGCCATTCTGTTACAGCTGGTGAAACTGGACTCTCAGGAGGATTAGTGGAAACAAATTGGACATGGCTGTGGCACATCTCTCTCCTGCAGCTGGGTCTTCGGGTCTTATTTTTCAGTAATACTTTCACACCCTTTCCTGTCCCATCTGCAGCTCAGTTGTCATGATCATCATGCAGAAGGCCCTGGGTTCAGTCCCTGGCATCTCCAGGATCAAGTGATGGCAAAGCCTAAACATTTGGCGAGGCCACTGCCAGTCCCAGTAGACAGTACTGAACCAGATGGGACAAACTGTGGGCAGCTTCCTATCTATAGAGCACAGGGATTGCTGGACTGCAACACCCAGCAGACTTAGTCAGCATAACCAATGGTCAGGGAAGATGCAGAATTTATGTTGGGGGGGGAGGCCTTTTGTTGGGGGGGGAGGGCAGAGCTGAGCTATCTGTGGCTGAATTGGTCAGTTAGTTAAGTACTTTTATTTACTTGATGGGGGGCAGCTGCTCCCCTGCACCCACCTGGCTATGCCCATGGAATGATGGGAGTGGGGTCCACCACCAACAATAGGATACCACACTGGCTACTTCAATATAACTTTTTTTTAAAAAAAAATGGAGAACACACTACTAGCATAGGTAGAAAGAGGAAAAACATCAGGTGCTTGAAATAAGATTTATTCCAGGCCTGACTTATTTTGGAATAAATCCTTCACGTTTTAGCCCAAGGAAGGATTTGTTCCAAAAAACACATCGGAGCTGAAATAAATCTTATTTCAAACACATGGAGCACCATCCCCTTTTTTCTTTTCTTACCTGCTTAAGTGCCAGCTGAGCATAAACACTTCATGCATTTTGCAGAGTTGCCTGACTCATACATACTCCAGTAATGTCTTGCTTACCCTTTAAGTTGCTACCCGATGCTTTGTTGATTGTTCTTGTTAGTGCCTTCTGGAATTCTTCCAGTAACGCGACTGGAAACTGAACTGTGAAAGGTTCCTGGGCGCACGGCCTCTATTTTATAGTACCAACTTTTATTCCCGCTTCAATTAAAATATATTGGGTGTTCCCATATATAGGGCACTCCCGTGGCGAAGTGCCCCTTATTTTTGAAATTTTACCCCGGCAACCCATATACGGAGAGGGGCTAAGGTTGTGCGCTGCTTTAATTTCCTCTTGGGTGGATGAAAGGCATGCGCCTTCTTCACCTTTAAAAGCGCGGCGCGGGGGCAGCGGGAGACCGGCAGCCAGCCACCCTCCCTCTCCCACCCGATTAAGCAAGCGATGGCACGCAACAAACCTCTTCCCTCCTCCTCCGTTTACACGGGAACCGTCGCTCCGCTCCGGGCCATTGATCCGCCCACGTGCGCAAGCGGCGCTCCCTGGGACAAGCCGAGGAGAGCGGCCCCGGCGCCGCGATGCTGCCTCCACATGGGGGCGCCTCCCCTCAGAGGCTCGGCCCCTTTTCTGGGCCGGCCTGGGCAGCTCCGTTCCCCCGCTTCCGAGCTTCTGGGCCAGCAGCCGGCAGCGCCAGAGCCATTTTGCCCTCCCGCTCGGCGACATGGACTACCGGGAGGCCGCCAGCTGGGCTGCGGAGCGCATGCAGAGCTATCGCAAGGACTGCAGCGGATGGCGCAGCTGCAAGCGCACGGTGAGGCCCGCGCGGCGCGCTTGGAGTGGTTGCCCACCCTTCTCACCGCTGCAGCCTGGCTGAGAGGGGGTAAAATCCTGGTGACTCTCACTTTGAAGCAGAGGTTGGATGGCCATCTGTCATGGATGCCTTAGTTGAGATTCCTGCATTGCGCGGGCAGCGGAAGGGGGGTTAGACTAGATGACTCTCGGGGTCCCTTCCACTCTACAATTCTAGGATTGTACCGCTTATGGACGGGGCGATGCGCCTAGCTTGTTCGTCCTGAGTGAGCCGCTGCCGGTCCGGGCTGGCAGGTGGAAAAAGAAGCTGGCCCGGCATGTGGTGGGTGGCTTCCCTCGTGCGTGCATTTAATGCGCAGCGCAGGGACGCAAAATGCCACCAAGCTGCTTCCTCTAATCTATCCCTGTTTGTCTGCTTTGGCAGCAGCAGAAGGAATTGGTGACAAAAGGTTCTTTCCGGGGCCACGAGACGCTTTGCTGTAGCTGCTGAATGTGTGTTGAGAAGGCATCTGTTCTGGCTTGAGTCCCCCGGGACCTTACAGCGTGGGGTGGGCGCACGGGTTATTGGAAAGGAGGAACAGTAGTAACTCAGTGTATAAAACTGTATCTGGCATTGGAGAAAGTGGAGAGGGGAAAGTCCCCTCTCTCGTAACGCTAGAAGTACAGTGGTACCTCGGGTTAAGAACTTAATTCGCTCCGGAGGTCCGTTCTTAACCTGAAACTGTTCTTAACCTGAAGCACCACTTTAGCTAATGGGGCCTCCTGCTGCTGCCGCGCGATTTCTGTTCTCATCCTGAAGCAAAGTTCTTAACCCGAGGTACTATTTCTGGGTTAGCGGAGTCTGTAACCTGAAGTGTCTGTAACCTAAAACATCTGTAACCCGAGGTACCACTGTATTGGACATAAGACAGAGCTGAATGCTAGAAGATAAAGTGAGAGCAGTTCACCCAGAGCACAGTTAAATCTGTGGAACTCGCTGCCACAAGAGGCAGCGGTGGCTTTCAAATTGGGTTGGGCAGATTCATGGATGATCTGAAAAAGAAACCTTGGAGAGAAAATGGGGAACAATGCGTTATTTGGAAGGGGCGAGAGAGGGCATGAACCTCTTCCAAGTGCGTGAAGAGGGGCTTGTAATCTCCCCCACACACACGCCGCGGCCCCTGCATCTCTGAAATGTTGGAGGAAATTCATTCAGTTCCCTCTCCCCTTGAATGCTCTTTGGTGTCTGTTCCTGTCGGGAACAAGCAAGCAATGTGACACTCATTGTTTAGCCTGGAGGAGGAGGGGGAAGGGGGAGGCATCAGCAGGTCTCATTGGTGCATCTGAGGACATGCAACAGTGTGATGTTGCCAGCTGGGAGGAGACAATGTGGTTTCAAGGAAGCTGCAGCCGCCAAACTTGTTTTCAGTAGTCACTTCAGGTTACAGACACTTCAGGTTACAGACTCCGCTGACCCAGAAATAGTACCTTGGGTTAAGAACAGAAATCGTGCTCCGGCGGCGCGGCGGCAGCAGGAGGCCCCATTAGCTAAAGTGGTGCTTCAGGTTAAGAACAGTTTCAGGTTACAAACAGACCTCTGGAGCGAATTAAGTTCTTAACCCAAGGTACCACTGTACTTTGAATTGTAAAACAGACAATTCAATAAAAATTATATACAAACATTCTCCAAAATCCACAAGAGACGGTGGAAGAAGACTGGAAGAAGTTTAAGGAATATTTGAAAAAATATGTTAATGTTTAAACTTTAGAATAGCTTTGGAAGTGGATATAGGCTGTAGGGTTAGACGTAGAAGATAGGGTATTTTAAAATAGTATTATTTGTAAGTGATAAAATGTGAAGTTATTTTAAGTATGATAAAAAAGATGGTTAGAAATTATGATATATGTATGGTAAACTGCTAAAGATGAAGTAAAATGAAAATCAGATAGGTGGGACTTGGGGAAGCCAACTTAACAATGTTTAGAAAAATAAGGATATGACAAGAATTTGTTCGTATTGTTTGTCTTTTCTGTCTTGGTTTTTTATTTGTGTTATAAAATGAATAACAAAAATTTGCGGGGGAAACCAAAATGCACATGTATCCTGTGTTTTGTTTTAAGATATCACTGTTAGTGTGTATTTCTCAAGCCAGCTTCTCACTGATCGGGCTCCTTAAGGTGTTCCTCATTTGTCTCTTGTGTGAACACCTTGGCATAGTGTAAAGGCACCCCTGTCTTGTCCCTGCCCCCTGGTGCATACACAGGCAGAAATGAACAGCTTCACTGCACCCATAGATATTGGGAGAAGCCGGTTCTGTTCCTGATGATGCTCTGTAGAACATCCACTGTAGAAAGTCCCAGGTGCCATTTGCAGTATTGCCAGTCAGTGTAGATAATATTGATCTAGATGGACCCAATGGTCTGACTTTGAATAAGGCAGTTTCGTATGTTTATAGACAGGCTGGTCCTAGTCTATGAACATTGATGCCACACTAAATGTGCTAGCCTTTGAAGTGCTGCAGACCTCTTTGTTTCGAATGGTACCCTATTTGAATGCTGGTCCTTGGCATTATTCCCCTGAAACAAACAAACAAGACTTCCAAATATGAATGGTGCATTTATTGGTGCATTTGTATCCTACATTGCCGTCAAGGAGAAGAAGGCAACTTGGATCGTATCCTAATCATTTGTCTTCTCAACAAACCTGTAAGAAGAAGAGAAGAAGCGTTTGGATTTGATATCCTGCTTTATCACTACCCGAAGGAGTCTCAAAGCAGCTAACAATCTCCTTTCCCTTCCTCTCCCACAACAAACACTCTGTGAGGTGAGTGGGGCCGAGAGACTTCAGAGAAGTGTGACTAGCCCAAGGTCACCCAGCAGCTGCATGTGGAAGAGCAGAGACGCGAACCTGGTTCACCAGATTATGAGACTACCGCTCTTAACCACTATACCACACTGGCTTTCGATGTAAGACAGAGAGTTGGTGATTGTCACAAGATAACCCAGTGAATTTCAGGGCTGAGTAGGGATTCAGACCTGCATTTCCCTGAATTTAATCCAGCATTTTGACTAATTCAGCACACTGGTTTAAGCCACACACTCTGTCTAAACCATGTTTCCCCACCTGCAATATTTATATTTATTCTGATTATCTTACATGACCGTTGTGGAAAATATTGAGATAATAGATGTGTAGAGAGCTTGAAACACTTCTAAAGTGCAATATAAGTGCTGAGTTTTTTTAAAGTTTTTTTTTAAAATAATCTCAGTCGACACAGTTATACTGTGGGAGTGGATTTTGACTGATTTAATTTAATTTTTCTAGAATGAAGTTTCAATATCTTGGAGACCATCAACTGAGTTTCATGGAAACATGTAAGTAAAGTTGTACACACACACACATACACCCAAAATGAGCATATTTATTTAGGAGGTAAATTACTTGGGGAATAAGGTAAATCTCACCACTTTGGTCACATCTGCAGTACAATCCTATATATCCTGTGATCTTTTGATGAAGGGCAGTATCTATATTTAATAAATCATAAATAATATATATATATATATATATATATATATATATATATATATATATATATGTCTGTTCAGAAATAAGTTCCATTGGGGCCTATTGCCAAATAACTTGAGTATAGGATTGAATGGGCAGTTTCCATTCAGTTTTTATACATCTGAGTTCTCAAATGTACGTTTCCCAGCACAATTCAAAGTGTTGGTGCTGAACTTTAAAGCCCTAAACGGCCTCGGCACAATAAACCTGAAGAAGCATCTCCACCTCCATCGTTCTGCCCGGACACTGAGGTCCAGATCCGAGGGCCTTTTGGTGGTTCCCTCACTGCGAGAAGCCAAGTTACAGGGAACCAGGCAGAGGAGGGCCTTCTCGGTAGTGGCCCTCCCACCAGATGTCAAGGAAATAAGCAACTGCCTGACTTTTAGAATACATCTGAAGACAGCCCTGTTTAGGGAAGTTTTTAATGACTGATTTTATCGTGTTTTTAATATTCTGTTGGGAGCCGCCCAGAGTGGCTGGGGAAACCCAGCCAGATTTGGGGGGGGGTGTTATGTAAATACTACTACTACTATTATTTCCAGATTTTGAGTTTGTGATAAATTTTTGTTGCAGCTTTCTCTTTCAACCTGCAAGGTTGAGAGGTTGCGGTTTTCCACCAAGCAGAGCAGGCTTGCAAATAAGCCACATAAGTTACTAGCCTGCAGATTTTCTCCCCAGCCTCCCCACACAGCCTCCAACCAACTGGCAGACTAATTTTTAAAAATGCCTTCTACCAATTGGACTATGGGAAGAAGAGCAGGGTGACCTGTCTCTCCCCACCCTACGTCAACCCACTCTGTGTCCATCCTGGTTGTGGGGAGACTCCCCTTTCTCCCCAGCTAGCATGGACACCGAGCGAGCTGGAGGAAAGAGGGATGGAGCAATCCATCTTTCCTCCACCAGCCCATACCGGTATGAAATTTGTAGTCACCTGTAGGAGCAGGTGGATTGTTAAGTACAAGACCAAAGCAAAGTCATTGGCATGAATAATGCATTTCCAATACACATGGCATTTGATTTGAGTTTATCATGTGGATGGGACATTGAAAAATCTTTAGTCTGGAATGGGATCCTATCATCTCTAGCACCAGAGGTCTGCCTACGGAGACCGAAATAAAATGAGGTCAATTTTTTAATTATTTGTTTATGTCTGTATGTCCCTTTTGTTCTTCCTTCCCCTGAAAGATACAAAGCGGAAGGGATTATGCCTGCAAAACCAGAGGATGTCTTTAAATGTTTGAAACCAGAGACGGGTGGACTTCGAGAAAAATGGGATCCAAACGTGAAGGAGATTGAAGTCGTTGAAGAGATTAGCAAAGTAAGTATAACACAGTTGGACTGTGGCAACTGGTAAAGTGCAGCTGCTACATTTTGGCTCCATCTGCGCTTAACATTTAAAGTAGTCTCATTTCACTTTTAAACAGTCCCCCAAATCATGGGAAATGTAGTTTGTTAAGGGTGCTGAAAGGCGTTAGAGAACCTTATTTCCTTCACTGAGCTACATTTCCTATAGTGGTTTAGCAATCAATCGCTCTTCCCAGGGAACTCTGGGAACTGCAGCTTCCGGAGGGGAATCAGAGTCTCCTAACAACTCTTGGTGCCCTTAACAAACTACAACTCCCAGGATTCTCTGGGGGAAGCTATAACTGTTTAAAGGAGTATGATACTTCTTTAAATGTATGGTGCAGATGAAGGCCGGGATGGGGTACCTGCAGTAGATCAACAAATACGCCCCAATATTACATCATAACCCTGGTATGTGCTTTGTAGGATGTTTCCATAGTCAGAACTATAACACCGTCGGCTTTTATGAAGATCATCTCTCCAAGGGAGTTCATAGACGTCGTCCTGATTAAGCGGGATGAGGACGGAACCATCACATCTAATGGTAAGATGGCCAATGCCTAAATATATTGGCCCCCAGAGGCTGGTGCCCATGTTAGTATGAGTACTCAATACCAGTGGCTGTGGGTATGGACTGGCAGCAACCTGAGGCAACCAGGAAATTCTCTTTCTGTGGTGCTTGACCTGTCATGCGCCATCACACACACACACACACACGCACACGCACACGCACACGCACACACACTCCCCATAGCTGTCAACTGTCCCTTATTTGGCGAGAAACTCCCTTATCCCAGCGCCGTGTCCCGCTGCTGTCCCTTATTGATGATGTCCCTTAAATTTCCCGGGTTTCAAAGGAAGCAGCTCCTCTCCCTCCCTCCCTGCCGGCCAGGGAGGAGGGAGGCTCCAACTGTTGCTTGGCTGCATTGCTCACCCAATAAGGAGTCTAAGAACGACTGGGGGGTGGAGCTTGCATGCCTTGTGCCGATCAAATTGGCCACGTTGCCTGGGGACTCGCCTTTGCTCAGCGCTTCCCAGCGGAGAAGTGACGGTGGTTTTCCTTGCTGCATCCCCTTTGCCGGGTTGCTGCGCTGTGGGAACCATCGCTTGAGGCTTCGTTTGGCTGGTGGCTGGGCTTTCTGCCTATGGCTCAGAGGGGCTCAGAAGCTGAACATACCTGTGCCCAGAAAATCCCTTATTTTGGCTGCTGATCCCTTATTTTCGAGGCTGCTGATCCCTTATTTTCGAGGCTGCTGGTCCCTTATTTTCAAATCTGTAAGTTGACAGCTATGACACACACACCACTTCTTAGATATTGCTGCCATCAAGCAATGGTCTCACATGTGTGAACTGATGCTCTGAAAAGCCAGTAGCCATTCAGTAACAGCACAGGTGAGAGACCCAACAGTCTCATACGTAGCACAGAATGCAACACCCTGAAAATTTCAGTTTTGATCCCCACCAATAAAAAACCAAAAAAATCCTAGAAGCTGGCAACTAAGCAATTAACTGGCTATTTCAAATCAATAACACACACAACCACACACACACACACACACACACACACCACACTGGCCTACCCCCTGCTGCAAACTTTGTGCTTCTTGCCACCTAGAAAGCTACCTTGCATCAAATGAGACCGTTGGTCCATTCTAGGGTGTGTACTTTTCTACACTGACTGACAGTGGGAAATTATGGTCCTTGGGATGCATGTTAAGCAGATGCTCTACCAATGAGTGGACTTTCCCCTAAAAATAAAGTAAGACTCTAGTCCTCATGGATAAAGAAACATAAGAAGCTGCCTCATTCTGAGCGAGATATTGCATTATAATGTTGCACCTCACCCTGACCTTAAAAGTATTCCACTCTGTTAGGTTTACAAGGGGTTGCTCGTGTGCAAGCAGGGCAAACCTCTCCCTGGCTGGCTGCTAATGTAAACTTTATCTGTCCGGAGAGCCACTCACCCGTGGCTGACTCAATCGCTGGCAGAATCCGTGAGTGGGCGTTTCTTAAACTTCTTCCAGCAAAGAAGCTCCTTGATGCCGAGTCTCCGCCTTCCCTCTCTGCGCGAAAGCCTTCTGCGCAGAGAGGGCGTGGGCAGCGGAGGACCCCTTCCTTCCCCGCTTGTCCCAGGCAAGGAGTCGTGGGACCGCCTCGCCACATCCGACTCCTGCACCCCCTCTCCACTGGAGCTGCGTTTATTCTCTTCCCCAGAAGAGGAGCTGCTTCTCCCGATCCCTGGAGGCTCTCTATAATCCCTCTGGCTTTTGCTCTCTCCCTCCGGCACTGATGGCAGTTCCCTGACACACTCCTCTTGCTGTTTTATTACAGTTGTACCTTGGAAGTCGAACGGAATCCATTTTGGAAGTCCGTTCAACTTCCAAAATGTTTGAAAACCAAATCGTGGCTTCTGCAGCCAATCAGAGCTCCTGCAGCCAATCAGAAGCCACAGACGCCCCATCAGATGTTCAGGTTCTGAAAGAACGTTTGCAAACCGGAACAATCACTTCCGGGTTTGTGGCGTTTGGGAGCCAAAACGTTTGAGTTCCAGGGCGTTGGGGATTCAAGGTACAACTGTATTTCTACTATTATTATAAAATTGAAAAGGCTTTCTTTTCCCCAAAGCACTAAACGGACTTTATCTTGTGCATTATTTTCATATCTCTTCCTTGCAGCAACCAATGTGGAGCACCCGCTCTGCCAACTTCAACCAAGTTACGTGAGAGGCCTTAATTATCCCTGCGGCTGTTTCTGCATCCCGGCCCCAGGGTAAGATGGGTGGAAATGTTGTAGTACCACAAGCATGTACAGCGGTACCTTGGTTCTCAAACTTAATCCGTTTGGGAAGTCTGTTCCAAAACCAAAGCATTCCAAAACCAAGGCATGCTTTCCCATAGAAAGTAATGCAAAGTGGATTAATCCGTTCCAGACTTTTAAAAACAACCCCTAAAAGGGTAATTTAACATGAATTTTACTATCTAACGAAACCATTGATCTACAAAATGAAAGCAATAAACAATGTACTTCAGTCACACAATCAATCAATCAATCAGTAGCTGAACTGGGTTCCACACAGTCACAAAAACAAAACAATAAAGCCACAAAAACGCTAAATAAATAGCAAAAACAGACAGACCTCAGTATAACAGTCAAAACAGAAGTGTGGCACTCAAACTGGAAGCGTAACACTCAAAACAGAGCACGTTCGGCTTCCAAAAAAAGTTCACAAACCGGAACACTTCCGGGTTTGCAATGTTTGGGTTCCAAGTTGTTTGAGAACCAAGGTACCACTGTATATATATGGTGCATGTTGTTGGGTTCTTGCTTTCATTGAGTGGGAGGAGTTGTTGCAAAGTTTAGGGAAAGTTTTGCCCACCATCCAACTAGATGCTAAAGCCTCTAAAGGCCGATTTGATACAAGGAGACTGAATTTGCTGAGAGATGCAGTCAGCTTACTGCAGGTAAAATGGCTGATTGCTCTGTGAGCAGCTTCTTCCTGGTTCATTTTTGCAAAGGCTTCTGGGAGGTTGGGGCCTTTGTAGCCAGAGTATCATAATGCCCTCTTATTTCCAATATATGCAGGCTTTGAGCACTGTTGCTGTATGGGGCTAAAACAGCACACACATTCCCAGAGTGGTTTAGCAATCAATCTCTCTTCCTAAGGAATTCTGGGAATTACAAGCAATTCTCTGTACCCTCAACAGGCCACAATCCCCAGGATTCTCTGAGGGAAGCCATTCCAGTTAAAATGGTATCACAATTAAAATGGTACCATAATTAAATTTATAATGCAACATGGGAGACATTGCCACATGTCCTGCTATTCTGATAATGGCCACATTAACATCATACAAAAGCACTGTGATACCAATTTAAACAGGCGTGGTTTCCCCCCAAAGCATTCTGGGAGCTGTAGTTTTCAAAGGGTGCTGAGAGTTGTCAGGAGACTTCTGTTCCTCCCACAGAGCTACATTTTCCAGAGTGATTTAACAACCAATCCCTCTTCACAGGGAACTCAGAGAATTACAACTATGTGAGAGGAATAGGGGCCTCCTAACAACTCTGAGCACCTTTAACGAACTACAGCTCCCAGAATTCTTTGGGGAAACTATGACTTCATGAAGTGGTATCATAGTGCTTCAAATACAGTGGTGCCCCGCAAGACGAATGCCTCGCAAGACGAAAGGGTTTTTCGGTTTTTGCGTTGCTTCGCTAGACGAATTTCCCTATGGGCTTGCTTCGCAAGATGAAAACATCTTGCGAGTTTGTTTGCTTTTTTCTTAAAGCCGCTTGAAGAGGCGCAGTTGTGACGGACCGTGCTTCGCAAGACGAAAAACATCGCAAGACGAAAAGACTCGCGGAACGAATTAATTTCGTCTTGCGAGGCACCACTGTATCGGAAACCTTGGGCCACATGGGTGGGACTACAGGAATCGGCTCTCCTGCATCTTTGGCTAAAACTGGTGATTTCTGCTGACTTATTTGGGGCTTTTTGGTTTGTTTCTCTCCCTACAGAGAGCCATGTAAGACGCAACTCCTCACTTTCTTTCAGACAGACCTAGCTGGCAACCTTCCTCAAACAGTTGTGGAGTCCTTCTTCCCAAGCAGCATGACCGGTTTTTACAGCAATCTGACCAAAGCAGTGTTGAAACTAGCGGCTTAAGCAATTAAAAACAAACAAACCCCAATTGCACATGTGTGCGCACAGAATTCTGTGATTGCCCTCTGCAAGTAATGTGGGGATATGGGATTCAAAACTGTGGCAGCTTTGGGGCATGATTGAAACAAAGTTAAGCAATTGCAAATCCCATTGGTTTTTAGTTGGGGAAGATTTTTAACAGATGCCTTGACATCATCAGGGCTTGCCTTACAGTACTTTGGTATAACCCTGGGCTGGTGGGTATTGAGAGTCCCAACAGCATTTGGGGTGGCGTGGGGGGGGGGAGAGACCACATTGGCTACCCCTGTCCTAGTTCTTTTGCCATTCTATAATAATTAGGAACGGTGGTTTTCCAGTACAGCGAGGGACCCCCTTTTGATTCCAGTTTTTTTAATCCTGGGCTGTCATGAGTCCCATTCCACTTTAAAACACCTCTGAAATCCCTGAACATTTTTTTTGTGTGTGTTCTGGAGCCGCTACCACCTCTGCAGTGATGTCTTTGCTTGTCCAGATGTCTATACAGTGGTACCTCGGGTTACAGACACTTCAGTTTACAGACTCCGCTAACCCAGAAATAGTACCTCGGGTTAAGAACTTTGCTTCAGGATGAGAACAGAAATCATGCTCCGGCAGTGCGGCAGCAGCAGGAGGCTCCATTAGCTAAAATGGTACCTCAGATTAAGAACAGTTTCAGGTTAAGAATGGACCTCCGGAACGAATTAAGTTCTTAACCCGAGATACCACTGTATAGACTCAATGTTGTTCATTCTAATGATGCGTTTCCAATCCAAGCACCAAGGAGTCAGGTGCTGCTTGCATGACAAGCAAAACATGCTAGCAGGAAAAACCGTGGGTGGGGGTGGCTCTTGAAGGGAAACTATCTGCACACTTCTGCCCTAGGGTGGGAAGCACGTAACTTGTGATCGCCTGCCTATAAAGTCAGCTGCAATCCAGGTCGATAAGATCTGGGTAGCCTAGCAGCCTGAAGCAGAATCCCATGCGTGCTGCAATGCACACATGGAACGTGGGAAAATATCCCTGCTCTCGTTTGCTTGACCAATGAAGGCAGTTCCACCCCATTGAGCTGAACGGAGAAGACCTTCGTATCCCTGTGCCTTCTTCCCTTCCTCCTTGTGTTTTGCGTTGTTGGGGTTTTTTAGATTGTAAGCCTGCAGGAAGGAACTGCCTTGTTTTTCATGGCTATGTGTAAGCAACTCTGGGAACCTTTGTACAAATGCTCTAAGTCAATAAACACACACACACACACACACTTGGATCTGGCGTTAGGTCTACAAGGCCTTACAGTTTGTGGGCATCTTTAGCCATGCCACGGTAATCTTAGCACAAATTCTCCTTGCTGTGGATTTGCTCTTATTCCCATTTACCAAACAGCATTCAGTTAACAGTGTCTGTGGTGGTGGTGAGAGCATCACACAAAAACCCACCTCTGCTGATAGAAAGCCAATGTATCAGGGAGAAAAGTTCAGGCTTAGCCTTCTCTCTAACATGCTAGTCTTCTGTGTGCAGGGATATTTTTTTGAGAGAGAGGGAGAGAAAGAGAAGCATTTAAGCATGTGACCTCCTACCTGCACCATTTCACAGCCCCACCATGTGCGATTTGGTTCTTCGCATAGCTCAGGCAATAAAACTCTTCTACCCTTTATGTTTTTTATGGACCATAAGATGGTTAAAGGTAAAGGGTAAATGGACCCCTGACCATTAGGGCCAGTCGTGGCCGACTCTGGGGTTGCGGCGCTCATCTCGCTTTCCTGGCCGGGGGAGCCGGCAGACAGCTTCCGGGTCATGTGGCCAGCATGACTAAGCCGCTTCTGGCGAACCAGAGCAGCGCACGGAAACACCGTTTACCTTCCCACTGGAGTGGTACCTATTTATCTACTTGCACTTTGTTGTGCTTTCGAACTGCTAGGTTGGCAGGAGCAGGGACCGAGCAACAGGAGCTCACCCGTCGCGGGGATTTGAACTGCCGACCTTCTGATCGGCAAGCCCTAGGCTCTGTGGTTTAACCCACAGCGCCACCCGCATCCCATAAGATGGTTAGTACCTTGTAAATTAATCATAATCATAGTCATAACAGATGGTGCTTTTGAACTGTCGCTGGTGTGTTTGTGTTGCGGCTGGAAAGCCATGGTACTTAGAGTGATCAGGCAAGTTCATTAAAGAGGGGTGGGTGGTAATTACAAGTAAACTTACAGTGATTACAACAGTGATGATTTATTTGGGCAACATAGAACAGAGTTGAAAGATGTTGCTAAATCAAGTGTCCCTGAGCCAGATATGCCCACAATCCATGCACGGCCCTTAAGTGATGAGGCCATGCGTTCCCGTCAGTGTTGCACCATGCGCCCGCTTTCTACATCTTGCAGCAATAGAGGGTGGCTCGTGTCAAAACGTGCCACGTAGACTACACATGTGGTTCCCATCCATAATGGGGATCCATATGTCCAGAACCACTTCCATGAGCCACTCTTCCCTGCCAGATGTGGGTGCATGAGCAATGTGCTTCATCCACTCATTATGCAATCAAGACATGTTAATTCATCAGCGTCTGTTTCACCCCCAAGCTGATTTACAGGTTTTGGCTCTTGAGTTGCTTGTTAACAAAGCCTCCTTTTAATTAGTGTAACCCTCGCGGCAGCTGCTTTATTAATACTGGGACCACGATCAACCAAGCTTTTGACATACACCTCTTCTCAGTCCTGGCCAACTTTCTCTTCACTCGCAACGAACATCTGGTGCTGGGCACCTGGGTCTTCTGTGGCTTTTGAGTGATAAATGAAAGCTTTTTTGGTCATTGTTTAACATGGGCAGCAGTTCAGGCTCTGTTCTTTCCTTTTTTAAAATCGCTGTCACTCCTCTCCATGGAGAGATGCCGTAGTTTTGCTGATGGAGTTTTTTCTCTTGATGACAGCATTAATCGGTCCATCGGGCAACGTCTTGATGATGTTCCAGGCTTCGAAACGAGTGAGTCCTTGCATCAGAGTTGTGTGCACCTGTAACAACTCGTCCCCAGGCTGAACTGTGGGGCTGTGTTCCAATGCCGCCCCTAAAAGAAGCAAAAGGAGTACAATAGACGGCTTATGAGAATATGGTATATGGGAAACAGTACAAACACATGGAGAACCAAGCCACCTCTTCCAATGAAGCCTTTGGCACAACCAGTAGTTCCCATTCCTAACTGCAGGGATTGCCAACATAGTGACCTATACGTCTCATTGTACCACAATTCCCATTGTGCTTGAGACCATTGGGCCAGAGGCAAAAATACACATAAGAGACATTCTGCAAATGTTACCAGTGTAAAGGTGTGGCGTTTGCCCTCCTAGGTGTGTGACATCATACTGGGTTCATAAAGAAAGGGTTAACTTATTGTAAAATGACTAACCAATGGGAACCCCAGCGGGCAGAGTTAACAGTGTATAAGGTTTAAGCACAGAGGGTTTTTGGAGGAGTTAGAGTTAGGGCGGTTGAGAAGATGGTCTGGAGTTAGAAGAAACAGAGAGGATAAGTCTGTGGATTGGGCTAGTCTGGTGTGACAGAAGGAGAGAATTTGTTAAGAGGAGTCAGTCAAACAGTTGAGATAATCAGTCAGAAGGTATTAGGAAGGTATAGGCCGGTAAAGAAACTAAAGTTAAGATACTGACAGGAATATTATCTGAGAAACCATAAACTTGTTAATGTTTGTAAAATAAACTTGTTTTTTGGTTCACTTTTAACAACTGACTGGACTCAGTGTTTTACCAGAGAGTAACTGGTTGGTGACAAGCGGGGAAGGGAGCACAGTGGTGGATCAATAGACCGTTAAACATCTGGGGACCCTGTGTGATCGCCACTAAAGGTTGCAAACTCCAGCTTTTATTGGGCCAGAAATTCAGTGCAAAGTTATATTTTTTTTAATGGAGTGCAGGACATCTTTGGGAGAAGAAAAGGCTGAGGAGTAAACCCTACACAACTCCAGAGTGGAGTCCATAAGACGGTTGGATGGTGCCTTGTACACCTCCTTCCAGCAACTTCTGCAGCCAAGCTGGGGCCAAATGTATTACTCTGCTTTCAGTGAGGCTGAGAGGGGGATCTTGTCCAGGCAGCCCAAGACCTCCATACACACTGCCTAAGCTTTCGCCCTGGAGAGGTCACTTCGGTGCTGCAAATGCAGCAAACCAGTGCAAGACCAGTTACGAGTTACTGGTCTCTGCAGCCACAGCAGGCGCTGTGATTCTCTCAAGACAGACGGTCCTAAATGTGTCATGTTTGGAAATAAGCCTTTCTGCTCTCTAGGTAAAGAGTTTGATAGGGCACATTACCTTGCATGTTAGGTCCTGAACGCCTTGGGGAAAGTACATGCTGTGCGTGTCCAAGTTAAATGAGTACATCTGTGCTGTTTGCTAGGGTCAGAGGGGTTTAATACATCCCTGGGGTTGAGCCTCTATGCCAAGGGTGGATAACCTGTGGCCCTGCAGATGTTGAACTACAATCCCATCATCCCCTACTGTTTGCCATCCTAGCTGAGACTGAAAAACCAACAATATCTAGAGGGCCACAGGTTCGCCATCCCTCCTCTGCAAACCAAAGATCCCCTTTGTGAGCATCACAGTGTCTGAAAAAGAATAACGCTCAACTATTTTGCTGCCATTACATACCTTTAAAAAGTCTGTTGACAATGATAGGCTTATCTCCGTTGATGGAGCCTTTCCCTCCTTCTAAACTGAAACCCAAACCTGCAGATGTCTTCTCCAGTATAACTGTGAAGATCAGGTCTTCAGATGCTGTGTGGAGAAATAATATCGTCAGAGGGGGATGTGTTGGTTTGGATGGGCTGAAGCTCAGTGGTAGAGAGCGTGCGTCTCCAAGTACACCTGGGAAGAATCTGGCCCCAGCAGTACTATGTGGCCCCTGGAAGGTTACCCAGAAGGGAATGTGGCCCTCAGGCTGAAGTTCACCATCTCTGACCCCAGGGCTTTTTTCAGCCGGAACTCACCAGAACTCAGTACTGGCACCTCTCAGGTGGGCGCCATTCCCATTACAGTGGTACCTCGGTTTACATACGCTTCAGGTTACATACGCTTCAGGTTATATACTCCGCTAACCCAGAAATAGTGCTTCAGGTTAACAACTTTGCTTCAGGATGAGAACAGAAATCGTGCTCTGGCGTCACAGCAGCAGAAGGCCCCATTAGCTAAAGTGGTGCTTCAGGTTAAGAACAGTTTCAGGTTAAGTACAGACATCTGGAACGAATTAAGTACTTAACCCGAGGTACAACTGTATATGAGAACAAGGGAAGGCTTCATGGTGGGTTCTGGCACCTCTTTTTCTAGAAAAATAGCACTGGCTGACCCTACTGCTTATTTAAGCCTTGTTACCAAATAACTCACTAGACTCCATTGAAGTTTCACTTCCTATAGATACAGAGGATGTAATGGACACATTGGGGCTCCTTTCAGCCTCTTTGGGTTTTCTCGTGACGATGACTGCCAGCTTCGGATGCCGGGCATTTCGCAAGATCTCCAGTGCTTCATTGTGAGTGGTGCCTTTGAGCGACTTCCCATTTATCGATAAGACCTCGTCGCCTTTCTGAATAGTTCCTTCCTGGTACGCAAGCCCACTGGGGAAAACTCTGTGGACCTGTTAGATGACACAATCGCATGCATAAAACAAAGATGTGTGGCATTTTCAATTTGACATATCAGACAGCCATGCATCCTCCATGAATTTGCCAGGTCCTCTTTGAAAGCCATCCAGGTCTTGGGACCTGCAAACCTCCCAGCCCAAATTAGCAAATCTGTTCCGTCTCCACACATTAAAAAAACTGGAGGGTGTAGAAAGTCATTTAACTTGCAATGTCCCTGCCAGTGCTGGCCCAATACATTTTGCTGCCCGAAGCTCAGGATCTTGCTACAGCCAGCAGTCAGATGCAATCATAGACTTGGAAATCTATGCTCAGAAATGTTATAATTTGCTAATGAGCGAACTGCGTTCTTCATGCCCATAGCTTTTCATATGCCTTGGGATGAAAAGCCTAACAGAACAAGATTGCTTCTGGCAGAGGTGGGAAACCTCAGACCTTGGAGCCAAATGCGGCCCCCAGGCTTCTCTATCTGGCCCTCAGGAATCTCCACAGGGCCACACCCCTCATCAGTCATGCACCATGCCCTCTGCAGATGCTGCTGTCTGGCTAGACTGTGTCCTTGAACTGAGCCTGTTGAAATCTCTGAGTTCTGTATAGCCGGAATATTGCCTATCGCATGTACAAAAGTAAGAGCTCCACCCACTTTTGTCACTGGCCACACCCCTTTTCCTTTGGCCCTCCCCACCACTGGAATGTAGCTCCCCAGGAAGGTCATCCATGAGAGTATGTGCCCTTTGGGTTGGGGGGGGGAACCCCCTGCTAACTTACGGTAATGGCTTTGTTTTCTAGGTCTACTCCGCCTGCCAAGCTGAAACCAAGACCAGCGCCTTCTTCTTTGTGCAGAATTGTGACATGAATGTCGCTGAGTTGCTGTGCAAAAGGAGAACAAAGTGGACCTCGGTCAAAGCAGTGGCAGGATGCACAGACACAATGGGAGGAGGAGGGCTGACAGCCAGAGTGCCTATGCTCTCAATAGCGGGCTGGAGCAGGTCTCTAATGTGACAAGCTTCTTTTGGCTGAAATCTCCTCTTCGGCTCATTAATGGAGCAGGAGCCTTCCTTTGCAAGAAGATTGCTCTGTGTGTGGGCACCCTTGCGGTGCCAGTGAAGCAGACTTCATAGAGGCTTTAGCTTTGCCACATTTGCCCATATGGAAGGTCAAGGGTAAGGAAACCTGTGGTCCTCTCGGGGATGGTGGACTCCAGCTCCCATCATCCACGACTCTACTGCCCATGCTGGCTGCAGCTGATGGGAACTGGAGTCTGGATGACACCAGGTTCCCATCATCCCTGCAGCCTATCTCCCAGTGGTGTCTTTGCTGCAGAAACAAGCAGTACTACACTGCTGGAAACAGAGCCACAACCTTTTGTTGTGGAGGTTTGGCTGGGCAGACGGAACTTCATGGAATGTTTCTGGAGGTGTTCTCCCCCCCCCCACTTACACTCTTTCTCCCATCACCTCCTTCCTTTTTCTGTTTTGGGCACCCACACAAATATTCCTTTATCTGTGCAAGTGCACCTTAAAAATAAAATAAAAAGTCCCATGTCTACTCATATGTAAGCACTACTGAATTGAGTGGAGCTAACCCCAAGGTAAGTGGGGTTGTTAGGATTGCATCCAAAGGGCAAAATAGAGGTACCACTGTAGAGGATAATTTGGCCTAGGCCTCAAGTGCAAAGCAGGTCTCCAATTTCAACACTGGTTGGTTGGTTGGTTGGTTAGTTTGTTTGTTTTTTGGTATTTGATCAGCATTGCAACTTGTGCGTCAGTCCAAAAGGTGACAGACTCTATCAGCTTAGAGCTGCAAATTTAAACAAATAAGAGACGTGCTTTCGTAAAATACTTTGTTGTTGTTGTTGTTGTTAAGTCATATAGATTATTTTGTTTTTCTTTGTCATTATTATTATTTATTTGCCTGAACAGCTGAAAGTGGCCCTCTGGTTCTCCAAGAGGGCCTGCTCTTTATGCCTTCAGAGGGCGGGAGTTGGTGGAAATAGGCACACTCATGCATTTTAAGCTGTTGGAAATAAAATGGCTAGGTTATGCTCAGATAAGGAGCAAACAGAAGCACTGGTGCTGTGTTAGAGACCAAGGATGATTCAATTAGGGTGACTAGGGCCCTTCTGTGCCACCCACAGCCTGCCCCCACCTGCCTTTTCACTCCCAAGCAGTTCAGGGAGTGGCATTGTCCATCAGCTTGAAGTCAACGAGGAGAAGGATGAGGACAAAACTAGATCACACTGGCTCCTCCTGTCATTGGCTGTGGCTGCACCTGTTGGGCTCCCTACCTTCCAATGGTCACCAGCCCCCGCTGCCAAAACGTCACCCCACACGTGACAACCGTCCACCGTTTTAAAGTACTCTAACAACCTTCCACACCAGTGGTGGCTTGCAAGGCATATAATAGGCCGCTTCTATGTATCAATGGGATGCGGATGGCGCTGTGGGTTAAACCACAGAGCCTAGGAGTTGCCGATCAGAAGGTCGGCGGTTCGAATCCCGGCGACGGGGGGGAGCTCCCGTTGCTCGGTCCCTGCTCCTGCCAAACTAGCAGTTTGAAAGCACATCAAAGTGCAAGTAGATAAATAGGTACCACTCCTGCAGGAAGGTAAATGGCGTTTCCATGCGCTGCTCTGGTTCACCAAAAGCGGCTTAGCCATGCTGGCCACATGACCCGGAAGCTGTACGCTGGCTCCCTCGGCCAATACGAGATGAGCGCCGCAACCCTAGAGTCGGCCATGACTGGACCTAATGGTCAGGGGTCCCTTTACCCTTATGTATCAATACTTAGATGCTCCAATACTTTGGCCACCTCATGAGAAGAGAAGACTCCCTCGAAAAGACCCTGATGTTGGGAAAGATTGAGGACAAAAGGAGAAGGGGACGGCAGTGGATGAGATGGTTGGACAGTGTTCTCAAAGATACCAACATGAGTTTGATCAAACTGTGGGAGGCAGTGGAAGACAGGAGTGCCTGGCGTGCTCTGGTCCATGGGGTCACGAAGAGTCGGACACGACTAAACAACATGTATCAAATGCTCCACAGTAAAAGGAAAATCCAGGCCTGGTCCTAACCCAATAGTTGAAAACCACTGAACATGGATGGGGTTGGGGAAACTGGAAGTGTCCATAGCAAGAGACTTACCTTTAACGTTGCCTCGTCTAAGGACTTCACCTCCTCCATGAGTTTCTCCAGTTCTTCAGGGGTGAGCAGCGATATGACAGCCTGTCCTGAGGAGGCGCCTAAAGGTTGAGGAGAAGAGCGCTCCCTCATGTTTCCCTCCTTTTCGCTGCCTGACCTACTTGCACTGTAGTCTCTCAGCTCAGAGAGGCTGTCCGATTGTGGAATAGGAAACAAGAAACACCAAATTATCATAGTAAACTTGCCCTGTGACCCATCACACACCAGAGGCTGTTGTGTCTACTGCAGTGGGTTTATTATGAATGTGCTTTTCATTCCCAGAATGACTTCGATGTCCAAATTCCTTTAGCAAATACGTACTTTTTACATTTATCAAAGTAAGCACAAAGGACCTGATCCAAATTGGAACTTGGGGTGGGGTGGTGGGAAGGCTTTACCCCTTGATCGTCCCCCTGGCGCCTGATCCAAATTAAGTCCCCTTCACCTGTTCTTTGCATTGGGAGAGATGTTCTCTCGTATGTCCATGTGGCACTTTTCTACCAATGCAAGCTGCAGGTGGGGGGTGGGTTCTGATCTGGATTGGGGGTCTTGTGCCTGTTATTTACTATTTTAAAAATCCATTCTCACACTTGTTCAACGATTCTTCCCCCAAAGAATCCTGGGAATTGTAGTTTGTTAAGGGCTACAATTCACATAGCGGTTTAACAATCAGTCTGTCTTCCCAGGGCACTCTGGGAACTGTAGTTCTGTGAAGGAGACAGGGATCTTCTAACGATGCTCAGGACCCATAACAAACTACACTTCCCAGGATTCCTTGAAGGAAACCGTGACTGTTTAAGGTGGTACGGTACTCCTTTAAATATATAGTGCCGATGAGGCCTTAGAGCCATTCATTTAAATGGATCTACTCTGAATAGGGCTAACACTGGATGCAAAACGACAAAATCCCCAAAGGGATGTGGCAATGAAGTGTGGGACACTCCCCTCCCCCTTCTGAACCTGAAAATATTCAGTTTTTCTCAAACTTGGGTCTCCAGCTGTTTTTTTGACTACAGTTGCCATCATTCTTGACCACTGGTCTTGCTAGCTAGGGATGATGGGAGTTGTAGTCCAAAAACAGCTGGAGACCCAAGTTTGGGAAACGTTATGAATGAAACTCAGAGTAAACACTGATTAAAATGTGATAGGGAGATCAAGCCAGGATATGGGACCCAGAGGTGGCTTGTGGGGGGCTGTCATCTGCCCATCTCTGGCCTAAACTGTAAAGTACCTGTAAAGTACCTGTAACTCTCCATATGTTGTCGGAGGGTTCCCTCATCCCTGCCCATTGGCCATGCTGGCTGGGACTGGTGGAAGATGAGAGTCCACCATACATCTGAAGGGCCCTAGATCCCCAATCCCGGTAGAGCAACAGATGGCACACAGGAAATTGCTCACTGATCAGAAACACACATTTAAAAATACCAAGTAGGAAGGTCTTACTTAAGAGAAAAGCTGGTATCCGAAGAATGAGCTTCATGCGTCTGCACGAGAGTTGTCCCATTTTCTTCTGTTTGGGGGGTTGGTGACCCATTGTGTGGCCTCCGTGGGTTTTTCCCAGAACACAGCGGGGACTGAGGAAGGGAATGCAACGATTTCATTAGCGCTGATGAGAAGTGGTTGCTGATGGAATAGATCTTGCTGCATTTCTCCCCATCCATTTTCTGCATCTCGCAAGATTGGGCTGCGGTAAGTGGGAAACTCCGGGCTCTTTTGCTGGGTGCTTTGGCGACTTGTGAGATGGGCTCCGTGCCTTGTGATGGTGTTGATGTCAAGGAAGATTCAGTGGGGATACCGCTACATGCTTTTGGACTTGGGGCACAGTCTCCTCTTGAACAAGACAGCGAATCTGGGCCAGTGGCATCCGGATATGGCTGAAAGTGGCTGTGTTCAGGACCTTGAAAGCCAACACTCTCACTGGGAACTTGTTTAGGATGAACTGCGGCCGAGTTTGGCTCCCTCCTACTGGAAGATCTTTCGTTCTGCATTGATAGAAGTTTTCTGTTTCCTCTTTCTGGAGACTGAGGGGTGCCCAGACTTTCAAATGAGCTTATTCTTTGCTTTATTGACGAGCCTCTAGGCGAGGCCCGGATTATCTTCGAAGTAGAACCCACTTCGTTGTCAGAGACGCTCTGGTGCTCAGCGGTGCTTCTGACGGCTGCTGCCTCCGAATTTCCTTTCTTCAACCCTTTGAGGCTCTGACGAAACCAGGCTGGCTTAGGGGCTACTGGCGGCCCTTTCTTAGCAAAGTCGCCTTCATCGGATGACCTGGGTGCCTTTGAGTCGCCCTCTTCCGTGTCTGACCTCTGCAGGGCTGCTTCTGAGCAGCTAGAGGTTTGGTTCCCTTCATTTGGATCAATGGTCGGGTGCAGGTTTAAGGGGCAGCTACCTTCTGACATGCTGGGGTTAAACAAGCTTTTGATGCAGTCCGAAATTCGAACCCAAGGGTCTTCAGTTGTAGCCTCAAGGCTATAATCTACCCGTGCCTGCCTTCTGAGCACAGGCCGCTGAGCTGGTGAAAGAGTCTTCCCTGTATCGGGGGAAAAATGTGATTTAACAGGAACATCGTGCATTCCTGTAAATGTACCATAATGGTTAACAGTGAAGAAGGGATGTTCATTTCATTCCAAGATTTCGCACAGATAGGAATCAACAAGTCAATTTTATTGTCTTTAAGTTTCTCATTGTTCTAGTCTCAAGCTTAGTTCTCATTTCCGCATCACTTTGCAATTTCTTTTTTAAAAGTCCTTCTGAAAATTCTTTAGAGTTTTAGTGTGAATTTCTCCTAATGCACACATTTCTGTATGCAATTTTGCCCCATGTGCGCATTTTTGCAAAGCACTTTCCCCGAATGTGATGCTTTTCTGTCTGTTACTTTCATTAATCTGTGCGTTTTTATGCAAACTTTGCCCCCCCCAGAATATGCACTTTTGCACACATTACCTGGCTGAAGAACTGCATTGCAAAACTGGGAGAAGTACAAATTTAAAATGATGGCTGCGTTTCAGTTTTGTTTCGGAAAATGTGAAATAGATAGGTTTGCCTTTAAACACAAACTGAATCAAATTCCCCTGTCCCACTGCTGCATAGACCTGTGGCCATGATCACATAAGATTTCTACGCTTTTAAAATAATAATAATAAAAAAAATATTGACTTAAGAAAATTAAACAGATGGCAAAACGAAGTCCCAGTTAACATTGCCTTCTACCGATAAGAAATAATAATAACTATTACAATAATGAAAATACTAAAAATACATTTACTTCCCCTTTTGAACTTCTATTCTGGTTACACAATATTACTATTCTATAAGAATCTATTATATCCTTTGCTGTCCCATATATTATTTTATTTCCCAAATTCAACCTAACACTCCCCTCTTCCCCACTGCTTCCCTTCACCTGTGTGAGATCTTCCCATCATAATATTTTTTTCTAGTTGCTTTAACAAAATAGAATAACATGAAAACTGATAAATTATAATTACTTATTTTGTCCTTACACGCTTAACAATTGCCTATTAAGAGTTCTGCTTTAACACCATATTTCTTCATGTATTCCCATATGCATTCCCATTCTGTATAGAATTTTTGATTGGAGAAGCCGCTGACTGATGCCATCATTTTGGCATCTTGTCAAACTCACAAATCTTAACTTGCCATTTGTGGTACTTTTTCTGTTTTCCAATATTTTGCCATAAGTATTCTTGAGGCTGCGGTTATATACAAAAATATATTCCTTTTGTCCTTGGGTATGTCGTTTGTTAATAAACTCAATAAGTATGACTCTGGGAGTTTTTTTTTAAATAGAGCTCCTGAGGATCTTTTTGATCTCCTCATGCATCTCGTTCCAAAATTGTCTTACCACTGTACACCCCCATCACATATGGTATAATGTCCCTACCTCTTTCTTGCACTTCCAGCAGAGATTTGAATGCTTTTTATAATTTTTTTCTGATTTTACTGGGGTGAGATACCATCGATAACACATTTTCATTGTATTTTATTTTACTAGACAGCAAGCTGTAAAATCTCTATCTGTTTTCCACAACCTTTCCTATCTATTCAGCTAGATTGTCTGGCCTATGTCTTGCGACCATTTAATGGCCGTTTCTTTTATAACCTCATCTTTCATTTCCCATTCAAGAAGTAAATTATACATTCTAGAGATGATTTTCTTGCTTTCTTTACTCTTTTTAAATTTGAGTCAATATGATTGTAGAGTTGAAAGAGAGTGTTTGTTTATACACCACCCCATCTACTAACCCAAGTTGCAAACACAGTAAAACAGATAATGATGCAAGCAGGGCAAAAAAATGTATATATTTCTTCCCCTGGTTCCCCAATGTTTCAACAAAAGCTCCATTCTGCAGCCGAGTTTCCTGGCCTAGAGCTGAATTCTGAAGCAGCTAAATGTTTTCCCCATGCAAGCCATGACTTCCTCATAGAGTGGCTGCCGCTGATGTCTCCCATAGCCCCTGTCTCTGGTGACAGATGCAGGAGCTGCTGGAGGAACAACGATGTTGCAAGCCTCTCTTCTGGTTCTCAGACCTAAATGTGTTAGCTTGAAATTTTCGCCCATTGCATTTTCCAGAGAGAAGAGCGAGAATCAAAGGATCTCAGTCCGATTCTATCTGAGCGACCCTTGAAATTGCATCACAATTTTTATTATTATTATTATTATTGTTATTGTTATTGTTATTGTTATTATTACAAAATCGCTTCACAAAATCACAAGGCCACCACAAGGGGGCGGTGAGGTGAGCTCTCCCTCAGCCCTGCTTCTTCCGTGGGACAGGCAGATTTCAGTTTACAACAGGGTAAGTTTTCTGAAGCTGTGTCTGAGCTACTGTCCTCCCTCCAGTCTAATGCAACAGGAAATGAACGAAAGTGCCATGCCTGAACGCTGCATTTATTTTCATTTGGGGGCCATTTCATTTTACTGAATGAGCAATGCCCTCTAGCATCTAAGTTAAGGCTACTTCATTTGAATAAATATTCATTATAATATCAACTCAGCTGCTTATGCCTCCTCTAGGTAAAGGTAAAGGGATCCATGACCATTAGGTCCAGTCATGGACGACTCTGGGGTTGCGGCGCTCATCTCGCTTTATTGGCCGAGGGAGCTGGCGTACAGCTTCCGGGTCATGTGGCCAGCATGACTAAGCCACTTCTGGCGAACCAGAGCAGCGCACGGAAACACCGTTTACCTTCCCGCCGGAGTGGTACCTATTTACCTACTTGCACGGGTGTGCTTTCAAACTGCTAGGTTGGCAGGAGCAGGGACCGAGCAACGGGAGCTCACCCCGTCACAGGGATTCGAACCACCGACCTTCTGATTGGCAAGCCCTAGGCTCTGTGGTTTAGACCACAACAACACCTTTATCCTAGTGAGCTAGGATAAAGAGAGAACATTATGGTTCATATATCATGGTATGCCAGAGTATGGCTTACCATGGCTGCACAGATGTCTTGGCTCCCATTTTGCTCCTCCCTGGGTGTTTTGGGTTAAGGCAGGATGAGAAATAAACCAAGATTTATGCATTTATACACCACTTCCTAGTAAATGTTTATGAAGCAGAGTAGAAAATAAATATCAAAATAGCAGCAGGTATATTAAAAATTATGTATGCGGAACAATCTCCGAAACATCTTAAAAGCGCCATATCACAAAAGTCTGCACAAAACACGTCGTAAAATAAATGAGCCGTCCATTCCTCAAGATCATGTTCCACACCAAAAGTTAGCTGTGATTAAGGCTGCATTCCTAACAGTGCCAGATTTATGTATTAAGCTAAACAAGCTATAGCTTAGGGCCCCACTCTCTTGGGGATCCCAAAAAATTTAAAGGGGAAAAAAACTGGAAGTACATTTCCAAAATATAAGATAAAAAAACATAAAATAAAACCTACATACTGCAACAGTGTTTTGTGTTGTGTAGGCTCCTATGCTGTAAGTAATGAGCCCCATCTGCTCCCTAAAATATCACTGGTTTGCTCATTTCTATATATAGGGTGCCTGCATTCTGCATGGACTGGTTGCACGGCAACATGTGCAAATGGCTTTAGATACCTATTAGGTCCATAAATTACCATATAGCATATATTCAACTCAAAAAACAGCAACAATTTGTTGTTGGCAAAGGACAGCTGGACATATAATGGGCCCCATTACCTTCAATAGCTTTAGGGCCTCATCAAACCTAAATCCAGCCCTGATTTCTAAGGCTTGTGACTCAGGTTACAACTTAGCTTGGAACCAGTCCCATTGAACTCAATGGGGCTTGCTTCTCAGGGGAGATGCGCAGGATCGCACAGCAAGGCTGCAGTCCTGTGCAAAGGTAAGTCCCACAAGACACAGTTCCTTCCATGCATTGGATTCTCCTGCATATCTCATCGAAAGCAATGCAGCTTTGATTCCCTACACACTTACCTGGGAGCAATCACCACTGAATATAGTGAGACTTCCTTTAGAAGTGTGACTACTTCAGAGCAGATGTGTATAGGAAGGACTGCACTGGCTAGCTCACCAAAATTCATTTGTTCCACTGGGATTTACAGGGCAATCCTATACACACCTAGTCTGCATAAGTGTGCAGTCTTGTTAATAATTTAACATTTGCATAAATTCACAATTTAACACGGAGCAGAAATTTCCTTCCAAAATAAATTCAGGTTCTTTGCTGCGGTGAGTACAAGTGATGTTTGTCATCATACAAGGAAACATACCTTTGCTGGTTTTTCTGTCTTGGGCTGAGGCTCCTACACAGGCATCTGGCTGCTCTGAAGCTCTGGGTACTAAAGAGCTCGCAAAAGCACCGTGAGTGACAACTGTCTTAGTTCTCTGCCGCAGCAGATCTTCTGCTTCCTGTGGAATAAACAGGAAGCTCAAGTGTAATGAGACCCGGTTGCACAAAAACTACATTCTCTGCACCCACAAGCTGGCCCCTGCTCTCTAGAATGGCGGCGAAACATTTACGCTGGGACTCCTAAAGAAGAATGAACCGATAATTAAGGATGCCCCCAGATTGTCAATATTTTCTGACAAGGATTCCAGTGCATTCTGGGAAATTTAGGGTTGTGCAATTAAAGTGGATTATAGCTCAGAATAGACAGATAAGTCCTTTTTTGTTTTGTTTCTCCCAGCTTCTCATTCCTTCGGTCATCAATTCTCCACATTTCTACATCAGTTTAGATTTGTTTTTAAAGTCCTCATGAAAATTTATCAGGATTTCTCTTAATATGCGCCTTTGCAAGCAATTTCCCCCAATTCAGTGCATTTTAATTTCACTAATGTACGTATTTTTGTAGACATTTGGTTAGAGAACTGCACCACAAAATTCAGCTTCAAAGGACGGATGTGGTTCCTGTTTGCATATTGTGTAGGAACGTGCAAATTACATACGTGCACATTAAAATCTCAATCACACCAAATTTCTCCCCATGCCTAATTTAAACTGTTCTACTGTCCTAACACAACAAATCCACTTTTTAAAAAAATGACTTTCTGCAGTTAGGAAAGTGACAGGGATATGCATTGAAAAGTGTGGAATGAACAAATTATTGAGTGGGAAGATTTAGAAACACTCCACAAGCAAATCAAGATGAATAGAAGATGACTAATCACAGTCATATAGCAGCCCTGCAAACAAATCAAAGTGAATTACTTGATAAAGACTGAATATGATTGAACGTTTACATAAACTTTTTAGGATGAATGACCAGTGATAAGGGATGTTGCAATCCAACATCTGCAGGGCACCAGTTTGGGGAGGAAGGATCTAAAGCAGGGTTTCCCAAACTTGGGTCTCCAGCTGTTTTTGGACTACAACTCCCATCATCTATAACTAGCAGGAACAGTGATCAGGATGGTGGGAATTGTAATACAAAAACAGCTGGAGACCCAGCAGGTTTGGGAAACCCTGATCTAAGGGGTTACCCTTCCTCAGTGACTTATAGGGTTAAATATCTGTGGATGCTACTGGTGCATATTTGAAGGGTGGAAGACAAAAAATCATACCTACAAATTTTTACCATAATTGGCGCTTAATTTTTTTTTAATCATTCTGCAGCGTTTCATAAGTTCTTGCAAAACTTTGTACCAGTGATATATTTGTTTTGCTTGCTTTGCATATATGCTACCTGGTACTTTCCATTGTTAAGCTCATGCTATCTAAAAACTAGTTCCTTTTTCGCTGAAGCTTTGTATACTTGTGCAAATGTACCAGAAGAAGCGTGCACTCACAGTTCCCTTGGGAATCAGTCAGTCAAGGGCAGTTTGATACATTGCGCTTAAATCAGCCTTTTTGTAAATCCCACATACAAATAGCCAACACCATAGACTGCATAGCACCCATGGCCCCAGGCATCCACAGTTGTGAGACCAAGCTACCATCTTTGTGAATACAGATCAGGTCAGACTGAAGACATTGTGACTATATGTCACATCGTCCTTTACATAATTCACCTAGGCATGGAGTCCTTCACTCATTTCAGAATTCTCTAGGTGGTCAATCAGATTATTTAAGAATTAGATGGCTGCTGGCAATGCAGACAAGTCTGTGACCTACAGTATAGGGTAGTGTTATGCACCCTGATCCAAAACAGGTTTTAATACCAAGGAGATTTTCAATTTTAAATGATTTGGGGAGAGTTTGCATTGTAATTGCCTTTGGCTACCAGCAATAAAAACCTGACAGTTGAATGAGTGCTTAAGTCTGTCATTTAGCTGCTTATTAACTCATCGCCAGGGATGGAGTCAGCACAAAAGAAGCAGAACTCAGTTGTCAGTAAAGTTTGTTGAATGGTTTCTTTATATGTAAAGGTTCATCATTGTTCCACTCGATGTGTATGTCTTTAAGGGGCCAGAGCAAGGGCCAGAGCAAGATAACGAGACCCAGCTTTACAGCTGTGAAACATAGCAGGTGCTGCTGAGTTGTATTGATTAAGCTGTGTTGGTAATTGGGTGTAGTATATAAGGAGCAGCACCTAGCTCTCCCATTACCCTGGGGGATGGGTTGGTGGTTGGGTCATGTTGGTTTGTTGATGTATTTAGTGTAAATGGAGTTTTTGTTTTTCTTATTAAAACCTTGTTTAAGTTATTTTTGAGTCCCTTTTTAATGCATGGTCTCCCCAGCAAGCTCTCTGCAGCGCTACCATACTGCAAATAGCCAACATCTTTGGTTATGGGCCCAGCAGCTGAATGGATGACTGCATATTTTTGGACTCTGAGAAAGGTTTGAAAACTCCTTCTCCTGTTAGCGCAGTTTTTGTGGGTCTGGAAGAGTTCCAGAATGGTTGACCGGGTTCCAGAAGCTAAGAAGGCTCTGGTCTTCCCACAGCTAACAGATGAGAACTATAGTTTATGGTCTTTTCGGGTGGAGGCGCTTTTGACCTCTAGAGAAGTATGGACCTATGTAACTGATGACCCTCCTAACCCTGTAACTAATGCTTGGTCAAAAGGAGATGCAAAAGCCAGGGCGATAATTAATTTGGCAGTCAGCGACCAGCAAGTAGTCTATATAAGGAATAAGAAAACTGCCAAAGAAATGTGGGACAGTCTTGCAGCAGTGCATGTTAGGAAAGAGTCAGCGTCTGCATTGACGTTTTTCAAGCAGTTGTACCAGACAAAGTTGCAGCCTGGTGGTGATTTGGCAGCACACTTGAGACGTCTGGAGGCAATACGCTGCGAATTAATTCGAAGGGACATGGAGATACCCGATATTCAGTATGTTTTTATCATCCTTTGTTCCCTTAATGAGGACTTTGATGGTGTAGCTAGCCAGATATCTGCCATTCCACCAGCACAATTAACTGTGGAAGGGGTAACGGCAAGACTAATGGGCGAGTTGGACAGAAGGGAGGCTTGTGCCATAAGCACTCCTATTTCCAGAAAGAATGAGGAACACCATATACAAACTTGTGGTGATACAACTGCATTTAAAGCTGCAAAGCGTTGTTGGTTCTGCAATAAGCAAGGACATTTTGCAAAGGACTGCAGAGCCAAAAGAAAGCAAAGAACTCCCAAGACTGTTTCTGTTCATCAGTCACGGTCGTCAGCTCAGCAGCCGACATTGTACCATAAAGACAGAAACGAGCCGTGAGCTTTTCACGCTAGCACAAGAGATCGTAAAAGAATTAAAGGTGCCAAGTGGAAATCTTTTATTGTGGACTCAGGAGCATCTCAGCACGTTTGCAACGATCGAAGTTTGTTTATTTCTTTCAAAGAGGAAATTGGTAATGTACATTTAGCCAATTCACAAGTCTTGCAGTCGCTTGGCAGGGGTACTGTTAAACTTGACTCTTTAAACATTACTATAGCGAACTGCATTTACTGCCCGTCAGTGGACAATTTATTGTCAGTAAGGTGTTTTGCTCGTCAAGGCATAACTGTGCGTTTCTTAAAGTCAATGTGTGAGTTTTTCGATGGGAACAAACGTCTATTGTATGCCTGGGACTCTGATGGTTTATATAGACTGTATTTTCGCACCTACTCCAAATTGCCTATAAATTGCAGAGCAGCACAGTCAAGCCAGGGGTTGAGGAATGTAAGGCCACATTCTGGGTGTGTCCATGAGGTGCACAGACTTCTTGGACACCTGAATTTTGCTGATGTAATTAAGACAAAGAATATTGTTAATGGCCTCAACTTAAAACCATGCAAATTCTTTATGCAATGTCTATCCTGTTGCAAGAATAAGATTAAGGTTGCACGCAAGGGTAGGTGCTCAGATAGGAAAGTAACTGAGCCATTTGAGCGTGTACATTGTGACTTAGTTGGGCCACTCCCACCATCATTAGGAGGTTCTAAGTACTGGCTTACCCTGATAGACCAGTATAGTAGATACTGTTGGACTTATGCAATAGCTGAGAAGTCCCAAGCACTTGAGAAGTACAAAGCTTTTTGCAACTGGGTAAAAATGCACTTTAACAAACCTATTAAGAACCTGTTTTCTGACCGGGGCGGGGAATTTGTTTCTGAGGATTTTGAGAAATTCCTGGAAGCGCAGGGGACTACTCATGAGTTATCTTGCCCCCGAAGTCCCTGGCAAAATGGGCTTGTTGAAGTTGTGCAGCATGACCTGCAGGCAGGGGCTAAAACTTATCTGCACGATGCTAATCTGCCCAAAGTCTTTTGGGCTGAAGCGCTCCATGCCTTTTGTTATGTTAGAAATCGCAGTTATCATTCTGGTTTAGATGTCACCCCCTATGAGAAGTTGTTTAAAAAACGCCCTAATCTGAAATACCTACGTATTTGGGGTTCAGATGTAATTATGCATTATCCTGCTAAGCAGAAATTGGGTGAGCGTAGTGTTCAGGGAAAATTAATGGGCTACCAGCAGGGGGCGTACAGAATTTACATACCAGAAACTGGCAAATTTCATATTACCAGAAGCATGATACAAACTGTAAATTGGAATGGCGTTGCTATTTTCCAAGATACTAACGGTATAGATAATACTGAGGAAGAAGAGGAAGAAGCAGCAGCAGCAGGAAATGATGCTTCTGAATTAATGGGAAAAGACGAAAAGCCTGTTGAATCTGATAATTTGTTTGATGATTTAAAGTCACAGGCACCCGAGGAGAGGTTAGATTCTCTTGAGTTTTCTGACCGTGAGCTTAGCCCACAGGCATCTCTTCAGCCTGACTTACAACCTGAAACTAGTAGTTCACTTAGTCCCATTAAGTCTGAGGAGTCTGACTCCCCTTCTGGACTGAGACGTTCAGATAGAGACAGAAGCCGCAACGTTTTGCAGATGAACATTTTAATACTGTGTATGCCAATAAGGCGGTTTTTGAGCCAAAAAGCTACAATGATGTTCAGAATTTACCTAAACACCAAGCTGTAAATTGGTATAAAGCTATGAACTCCGAGACAGCTTCTTTAAAAGAGCACAACACTTGGTCTCTTGTACCACAAACCCCAGATATGAGACTTATTGGGTTTATAGAGTTAAAATGAATGACAAAAATGAAGTTGTAAGGTACAAGGCTAGATTAGTTGCTAGGGGTTTTCAACAAATTCCAGGCGAAGATTATGATTTGTGTTATTCACCAAGTGTAAAATATGAAACAGTTAAACTTTTGTTAAAAGATACATCACAACGTGGACATTCTGTTTATCACCTAGATATAAAAACTGCATATTTGTTTGCAGATTTAAAAGAACAAATTTTTATGCATGTCCCTGAAGGCATAGACGCCGCTGAAGGTTTGGTATGCAAATTAAATAAATCCCTTTATGGTCTGCACGAAAGTGGAAGGAATTGGCACCAAACTTTAGCAAAAGAATTGCTGGATATTGGTTTTTCACAAGGAAAGGCAGACAATTGTGTGTTTATAAAGGAAAGGGCAAACTCTGTAGCAAAAATATGTGTGTATGTAGATGACGTGTTATTTTCTACAAAAACTAAACAGGAATATGAACAGGTAGTAACACAGTTACAGAAGAAATTTGATGTGGTGGAATTAGGCATAGCTTAAAATTACTTATCCATGCAAATTGAGAAAGGCAAAAATGGATCTTTTCTAGTTCATCAAACTGCAAAAATTGATGATCTTGTTGAAATGCTATGTTTAGAAAATGCAAATGGGAAGCAAACGCCTATGGTGTGTGGTTTCACCTTTACAGGTGAAGATAAGCCATTTCCTAACAAAACTTTGTATCATTCTGCTATAGGCAAGCTAAATTTTATTCAAAGAATCTCAAGACCAGATATAACTTATGCTTTTCACTTTCTGGCAAAATTTGTGAAAAAGCCCACTACGCAATGTTTCTCTGCTCTTAAGAGAGTGGTGATGTACCTTAAACATACCAAACATTATCGGTTGCAGTTTACAACATGTATTGACAAAGGTTTTGAAATTTTCTGCGATGCATCTCATGCAGTGGAACAAAATAATTGCAGGGGTGTGTCTGGTATGGTGTTTTGTTATAACGGTTGTCCATTTGAATGGAAGTCCCAGACACAAACCATTATTTGTCTCTCCACAACAGAGAGTGAATTATGTGCATGCGTTCAGGCCACTCGTGATATAGAATGGTATATGCAAGTATTTGCAGACCTACAGATGCAAGTAACACTACCAGTAAGAGTTTATCTTGATTCCCAGAGTGGACTTGCTATCCTATGTTCAGAGACCAATACGCAGCGCGCTAGAGTCTTAAGGTTACGTTTACAATTTGTAAAGAAACTAATTGCTGACGAAATGGTTGTATTTAAATATGTTCCAGGTGACAATCAAATTGCAGACATTTTTACTAAAGCACTTCCAAAGGTTACACATGAAAAACATGTACAAAGTATGCTTTATGTTTTTGTTCCACAAAGATGAACCGCAGGGGAAATGTTGAATGGTTTCTTTATACGTAAAGGTTCATCATTGTTCCACTCGATGTGTATGTCTTTAAGGGGCCAGAGCAAGGGCCAGAGCAAGATAACGAGACCCAGCTTTACAGCTGTGAAACATAGCAGGTGCTGCTGAGTTGTATTGATTAAGCTGTGTTGGTAATTGGGTGTAGTATATAAGGAGCAGCACCTAGCTCTCCCATTACCCTGGGGGATGGGTTGGTGGTTGGGTCATGTTGGTTTGTTGATGTATTTAGTGTAAATGGAGTTTTTGTTTTTCTTATTAAAACCTTGTTTAAGTTATTTTTGAGTCCCTTTTTAATGCATGGTCTCCCCAGCAAGCTCTCTGCAGCGCTACCATACTGCAAATAGCCAACAAAGTTAACTCTTTATTCAAGGAAACAACCTACAACTCGGCAACCCTTCCCAGTAGGTCTTGCACCTACGGAGCAGTTGCCAGGGATGAAGGTCCCTGCCTTCCACCCTTTCTAAGGCCCCTCTTCTCTCGGATGTTTCCAAGCAATCTCTGAACATCTCTGACCTCTCGTAACTGTGTGAGTTCTTGGAGACCAGGGGCGGAGGAGAGCTTGTTGCAGCAGGAGAGGGAGACTCCCTGGATTCTTCAGCAGTCTCTTGACTCCCATCCTCTGCTCCAGCCTGAGAGTCTGAACTGTTCCCTTTCACTGGCTCTTCCTGCTCACTAAACCCTGTTACCCCTTCAGCATCCAGCACCTCCTCCCAATCCTCTCCCTCTGACCTCTCCTCAGTGTCCCACCACCAATCCCCTGATTCTGAGCCTTCCTCCTCTGGGGTTTCCCTTGGGGGTTCCCTGGCTGGTGCCTTCCTCCACTCCTCTTCGTCCAGCCAGTCCCTGACACTCACCCATCCATTTGCTTGCCTTTTCCCTTTCACTTTCCCCAGTGTGGAATCTCACATTCCATCTTCCCCCTCTTAATAGGAATGCAGATATTTCACCAGATCAGGCCATTGGTCCATCTGGACCAGTATCAGTTGCTCTCCAGCATCCCAGAAAGAGTTGTGCTCAGGTTCTGCTTAATTTCTTCCCTACTGTTTACGAAGCACTCTTCCTTAATAATGCATTTGTGTGTGTTATTTTCACAAATACAGTGGTACCTCTGGTTGTGGTTGTGATCTGTTCCGGAGCTCTGGTAGGATCCCAAGGTTTCCGCAACCGAAGGTGCCTGTTCTGCGCGCACACGCAGCGTGGTAGAGTGCTTCTGCATATGTGCGCATGGCAAAACCTGGAAATATACTTCCAGGTTTGCCACGTGTCTATCCCGAAGGATACGTAACAAGAGGTGCACGTAAGTAGAGGTACCACTGTATATGCATTTATCAGTACCACTTAATCTAGCATGTGCATTTTTGTACAAATTACTTGGTTAAAGAACTACAGTCATACCGTGGGTTACAGACACTTCAGGTTGAGTTTTTTCAGGTTATGGACCGCCGAAACCCGGAAGTACCGGAACGGGTTACTTCCGGCTTCTGGCAATCGCGCATGCGCAGAAGCGCCAAATCGCAACCCACGCATGCACAGACACGCAGCTGCAGGTTGCAAATGTGCATCCCGCACGGATCACGTTCGCAACCCGAGCATCCACTGTACATTGTGAAATTTGGAGAAGTGTGAATTTCAAAGGACATCTCTGTTTCGGTTTCAGAAATTTGCTTTTAAATGTGAGCCGAACTGAATTTCTCCCCAGCTTACCCATTGACATCACTTCTGCCCAGTGAAAGTGGACCTTCTTCCTAGTCCAAGAGTCACTGCTCTTAGAAGGTGTGGATTTTACCAGGGAGGTAAAATCCACATCTTTAAGACTCCTATTTCTGTTGGCTCCATTCCCTGGGAAGTTGTCTTACCTGAGCGCTGGAAGGAGGTGGGCTCCCATCCCCTTGCAGCTTGGGCTTCTCTTTCGCTTCCCTGCTTGCCTGCTTGCTGCTGGTGCAGTCCTGCTTGAAATATTTCCTCGGCGGAGGTTTGGGCTTTGAGGACCTGGGTTTCCTAACAAGGATCTCTGCTGACCTTTTTGTATTTTGCAAGAGGTGACCGGCTTCTTTCAACATTGGTGGAGAGGAATCCTTCTCCAGGCTTGTTCTAGAGGAAGAATACAAGGAGCCAGGCTGTCTTGTAATCGGTGCATCAATGCTGTGTCCTTTTTCTTTCATATCAGCCAGCTGGTAGGGAAGGCCGTTGCCACATGATGGCCTGGGGTTGTAACTGCTGTCACTGCTGGAACGAATCATAAGCTTTTGGGAGCGGTGGCTGGAATGAGCATTATTCCTCTCTGAGTATTTTTCACATGGAGGTCTCTTGTGCCAGCTGTTCTCCAGGCTTTTAACACCTGCATTAAAAAACAAACAAACAGTTTTTGAGTGAGGAATAAGACAATAGCCAGAATCTAAACACCCACACAACTAATTCTGTGCACCTGAAGAAGCTCTGGAGTTATTCCAAAACCACAACAGCTTCCCTGCATGAGCTGCACTTTAAATAAAAGAAATAAAAAACAACCCCAAACCCTCTGGATGACTGCAAATGGCAAACCTACATGGCAAACCCAGTGCTTTTTTTCTGGGGAAAAAGGTAGGGAAACTCACTGCAAAGTTTGTTTGTTTGTTTGTTTTGTTGCAGGCCCAGTCACAGTGCCCACGCCCCCACAAAGCAGAGGAAAAATCTGCACAGCTGCAAACTATAAACATTTCCAAACCATATTATCAAAGGATCTGCTTACTCAGTGTCTCTGATGACAAATATGGGACAAAAAGACACCACTCTGCTGCAAAGTCCAGCAGGTCTCAGTGGCTCTTCAAAGAACTCCCAGCTGATGAGCCTTACGGAGCCAGTTCATCATGGGATATGATTAATAATAATAATAATAATAATAATAATAATAAATTTTATTTATACCCCACCCTCCCCAACCAAGAGGGAGGCTGACACCAGGTATAAAAACAATTGATTGAAATACAACGTAAAAACAAGATTAAAATACGACATTAGAACATTAAAATGCAGCCTCATTTCAGTAGGAACTCAAATCAAAAACTTTTAGGGGGATGAAAACATCAAGTCTTCACCAAGGCCAACTATCCAGACTGGTCCTACATGGGCCAGAAAAAAGCCAGGGAAGTCCCCAAATAGGAGTTCCATCACAGAAAGAGAAAGGAAAGAGGGGGAGGGGATCAAGTTGATTCCTAGCCAAAGGCCAGGCGGAACAACTCTGTCTTACAGGCCCTGCAGAAAGAAATCAGATCTTGCAGGGCCCTGGTCTCATGAGACAGAGCGTTCCACCAGGCTGGAGCCAGTGTTGAAAAGGCCCTGGCTCTAGTTGAGGCTAATCTGACCTCCTTAGGGCCCGGGACCTCTAGAATGTTACTATTTATGGACCTTAAGGTCCTCTGTGGGGCATACTGGGAGAGGTGGTCCCGTAGGTACGAGGGTCCTAGGCCGTGATTAAGGCTCCTTCCACCATTTCCCTGTGAGTAAGCAGGCAGCCCCCAGCAGGCAGATGATTAAAGGTTTTCTAACGGCAGTCTGAATTCTCTCCCACAAACACTTTTCGTGGGGAAAGCCTGGGATCTAGAGTGATGCTCCTCTGTCCAGTGGTGGTCCTGATATCTGATATTGCCAAACTCCAGAACTTTCAGGGGTGAAGGCCCACCACATATGATAGCAGGACCGTCTGGAGCTACTTCACCTCCAGAAAATGGGGGAGATGGACTTCAAGATACGATTCAAGTGGGCCAGCGTCAGAAACTGCATTCAATTTTTAATAATTTCTAAACCAATTGGGATTTCCTTACCTTCTGTCCGCCACTGGTACCTCTCCCTTTCAAACTTGTTGCTCTCCACCGCTTGTGAAATAGCCTCCTTTAGCTGCTGTTCAGAAACCTACAAAATGTCACAGATCACAGAGCTACTTGTGGAAGCTGGAAAGTTTGGCTAAAGACTGAATTTGGTTCCCTTTTCCTGAATACCTTTCTTACACAAAGGAGCCCCTTTTCACTCTAGTTTCTGTTGGCCGTTTTATCAATTTTCTTTTTGTGATTTGTGGAGTGCGGCTTTTTCCCCCTTCATTTTTTTGCCCACAGTGTATTGACTTATTTTTTGCTTCGGAAATCATGGAATCATAGAATTGTAGCGTTGGAAAAGACTGTGAGGATTATCTAGTCCAACCCCCTGGCAATGCAGGAATCTTCCGCCTAACATGGAACTCAAACCCAGAACCCTGAGGTTAAGAGTCTCATGTTCTACAAATGGAACTAAGCTGAAATAGCACAGTAGAGCAACAGAGACATCACATGAGGTCACTGACTACATAGCTTGGCTCAAAGAATATGTAGGAGGTTTGGGGTTTTCTAATGCTGTATTTGACCTGATACTTGCAGCATACATAAAACCCAGAGAGTTGTATCTAGCTCAGTTCTACTCAGAGTAAACCCACTGAAATTTATAAAACTAAAATGTTGTTGTTTAGTCGTGTCCGACTCTTTGTGACCCCATGGACCAGAGCACGCCAGGCACTCCTGTCTTCCACTGCCTCCCGCAGTTTGGTCAAACTCATGTTAGTAGCTTTGAGACTAAAATAGCCATGTCTATTACTTTCAATGGGTCTACTATGAATAGGACTAACACCAGATAAAAATCTGTCTTGATAAGAGGGTGTCTTTTGGTGACATACAGCATTTCCTTTTCCTGCCACCTACATTTTGGGGACCCTGAAACTTGAACTGTTATGGGGGCCCCTTCACAACCAGCAACAAGGTCTGGGTAGCCACCATTATGTTCTTCAGTTGGCTTGTTCCACAACAGATCACAATTTTTAAAAGGAAAAGAACTACCACATCTCTGATTAAAACTGCTGTACTGGATTATCTTGCAAGTCAAAGTCACTGTTGTGAATAAAAATTACCTAGGTGAAATATACTCGGAGTCGAGAGTGGATTTCATGCTCTTTATTCAGCTCATAGTGGTGAGGAGGAATGGAAGTTCCCCCACAATATCTGCTTTATCTACATTATTTACACAATGGGCTGCACATGATTGGCTAATTCCAGGATTCTCCTGTAGGCCAATCAGGTTGTGGATTCACTTGCACCTGGAGCTGGATTGGGTGGCTCCTGCGGACCAGACTGCTGCATTTTGGATCCTATTGTTCTAGGACCAATCAGACTGCTGCATTTTGGATCCTATTCAACTCAGTACATAACACTAGGCCTTATAGTTTTTGTGTTACTGCGACATTCTGCCTTTACAACATCAGTACTACTGACTCTCAGACTTTGTTGTTGTTGATATATATGTACCATAAAAAGTTAATCAGTTTGAGATGTGAGACTCAAACTGGGTTTACTAGACCAAAAATTGTTAAGCAATGTGGATTCAAGTTGCTTCTAGGGCCCCTCCAGGATTGGGGCCCCCTAAGCTTAAACTTCATTAGTTTCAAAGTAGATCCATTCCTGGCCACCTGCTATCAAGACTCAAAATGTCATATATATATAGATTGCTAGGAAACAATTCTAAAGTGAAATCATTTGAATAACTGCTTTCTTTTTTTACATTCAGGAAGCTAAAAGCCACCAGATAACAACATGTAAAGCATTTGAGCTGCTGCTTAATGGCACTTCGCTCACGAGGATTAAAGACATACAGTAAATGCAAATGACTGTACATAAACCCTGAGCACTTACATTTTAAAGGAAAAAAAGACGCTGCGAAGAACACCCAATTTGCAGTAGAAGAGAAGCTTCACCTTTTCCACATCCGCCACATAGAATCATAGACTTGTAGAGTTGGAAGGGGTCTCAAGGATCATCTAGTCCAAACCCCCTGCATGCAGGAATTTCAATGAAAGCATCCATGACAGATGGCCACCCAACCTCTGCTTAAAAACCTCCAATCTTAGCTCCTTTGCTTCTTCTCCATCATGGGGGTTCCCAATGCATGTTGTTAGCAACCCTATGAGGGTAAAAGCATCTGGAGAGCGACTCCTTTGGAAGGTAGTGCAACCTCCTCCTTTGGAGGTTTGTAAGCAGAGGTTGGATGGCCGTTCTGCCTTGTATGATCTAGTTGAGAGTCTTGCATTGCAGGGAAACACTGGTCTGCAAGCGGTCCAACTGGAGAACATCCTTGACCAAAGGTGTCATGGGCTCTGAAGATGCTCGAACTCAGGACGCAAGGGAGAAACATGCTAAGAGGAAGGCACACTTGGCAAATCCACACTGTGATCAACTCCCACCTGGAAACCAATCTTCCCACTGTGGAAGGACGTGTGGGTCCAGAATTGGCCTCCACAGTGACTTGCGGACTCATTGTTGAAACCGTGTTTATGGAAGACAATCTTACTCGGCTACAAGTGATCGCCAAAGAAGAAAGAAGAAGAAGGACTAGATTACCCTTGGCGGTCCATTCCAACTCTACAATTCTACAATTTTATGACTACAACCACCACCTCCAATGGTTGGCTAAGTTGGCTGGGGGATCTGATGGGAGTTGTCGGTCTAACAAGGTTGATGATCTCTGGGCTCTGTGTGAGCCTGCCCCATATGGCAACCCACCAGGGTGAGATTTAGGTTTGATGAGGCCCTAAGCTACTGAAGGTAATGGGGCCCTTTCTATGTCCAGCTGCCCTTTGTAAACAACAAATTGTCACTTTTTTGTGTTGAATATATACAATATGGTAATTTATGGACCTAATAGGTACCTAAAGCCATTTGCACCTAACAAAATACAGTGGTACCTTGGGTTAAAGATGCTTCAGGTTACAGACACTTCAGGTTACAGACTCCGCTAACCCAGAAATAGTACCTCGGGTTAAGAACTTTGCTTCAGGATGAGAACAGAAATTGTGCGGTGGCAGTGAAGCAGCAGCGGGAGGCCCTATTACTGGTACCTCAGGTTAAGAACAGTTTCAGGTTAAGAACGGACCTCCAGAACGAAATAAGTTCTTAACCCAAGGTACCACACTATGTATTTTATCAAAGTACATCCAGTTTTTTCCCCCTTTAAATTTTTTTGGGGCCCCCAAGAGAGTGGGGCCCTAACCTATAGCTTGTTTAGCTTATACGTAAATCCGGCACTGTATCCCACCAGAACTGCAGTTGGGATATCTTCCTAAGCAATAAAGAGTTAAAAACCAGGCCTGGACTATCAATGCCATACCAAACCCAGGCTGTCCATTGGGGCCTCTTAGACAGGAAGAGCTATAAAAGGTAACAAGGTCTTTCCAGTTGTGACTCCATGGCTCAGTCCTGACACTCAAGCATCATCAGAATATGGAAGCTTCAAGCTTACCTGAGGATCAGGGTGTCTGCTGATGATAATCTGCACAGCGCCAGGATTGCAATGACTTAAAACTGCATGGACCTCATTAAGCGACATGTTCTGGACTGATGCCTCATTGATTTCCACTATTTCATCTCCGCACCTTCCAAAATGGATAGGGGGAAAAATTTACATATTTCAATCCGGAAGCCAAGATGTGATTACTGGTATTTGTTTTAGTAGACATTTACAGACCCTCCAAATGTCCCTGTTTTCAAAGAACAGACCCGGATTTACAGAAGCCATGGATTTAAGCTTGTCAGTGCAACTTTCCCACTGTTTTGCCAAACGTAAGAGTTCTTTAGGCAATAGTGGAGGGAAGTTCGGTGGTTTTATTGAATAGCAGACTTGAATACATGCACAAAAGGCAGCCTTTTAAGAAAAAATAGCATAGCATGAACAAGGTAAACTACTTCCCTATTCTCCTATTGGGAACACCAGCAACTGATAACGCAGACCTTCCAAGTGTCCCTATTTTCCAGGGACTGTCCCGGATTTACGGAAGCCATCCCAGTTTTTGATTTGATCCCGGACTGTCCCCCTTTCCTTAGGACATCCCTGTTTTCATTGGAGAAATTTTGGAGGATATGGAGTTATGTGACCCCCCCCCCCGAGCCAAGGAGTTTACTAACTATATAACCTTTAGAAGACATCTGAAGGCATCTGTTTTAAATGTTTTATGTTTTGTTATGTTTTTATATATGTTGGAAGGTGTCCAAAGTGGCTGGGGCAACCCAGTCAGATAGGCAGGGTATAAAGATGATGATGATGATGATGATGATGATGATGATGATGATGATTATGGAATAGGACATCCCTATTTTCTTCAGGAACATGCTAGAAGGTATGCATTTACTATTGATGGCCTAAATCAAGGCGGTCCAACTTTTCATACCAAGTGAGCCACGATAGTATTTTAACCCAGAACCTAGGGGTTCTGTTGTAGCCTTGTTGTGTGGTGGAGGTGAAGAGCAGGGCCAAAATTTGTTTTTGCTTTTTTTAAAAAAAGATTTTTAGTTATACTTTTCAAATTTATACATTTCATTAGCTTTGCAATCAATTTCGCATTTCAAAATTTGACTTCCTTCCCCCTCTTTCTACAGTTCCTTAAATTTATTTTTTTTAATCTCTTCTGCATATCCAAATTCATTTGACTTGCTTATTAAATTATCTGCTGTAAATATATACTCTTATAAGACTACAGGTTGTGACAGTAATCCTCCTAATGTTTTTATCTGTTTACAATTCATCTGTAAATATTCAATAAACCATTTCTATTCTTTTATAAAAAGTTTGTTATCTTGATTTCTCATTCTTCTGGTAAGTTTTGCCATTTCTGCATATTCCATAAGTTTTTTTGTATCCATTCTTCCTTTACTGGGACTTCTGCTTCTTTCCACCTTGGGGCAAGTAACGTCTTGCTGCTGTAGTAGCATACATAAATAAATTTCTGTACAATTTAGGTACCGTATTTTTTGCTCTATAAGACTCACTTTTTCCCTCCTAAAAAGTAAGGGGAAATGTGTGTGTGTCTTATGGAGTGAATGCAGGCTGCGCAGCTATCCCTCTTGTTGTTCTGGCTTCTGAGATTCAGAATATTTTTTTTCTTGTTTTCCTCCTCCAAAAACTATGGTCTGGTGCGTCTTTTAGAGCAAAAAATACGGTAGTTCTGTCCCAGAAGGCCAAAATTTGACGCTCCAGTTTGTTAAGGGTGCTGAGGGATGGTAGGAGACTACTGTTCATCTTACAGAGCTACAATTCGCTTTGAATCAACCCCTCTTTCCAGGGAACTCTGCGAATTGTAGCTCTGTGGCGGGAAGAGGGGCCTCTTAAGAACTCTCAGTGCCCTTAAGAAACTACAGCTCCCAGAATTCTTTGGGGGGAGCCATGCTGGGTTAAAGTGATATTATCGTGCTTTAAATGTATGGTGTAAATGTGGCCTAGGTGGCCTACAATATACCGTATTTTTCTGTGTATAAGTCAATGCTTTTTGCTTGAAAAAATAGGGGAAATTGGGTGTCGTCTTATACGTGGATAGTGAATGCAGGGGGGGGGGACATGTGATTAATGGCAGCAGCAAGCAAGAGATTGGCAGCGGCAACTGGGTGGGTGATTGGTGGCTGCAGCAAGGCTTGCTGGCGATTGGCTGTGGCTGAGGCAATTGGGCAGGAAATTGGCAGCTGTGGCGAGGCAGGCGGGCAATTGGTGGCTATGGCAAGTGGGCGGGTGGGTTGTTGGTGGCAGTAAGCGAGCAGACAATTGGTGGCTGCGGCGAGGTGTGCGATTGGCAGTGGCTGTGACAAGCGATCAGCAGTGGCGGGCAGGCGGGTGAGCGATTGATGGAAGTGACCTCCTCCACCCCACCCCACCCAAAAAAGCTAAACAACTTAATTTCTTAATTTCAGGTTAAAAAAATATATTGTTGGAGTGGCATACAAAGGATGAACAAGTTAAATCCGTGATGATAGACTGGGCAAGAGAAGTGGGACATAACATAATGTTTGAAGATTGGGAGAGGTTATGGAGGAAAGGGGTCAAGTTCACTGCATGTACAGTGTTAAAGGAAAATATTATGAAAATGATGTATAGATGGTACTTAACCCCTGTAAAATTGGCAAAGATATATCATAACAGTGATAATTTATATAGGAAATGTAAAGAAAAAGAAGGTACCTTTTATCATATGTGGTGGACCTGGTGAAAGACTTCTGGGAGAAGATTTATAATGAATTGAAAAAAATGTTGAAATATACGTTTACTAAGAAACCAGAGGCCTTTCTTCTTGGAGTAATAGGTTTGGAATTGCCCAAGGAAGATGTTAGACTGTTTTTGTATGCCACAACTGCAGCTAGAATTTTGTTAGCTAAGAATTGAAAAACACAAGAAGTTCCAACAGTGGAGGGATGGCAGATGAAGATGATGGACTTTTCGGAGCTAGCCGACCTGACTGGAAAAGTCCGCAACCAGAAGGACGAGGAGTACCAGGAGGAATGGCGGAAATTTAAAGACCATTTAGTTAAATATGTTAAGATAACTTAATTGGGAATACTTGCAAATACCAGATAGGCTTAGGATTTAAATATGCAATGTTAGAGAATAACATGTTTAAAGTCAAAATGAAAAGAAAGAAATATGTTAACTGATTAAGTTAATTTTATGAGAAAATTAGTTTTGGAAAACTGTTACAATGATATACACTAAAATTCAGCCAGGGAGATTTGAGGAAGTCACTTAACAATGTTACCAAGATTGGATCAAGTAAAGTTAAGATGTATGTTTGTTTGTTCAAAAATTTGGAAAATCAATAAAAAACAGGGGAAAAAATAGGGGTCATCTTATACATGGGGGCATATTATACACGGGAAAAAACGGTAATTCTATTTTCCTCCCTTTTAGTCTCTCAGTCTGTAATGGGGCAGAGGGAGATAGAATTAGGCTGCAAATGACTAAGTCCCAGAGGGCTGCCTGCCCAGGAGAATATCCCCGAAATACATAGCGTGTGGAAGTCGTGCAGATCTGAAACACCCGTTCATCCTTCACACTTTGGTGACTTCTACAAACTTTCTTCTGATGCACCTTTAGCTGCAACCAGACCTGTGGTGTGTGATTTGTCAAGTGTGTTGCACCCACAGTTTCCTTCCTGCTTGCTTGCTTAGCCTGACCTTTCACTTTGGGGGTAGGGGGGGTGAGTGTTGCTTAAGCACTTCCAGCTGAAGCACAGAAGGCTGAAAGAGCAATGTGGTCCAAGCCCTTCATGGTATATGCAGCACAACTTAGCTTGCTAATGTGCAGCTTCTCATACCATTCTAGGAAGTGTGCACATGGTTTTAAGAGCACCGGCAGTTGCAGCGGTTTGAGAGTGGTTGCTCTGTTGTCCCTAGAAAATGTGTGTGTGTTACGTACAGAGGCTGTTTTGGAGTCAGTCCGGTGCAAGATTGTTGTGTAGACATGCCCTTATCGCTGCCATGTGTGTGGAAGGGAAGTGGGGCTGACATCATCAGTTCTGAGGTTCTCGTATTAATTTACAGTGGTACCTTGGTTCTCAAACGCCTTGGTACTCAGACAACTCAATGGTCTCGTTAGATCAGGCATCCCCAAACTCAGCCCTCCAGATGTTTTGGGACTACAGTTCCCATCATCCCTGACCACTGGTCCTGTTAGCTAGGGATGATGGGAGTTATAGTCCCAAATCTGGAGGGCCAAGTTTGGGGATGCTTGCGTTAGATAGTAAAATTCATGTTAAATTGCTGTTTTAGGGGTTGTTTTTAAAAATCTGGAACGGATTAATCCATTTTGCATTACTTTTATGGGAAAGTGTGCTTTGGTTTTGGAACGGACTTCCAGAATGGATTAAGTTTGAGAACCAAGGTACCACTGTAGAAGGCCCTTTAACAGCTTGGGCCCAAGACTATCTAATCACTGAGGTCTTGGGGAGGGGGTCTCTGTCCTCCATGGCTCAGGTGCTTGACTCATAAGTGTGCATTCCGTGTTGTGGACCAGGCCTGTGCAGTCCCCTTCCGACTGAGACTGTACAGGCCCCCTCCTTGCTGAACTTAAGTGCAAATCAAATACTTTCTGATTCCAGTAGGTGTTTGATGTTCAGTTTTATGCTGACTTTTTGATGTTTTATTCTGTGTAGTGTATTGTTTATATATGTCACTTAGAAATGCTAACGGTTAAGCAATATGTCAATGCCTAAAATGAATAAATGAAAATCGACTGCAAATATAGGGCCATCTTTTCTCTTCATATTTTCTGTAATTAGATTTCCTCATGTATTTTTTTTCAACTGCAGCCCAACAGTTAGTGACTGCCTTCTAAAGAGATGTGAATATTCTCTCTCTCTCTCTCTCTCACTCACACACACACACACACACACACACACACACAAACACATATATATCTGCTGTTGAAGCTATTCAGTCTCAACATACCTGAGCCTTCCATCCATGTGAGCTACAGAGCCTGGAGAGAGGGCATGAATGAATATTCCTGATATACACTGAAAATAAGGGATGCTGCATAATCCGATGCCCAAACCCACGCCAGCCTCTGAGGAAAATATATCAGAAAGATGCAAAACAAAGACAATCTGTTATGTTTTTTGAATTATATAAACTGTCGTTAGATGAAAACTTTGAAAATTAGATTGGTTTCTTCCCTTTCTGTCTAAATCGGGTGTGGGGAACATCAGGTTTTGGGGCCAGATGTGGCCGTCTGGGTCTCTCTATCCCTTCCTGCCTTTGGGACTATCCCTACTCTTGAGGCCACACCCCTCCTTCCCAGATCCCACCCCTCAGTGGCCCTCCTCCCTGCTGGCTTGGAGTGTTTCTGCCTTGCTGGAAGTGCCTTTAAAATGTGAGGTTGGTGCTTGCCTGGCTGGAGAGAGGTGTGCATGTAGGGACGTCCATCATTTGCAAGGCCAGAATGTCTACTGTATAAAGCAGGCATAGGCAAACTCGGCCCTCCAGATGTTTTGAGACTACAATTCCCATCATCTCTGACCACTGGTCCTGTTAGCTAGGGGTGATGGGAGTTGTAGTCCCAAAACATCTGGAGGGCCGAGTTGGCCTATGCCTGGTATAAAGGAAGGAGTCACATCTGTTGCTCAGCCCACTTTTGAAAACTGACATTTGGAAATTAAGTTTAAGATGTCCTCACCCCTTTATGAACACTGGCAATTTCCCCCTCACCTTGCCCTACTCCTCTCAGTAGACTATGACTTATTAAATCTGTTTTGGGGCAAATACTTGGCACACCCAAAGGGGGAGTTGTATCAGGGACGTGGGTGGCGCTGTGGGTTAAGCCACAGAGCCTAGGACTTGCCGATCAGAACGTCGGCAGTTTGAATCCCCGCAACGGGGTGAGCTCCCGTTGCTCGGTCCCAGCTCCTGCCCACCTAGCAGTTCGAAAGCACGTCAAAGTGCAAGTAGATAAATAGTAACCGCTCTGGCAAGAAGGTAAACGGCATTTCCGTGCGCTGCTCTGGTTCGCCAGAAGAGGCTTAGTCATGCTGGCCACATGACCAGCTGTATGCCGGCTCCCTCGGCCAATAAAGCGAAATGAGCGCCGCAACCCCAGAGTCGGCCACGACTGGACCTAATGGTCAGGGGTCCCTTTACCTTTTATCCAACTACTCAGAGTAGACCCCACTGAAATCAATAGACTTATGTTAGCCAAGACCATTCATTTCAATGGACTTAAAAATTATGGAAGTAGTATTCTAAAAGATATGGAGGGCACAATGTTGGCTACCGTGAAATTAAATCATACTTGAATTCAGGGGTAGCCAACATTGTGCCCTCCAGGTCTTTTAGGATACTACTTCCATGATTTTTGACCATTGGCCATGCTGGCTGGGCCTGATGGGAGCTGTAGTCCACAGCATGTGGAGGACACCTCACTGGCTATCCCAATTCAGTTGAATTCAAGGCCCAGGAAAGATCACCGATTTGGGGAAAGCCTTCCAAGGGAAAGCAGAGCTGCTGCTTCTCTTCCTTTGTGCTCCGTTACTTCTAACACTCACCTTTCTTTAGGGAAACTTCCATAATGATCCTGTCGTTGGGGTTGGCAGAGTTCAAGGGGAAAGTGGTGCCTTCCGAGCCAAAGGAGCTGTTCTCCTTGGTGATAGACATGCTGGTGCTCAGGGAACGGCAGAGATGGGAGGATAAGTAGCTTGCGGCAGAATGTGGGGTACTGAGGCTCGTCCGGACCGTGAGTGTGAGAAGACCTTTCTTGGCCTGCTAGAAACAAGGAAGCAACATGAGTTGTGTGTGCTATGTGTATAAAGAGAGAGGCAATGGGGAGACCCAAACATTGGGCAGAGTGAGGCAGCTGCCCCAGGGAGCAGATTGCGGGGAATGAAAGGGCAGCAAATTGTTAGATTACTTGATTTAGTATTCTTGTGTTTTTTGCTGCCCGGAAAGCGGGAGAACGTGCTTGTGCCATTTTCTGTCTCAACTGCAAATGGACAAATCTTTTCTTTTATATTTTTATCTGTTTCTCAATTCTCCCATCTTACGTTCCAGTGTCCACATTTTCAGGTCAGTTTGTGATTTTTTTTTAAGTCCTCCTGAAAATTCATCAGCATTTTGTCTAATAAACACATTTTTGCAAAACAATTCCCCCCAATGTGATGCTTTTTTTGTATGCTGCTTTCACTAATATTTTCATATTTATGCACTCCCCTCCCCCAGTATACAGGTTTTGGTGCTCATTACTTGGCTGGCAAAACGCCTTGCAAAATTCAGAGATGCACAACTTTTGAAGAACAGCTGTGTTTCAGTTTGCATATTTTTTTCAGAAAGTGTGAGTAAGATCACATTTCTGTTTCAACCCTAGTCTTGAGGGCCAAACTAACTTGGATGACCTCCTCTACTCTGCACCATGGCTTGAGTGCGTGTGTTGGGCAAGGGGAGGGGCAGGACTTCAGAGATGGACATAACCTTGAATTTCTGCAGAGCTTCGTGATGTGTGAGTCCATGCATTGATTCTCCATTCAGTTCCAGGATTTCATCCCCTGTTAATTGAAAGAAATAATCCTGTTAGAGAGCCTTAGCTTAGTTTATATGTAACACCATCGCTCCAATAGATGTCACAAACGAAGATTCAGAGCCATTGTGCATTTTCAGTTTCCACTCAGCATAAATGAGTGTGCGCACACACAAACAAACACATTGCAAAAAGATACAATGCACAACAGGATGTATTTATTCTGTTTCACAGTTACTCACTTGTTGTGTGTCAAAGCTGCAAGCCACCCCCATGAGAATAAAGGACACAGAATTTTAGGTTGGTGTTAATGGGCAAAATTTAGGCTACAACTTTATTGGTTACAGAATGTGAGCAGTATTGGCTTAGGCATTGGCATCAACAGACTATATCTGACTCCTGCCCGCCTTGCAGGGAGTCTGGTAAGGGTAAACCACCAGTAGGGGGAGCCCCACCAATGTAGATCGACTCAAGCACCCCCTGGGTTCCTGCTGGGGTCGTGGCATGGCCCTAGCCCCTCCCTGGGCTTCGGACAAGATCCACACCCCCGGATTCCTTTAACGGAATACCCCTGAGCACAGAGGGGCAGGTAATGGCCACACCTCCCCTCCCCCAAACTTCGCTATTCCAATGCCTAACCGCCAAACCTTACAAAGTTGTGACGATTGCTACGAGGTAGGTGAAAACCAAGTGGATGGTGCCAATTTGCCAAGTGGGAAAAGTCCTACCAGGCCCCTCAACGGCGACCAACTGAAGTCCATAGCAAAGCCAAGGACGCAACCTGAACAAGGTTGTGGGTCACAAACAAAGATTGAAAACCATTGTGTATTTTCAGTTTCCACTCAGTATAAATGAGTGTGCGCACACAAACAAACATACTGCAAAGAAGATGCAATGCATTTATTCTGTTTCACAGTTACCCACTTGTTATAAAAAGAAAAGGCCGGTCTACATATACAGAAGCAAAGTTCTCCCACCTTCTTGCAGCCTTCCATCTGCAGCGGCAGCTCCTCCAGGAAAGATAGTCTTCACATATATGCCAATGGGGCCATAAATACTGTCTTTGCCACCCACAATGCTGAAACCAAGGCCCTAAGGGGAGGATGCATGGGGAACATGTTTAGTTGATGAAGCGGTTTTAAAAAGGCTTTCCCAATTAAATGTAAATGCTGCACATTACAAAGGTCTTGCCATTATTTTATTTTATATTTTGGCCAAAGTTCTTGAGCTTTCTTTAGCTTTGCCCAGCTAAGTTTTATTTTATATTTTGGCCAAAGTTCTTGAGCTTTCTTTAGCTTTGCTCAAAAGTTAAAGTTTTGAGCTCAAAAATCGAAGTTTTCCAGCTATTTTTATGGAAATCCGGGTGTCTGCACATATGTGTGTTGTTGTATGCAATGTTTGGGAGGAAATAAGACGGTAAATAACAAATAACAAACTAAATATCGATGTATGTAATTTTTATTTCTTAATTATATTTAGTGGTAGTATGGCTGTATTGTTTTTTGTAACATAAAATCATTCAATAAAAATTATATATATATATATATATATATATATATATATATATATATATATATATATATATATGGAAATCCGCCAAAATCTGCACTTCCAACATGGGTTACCATATATCCAGATTTTACCAGATCCCAGCTATGTCTGGGAAATTCCTTATGGCAATGCTATCCCACCCAACCCTCAAAAATACAGATGGGAGAGAACTTATGAACTGATAGACAAAACCTACAGTTTCACAGATATGCCATGAGTTCCACTGAGTTCAGTGTAATTACTCTGAGATAACTGAGAATACAATTCCAGTCTTACTGAAAAATGTGTTGGCCTTGCTGAATGGGGCTGATGGGAGTTTGAGAATGGTTAATGATGCCTTCCTACATCCCTCCTAAGTCTAAGCAGTATTGCTTAGCAGCCCCTCTGAAACCATTCCTGCCCAAGCAGAGGAGACACATGATTAAAATTAGCATCTCACCTTCCCTTGGCCTTTCATTAAAACAATATTGGAGATTACAGAGGCTTGAAGACCACACGTCGCATGCATCAGCTGGGCTGTACTCAGAGACCGCGAAGACCTGGAAAGGGGCTGCATATTCAACGAAAAGCAACAGGTCAATGCCACTTGAAAGGACAGGAGACCATGGATGTTATGACTAGGGGTAGGATACAAATAGGGTTTAGTTTGAATTTTAAAGGGAACCTACTCAATTCACACTTTCTGAAACAGTAGGAACACTGAGGTCCAGCTCTGAGGGCCTTCTGGCAGTTCCCTCACTGTGAGAAGTGAGGTTACGGGGAACCAGGCAGAGGGCCTTCTCGGTAGTGGCGCCCGCTCCGCACAATCGGAACAAATTTCAGAAGCCAAAAAGGCTTGTTGGGAAATGCAATTTTTGAGCTGCCTGGCCCCGAAATGGCAATTAGGCATTCCGTTTTGGCAACTGTAACCCTGGTTTAAGGGGGTCATTTGGTGCCTAGATTAGTTATTTGAGTTTCTAACACTGCTTCTAACACTACTGACAATTAGTCACTCAGGCTGGAGCTGATAGGAGTTATAATTCGAGAACATCTGGAGGCCACAACATTAAATTCCCCTACTCCTACCAAGAGAGTCTTTCCTCATGCTACCTAGTGTGGCTTGAACTGGAAACCTTATGCACCACGATGCATATGCTCTACTACCGAGTTACAGCCAGACTTAGAAGATAATGCCTGGATGCTTAGAGATGCTGTGGGCAGCCTCCTCCATGTATGGATGGCTTTGGGTTCATTGGAGACATTAATTACCGTATTTTTCACTCTATAAGACGCACCAGACCACAAGACGCACCTAGTTTTTGGAGGAGGAAAACAAGAAAAAAAAATTCTGAATCTCAGAAGCCAGAACAGCAAGAGGGATCGCTGCGCAGTGAAAGCAGCAATCCCTCTTGCTGTTCTGGCTTCTGGGATAGCTGCGCAGCCTGCATTCGCTCCATAAGACGCACACACATTTCCCCTTACTTTTTAGGAGGGAAAAAGTGAGTCTTATAGAGCAAAAAATACGGTAGTTAATAAAGTAAAGGTAAGGTAAAGGACGCCTGGACGGTTAAGTCCAGTCAAAGTCGACTATGAGGTTGTGCACTCATCTCGCTTTCAGGCTGAGGGAGCCGGCATTTGTCCACAGACAGCTTTCTGGGTCATGTGGCCAGCATGACTAAACTGCTTTTGGTGCAACGGGACACTGTGACAGAAGCCAGAATGCATGGAAACGCCATTTACCTTCCCGCCACAGCGGTACCTATTTATCTACTTGCACTGGCATGTTTTGGAACTGCTAGGTTGGTCTTTGAAATTCAAAGACTATCTTCAGAAACACTGCAAAATTAAGGAATGTTAGAGTGATGTTGGACTGAAAATAAGTGGTTTCCAGCTGCATAGGTTAAAGTTAAGGATAGATTAAGATTAAAGATTAAGATTAAAGAAGTTTAAAGAAATGGAAATTTGATTTTAAAAGGAAAAACTTTAAAGTTACAGGATATTAAGATCAAGGATTAGGTTTAAAAGAGTTGAAGTTATATATTTTAACATTTTATTAATTTTAAGATTGGGTTTAAAAAATTGTAAAGAAACGGCTGGATAAATAAATGTGGATTGGAATACAAAAGAGGGAGGTATGAGGAAGTCCAGAAAATAAGTAATTTAAAATTGGTAATGGAAAAGAGAGTTCGTTATTAATTGTTTTGTGTTTATATTGTTTAAGCTTTGTATTGTTTTTTGTGTGTGTTGTTTTTCTTTTTTGTTTGTTTAAAAACTTAATAAAAAATTATTTAAAAAGAAAGAAAAAGGAACTGCTAGGTTGGAAGGAGCTGGGACAGAGCAACAGGAACTCAGTCTGTCACGGGGATTCGAACTGCCGACCTTCTGATCGGCAAGCTCAAGAGGCTCAGTGGTTTAGGCCACAGCGCCACCCGCATCCCTTTTATTACCGTATTTTTCGCTCTATAGGACGCACTTTTTCCCCTCCAAAAATGAAGGGGAAATGTGTGTGCGTCCTATGGAGCAAATGCAGGCTTTCGCTGAAGCCTGGAGAGCGAGAGGGGTCGGTGCGCACCGACCCCACTTGCTCTCCAGGCTTCAGGAAGCTATCCACAAGCCTTGCAAGCCCGGCGGGAGGTCCCGCGGGCTCACAAGGCTTGCGGGCGGCAGCCTGCAGCCCACAAGCTCGGGGGACAGAGGGGAGGCGCAGCGCCGCCACCCCACTATTCCCCGACCTGGTCTGGAGGCTGGCGGGGGGGGGAGAAGCAAGCTTGCTTCTCCCCATCGCCAGCCCCATAAGCTGGGGGAAAGCGGGGCAAGCCGCTGCCCCACGGAGGCTAGAGAGGCTGTCCCTGAAGGCAGAAGAGGGAGACGGAGCACTCCATCTCCCTCTTGTAGCTTGGGGATGGCTGTGCAAACCTGGGGGGGGGGGGAATAAAAATTTCCCCCTTGATTTCCCCCCAAAAAAACTAGGTGCGTCCTATGGGCCGGTGCGTCCTATAGGGCGAAAAATACGGCAGTTAATAAACTAATGCCCTGGCACACACAGTTTGGGAGCAACAGCCCTATGCTCTTGTAGCCGTGATGGAAAATAGGTGACTGTTCCCTTGACAGGAGGGAAATTAGTAGCCTTAAAGCTGTATATCAGCTGTTCCCTGCTAAGCATAGCTCTGCCTTGTTGCTGCTGCCATCTGATGGATTTCCTCTTACGTTTACAGAGGCTCTTCCTGCTGAGGTGTCCAGCTGCTGAGAGAGAGACTTCCTGTTGCTGTAAAGAGAATGGGACTGTCTGTATCGGGAGGCTGATTTCTTTGCCATGGGGCTGTCAATTTCCCCTATCCAGTATGGACTCACACCTGTTAACAATAACACACAAGAGAAGGGAGAAGGTATGAGACAATCAGGAGTGCATCACAAGGACCACAAGATAAGAGAGAAATTGCAGCACTGCAAGCGTTTCCAGATCGACTTTTTCAAGGCAGATATGGAGGATGGAGAGGTGTGCAGCTCCCTCAATATTCCTTAGTGGGGGGCTCAGGCCCCCGAATATTGAGGGGGCAGAGGAGGCCGAACTGCGGAGCTGAGCACGGCGCAGCATCAATAGAAGGTTGTGCCGGCCTGTGCAATGTTGGGAGATGCCTTGGTTCTGTATACCTGAAGGAGCATCTCCACCCCCATCATCCAGTCCGGACACTGAGATCCAGCTCTGAGGGCCTTCTGGCGGTTCCCTCATTGCCTCAAGTGAGGTTACAGGGAACCAGACAGAGGGCCTTCTCGGTAGTGGCGCCCACCCTGTGGAACACCCTCCCTTCAGATGTGAAGGAAATAAGCAGTTATCCTATCTTTAAAAGACATCTGAAGGCAGCCCTATTCAGGGAAGTTTTTAATATTTAATGCTGTACTGTTTTTGACATTTGATTGGGAGCTGCCCAGAGTGGCTGGGGAGACTCAGCCAGATGGGCGGGGTATAAATAATAAATTATTATTATTATGCTGTGAGGACTGGCATGGCCTGCTGCAAAGTCACACTGGCCTGCGCACCAGCTACTCCTGACACCAAGCTGGCTGGTGTAGCCTTCCGCTAGGCCTCATGCCAGGCTGTGACAGTCTCCACAGCATCTCCTGACACCATGGAGACCAGTGCGGCCTAGCAAAAGGCTACACAGCATTGGAAGGTGTGTGTGTGACATAACACATGCAATGCGCACCACCATCCCAATCTTGGGTGCCACCCAGCACCTGTGGAGGGGTGTGTGTGTGTGTGTGTAGAAGCTAGCCTACTGTACAAAGTTAAAATTTCCCTTAATTGCTCCACCCACTATGGACTCTGGCCTTGCCCACCACGGGCATCTTCAGCCTCAGTCCTTCCTCCCCGCACACCCATCTGCAATATCACCATGGCAACGTCTATTATTATTATTATTGTTATTATTTTTCAGGTTGCTTGTTGCCTCATAACATACATCTCCTTTTTAAAAAATAATAATTAATATTTATTAATTTTCAACCATTAGAACACAACAAAACAGAAAGACAAAAGAAAAAGAAAAAAGAAAAAGAAAAGAAAAAAGGAAAACATAAAACTAACAAAGCATAACACAAACCATTTCAAACACAGAACAATTTCAATGTCTTATCTTTCATTCCCTTATTTCCACGACCTCCTCACACCTCCCTTTCTGTTTTCCACTTCTATTAATTATTTCAGCAATTCCTTTCCATCTTCCTCTGTTTTCTATCCTATAATTATCTTAACATATTCTAGCCTTATTTTCCCTTTAATACACTATTAATCTATTTATACTTGATTCCTTATAGCATTTCTACTAAAGCCATATAACTTCATTCCAACATTTTTCTAACATTCATTATTTTTACAGTATTTCTATAAATAGTCTTAAACTTTTCCCAGTCTTCTTCCACCAGCTCTTCTCCCTGGTCTCGGATTTCTGCCAGTCGTTTCCGCCAATTCCATATAGTCCATCAACTTCATCTGCCATTCTTCCCGAATGGATAAATCTTGTGTCTTCCAGTACTTCACAATGAGTATTCTTGCTGCTATTGTTGCATACATGAAACAAATTCTATCCTTCTTTAACATCAATTGGCCGACCATGCCCAGGAGAAAGGCCTCTGGTTTCTTCAAAAGGGTATATTTAAATACCTTTTTCATTTCGTTATGAATCATCTCCCAGAGTGTCTTAATCCTTGGGCATGTCCACCAAAGGTGAACTCTAATCCTCAAATTCGTCTGTTTTTCCTTAAGTTCAGTCATAGCGAGCGTCAACTTATGTTCATCAAATTGCCTCTGTAGGGCTGGGGTTCTCTTTCTCTTTCTCTCCAGTTGTGTTACTTTACCTTCAGCAGCAACAGCTTTTTCCCTGACTTCCTCCACAGCTTGCCATATCAAAATAGGTTCTTGTATCAATTTCTGGGTGGTTTCTGTATTGGTATTATCCATATTCCCTGCATTCAAGTCAACCTCAGCAACCGAAACGTCCACTTTCGCATTTATCATGTCCATTTTCCTGTGAAGCTGATCCAATGAGTACAGTAAACATCGAAAATTTTTAATGCCCTCCTAAGGCCGACTCTTGAAAAGGATAGGATCACTGCGTCGTCTGCGTAGAGTAGAAGGGGGCAACGATATTGGGCAAGACGGGGGGCGTGGATCGTTTCTTGAGCCTCTATCAGAGGCGCCCTCATATCACTTATAAATAGATTGAAAAGGGTCGGAGCAAGGATACATCCTTGGCGAACACCTCTATTGATAGTTACTGAGTTTGAGAGGTCGCCTGCCGGAGAGATTCTCACCCTAGCGGCCGATCCGTCATGCAGTTTAGTTATTAGCCACAAAAGTCTTTTATCTATTCCCCATCGGGCTAGTTTTCCCCAAAGCAATCCTCTGGGGATGCTGTCAAAAGCGGCCTTTAAATCAATAAAGGCCGCACAAAGTTGGCCTCTATTTGGGGAGGAGTATTTCCGGGCAAGGTGGTATAAAACTGAGATCTGATCAACCGCTGACTGATTCGGTCTAAAACCAGCCTGTTCAGGCCCAATCAGGTTGTTCTCTTCGGCCCACTTAGTAAGCTTAGTTAACAAGAACCGTGCATATATTTTCCCGATTAATGACAATAAACTGATATTCCTGTAATTTCCCGGGTCATCTGTCGAGCCTTTTTAATGAATTGGAACAATAATCGCATCCTTCCATATTCTTGGTACCTTCCCACTGTTGTTTACAGCATCAAAGGTAGCGGCCAAGATTTTCGCCCACCAGTCAGCATGAAGCTTTATAGCTTCTGCCGGGACTAGATCAGGACCGGGGCTTTTCCGATTTTAAGATTAGAAATAAGTCCGTGGATTTCTTCCGGGTCAGTGGGTGGCCAAAGAGGGAGCTGCTCATAGACTCCATCGATTGTATTAATATTAAGGTCTGGTAAGGCAAAATAATTCCTTAGAAAGGATTCCCAAATTGGGGCAGGAATAACTGTTAAGGGGTATCTTTTAGATTTTCTGTTAACCAACAGCCAGAATTTTCGGAATTACGAGTACTTGAGGCAGCTATAAGTGCTTGCCAGCGGTTCAATTGCCATTCCTGTTTGGCCTTTTTCTGCACATATTTGTAAGCTGATTTTGCCTGATAGTACTCCTTGGGAAGCGTAATCGCCCCTGAGGATTTGTAATCATTATAAATAGCACAAAGATGTTGTTTGGCTTGTTTGCAATTACGGTTAAACCACGGTGCACCTGTCTTGGGGTGGGCCCAATTTGCCTGGTGGGTTGGGACAGAAAAGAATGACGTGAGGTCATTCAACAGATTGGCAAATAGATTAATAGTTTGGTCGTGATCATATGAAGTTATGCCAAGGGCTGAATAGGTTTGTATGATCTCCTGCTGAAAAAATTCAGAATATTTTTGAGCCTGCGTTACAGACCACTTTATACCCTTCACTCGTAATGCCGTATTAATACCCTCTACCTGGTTTTCTGCATTAGTATCTAATTGAGTTGGATGACCGTGCTCGTCCCCGTGCCAGTCTAGGTCAAACGTAGCAGCAAGTGGAAGGTGATCACTATAGTGAATATTGTCAATCTTAAAAGAGAGAGCTTTCGAAATCAGGTCACTCGAGGCTAAAAGGTAATCTAGCACACTGTTTGATTTTATGCCTAGGTGGGTATACTCCCCCGGTATATCAGGAGGGCAGCAGCCATTCAGGGGTTCTAAGTTTAAGCGAATAGCCATCTGGTAAAGAAGTACTCCAGCCTCGTTTACTTTGGAGTCTTTTGAGGCTCTCCCTAAGGCATGTCTCAAATCATAATTGTCAAGGCATGGAGCAGTCCACCATTTAGCTTTAGTTAAATCAGCCCAATTTGCTGCTATACGTGCGTTGAAGTCACCACCAATTAAGGATTGGCTATTGGCATATTTGACTCGGCATGATACTAAATGATCTTCTAATATTTCCCATCTATCATGCAGTTCAAGGGACGAACCCTCTGGCGGGAGGTAGACATTAGAGATTAGCAGTGATACTTTTCCCCCGACATCAACCCGGATAAAGCATAAGGGGAGCAGTCAAAACTAGTGAAAATTTGAAATGCAGCTTCAGTGAGATACCAATTACTAGACCACCTTTCGGCCGTCCTCCTTTCTGGGAGGGATAAGCTGGAAGGGATAATAGGTCGAATCCGTTTATGACAATTTCACCCTCCTCCCAAGTTTCTTGCAATAGAATGATATGAAACGAGTTGATATACGACTGGAATTCTGGGTCACATTTTTTCCTACGCCAGCCAGCTATGTTCCAACAGAGGATCGATATTGGTGGTTTTCTGGATTGTCCGGCTAACCGTCATTTAAATTCTTGTGGGGGGTTCTTATGCGACCAGGACGCTCCCTTAAAGAAGTCCGTTATTTTCCTTTGCTGAAAGTTGTCGTCCTGGTGTGGTGAGTCTTTTGCTCTGGTGCACACCGGTTGTGGGGAGTCTTTTGCTCTAATGCGAGCCGGTTGTGGCACGATCGACTCACGAGGGCCAGAATTTTTGGGAGGCAGAAGAGAGTTAGCATCCTGGTGGGTAGGAATAATATTTGGCATTTTTAGCTGTCGGGCCCAACTAGGCTCTGAAGAGGCTCCTGCCAAGTCCGCTGGAGCCGTCCTCTTTGGGGATCTAACCGATACACTTGTGATCCTTTGATTTATATGTCCTGCTGGGTCTTCAATCCACTCTGTGGTGACTCTCGACACTGTAGTGTCTTCCTCACGTAATTGTTGGATTTTTGGTGGGCAAGAGTGCGCTGGAGAAGCCTGACTTGGAATGGCCACTGCCGTCTCAGGTCGTGGATGGTCTTCGATGTATGTTGATTCCAAGTCCGGCATGGAGGAATGAAGGGACAACGATTTATCCAGGGGGGTGTTATCCTGAGTTCCATTCTTTGATCGGTTAATCACGGAGGGGACAGATAAGTCTATTAGAAGCAGGGATGAGTTACCAACGTGAAGGGGAGGAGAAGAGTCTGCCTCCAGCAGTGAGACCTTCCCATCCAATGCAGAAGGCACCTTATATGCTGGGTATTGGGGAATTGCTGTTTCCACCTCCATGGGGTATGGCACCGCTAAATTAGAGTGGGTATTACTCGTAGAAACTCCATTGCAGGCAATACTTAGGAGCTGAAGTTTAAGTAAGTCTAGCCTATTTATAATTTCTTGTTGTTCCATCGCAGGTAACTCACCAAAGGAGGCGATAAGCTCTCTTTCCTCCTGGGGTGTCAGAGAGTTACTGGCACAATCGTAGTGTTTAGTTGTAGGAGTGGAGGCATTTTGGGACTGGCCCAGACATGGGGTGTACAGCTCAGCCCTCTTTTGTGGTTCAGGATGGGAGGGTTGTACCGTCTCCTTGATTAATCCCTCCGATAGGAGGGGTCTAATTATGGAATCCATGAAGACTCTCGTTGGAAAAATGCCAAGACTATTCAAAAACACTTTTTGCTTAATAATAAGAGAGGGGATTTTTGCAGAGTGGAAAGCCAGCATCATTCTCTGATATCTGTTCTGTTGGATTAAGGGAAGCACAGCACAAAGATCTATTTGTGATGTCTCAAGTTTTAGAAGCCATCTGAGGTGCTCTTTAGTCCCATGTAGCGTTGCCCAACTTGGGTCCCTTTCCCGGAAGGTTAGGGAAATCTTCCTTGGCTGTAGAGTCAGGGATTGGCGATTCAGTGAGGGGTTGAGATTATATTTGCAGTTCTTCATACGATCAGTGTTTGGTGGCGCTTTCTGCCGGCACAATGGAACATCTACTGCCCCATCTTGGGCTGTCTGAACCGGCTGGTCATCCAGTTTTTGCTGAAGGCTGTGCAGCTGAGAGGATAGGCCATCAATTCTCTTAAATATACAGTTTAGAGTTCTAATTATTAGATGGAGTTGCTCACAACCTGTGCAGTCCGCAGATTCGTCCACCAACACCTCCTTCGGATAGGGACCATCCCCATTTGTGTTACCATTGGCTTTTCCAATTTGTAGCGTCTCAGGGGCCTCATCTTTTGATGTTGTTTCAAGGGCCGTTAGAGGATCGAAACGATTTTGAATTGCTATTGAGTAGATACATTCCTCGGGGCCTCTCCCACCTTTAGGTAAACCCTTCCTTGATTGCTTAGGCCTCGGAGAGGATAATGCCTCGTCAGGGTCTCTTGGGCGTTTTCCATGGCCCATAAATCAATTTTGCAGGGGAACCGTCGTGAGCACTGTGCTGGGGAGCTCCTTAAATCCTTTAGTCTTCCTCACAGGAATACTACCACTTCCAGGAGAGTGGTGCTGTAAAATTACTCACAGTAAGGCAGCCAGTTCAAGCCTCTTCCTTCCCCTCTTCCTTGTTCCTAGGATTTTGGAACAGCCCGGTTCCAGCAGTCGGGCAAACTTCACTTCGCAATATGCAGTAAGCTAAAAGGAAATAGCTGGTTGACAGGGCAGAGGATTTATGCCCAGGAAAACTTTTCACTTATCTCTCCCAGTTAGGGAGGCGGCGGCAGCCGTGGCGGCGAATCCGGGGGGGTCGGAACAACCCAGATAAAACAAAATAACACAAGTGGAGCGATATTAAAAGACAGCCAGCACAGCCAGCAGATCATTAAAACTCTCGGATAAAAACAAAGGAGGATAAAACCGCTTAAAACCACGTAAAACTTTGATGAGGGTAAACGAAATTACTTGGTAACTACCTTCGTCGCCATGTTGGAGGAGGAGGAGCCCCTGATCCAATGAGTCATTTATCTTATATAATGCAGCCACCAAAGCCTCTTCTGTCGACATTCCTCTTGGTTTCAAATATACTATTATAAAGACAGCAACAAAAAGAACAGGAGGGCCTAATGATAGACCTCTCCTGGATTGTTACCAAGTCCTCCCAGACCTTAATGTTTTGTCAGCAGTTGACTGATCTGTTTTTCCTCTTCCATTTACCATAACATTTGAAAGATTCAAGGTCAGTCCCAGAGTCTCACGGTTTTTAACTTGCAGCTGGAAATTCCCCTAGTCCAACTCTTGTAAAGCAACCAGTTTCAAAGGCTTCCACTAGGGGGAAACAGTTTCTATTTGTAATAGTCAATAGTATCCTCTTTTAAACAATCCAAAGTTAGTTTCAAATTAGTTTCAATTTTCAGTTACTTTTACTCCTTTTTAAAGCAGCCGGAGACAGTAGAAACAATGTATTTCTCTTGTTTAACTGTCAATGAACGTTCTAAGCGCTGTCAATGAACATTCCAAAAGACGTCAGTCCTACTAGCAGCCCATTTCCAGGGTCAGAGCGGCGGTGTTTTAAGTCTCTTCGCTCTTTCCCGCAGGCATACTCAATCCGCAACTTCCCCCTCTCTTCTCCTGCCGCCAAGAGGAGGTTTAATGTTCTTTACCGTTGGAAATTTGTTCTTTTACAAAAGACCTTCCAGGACTCCAGCTTGCAACTTCATTGCCTCAGTCTATTTACAAAAGGGGAAGGCGTACTTCCTGTTTTGAACCTCCCCGTTACGATACCAAATTAAACTTTTAGAAATCCAATTCTTCCGCTTCAGCTCTACTCATGGGTAAATACTTTAAAGTCAAATTGTCCACAGGAAAAGGTCAGCGCTCTCCGGCAACAGCTATGCGGCTTCGCTCCGTGGAAGAAGCAGACGATTCGATGCACCGCGCCGCTCACCCCACGTCGCTCCGGAGCCCCAAAATCGGGGTTCCCCGCGAGTGGGGGAGGCGCAAAAGGTGCCCGCCAAATCCCACGTTCACAGGCTTCTCCCGCCTGTGATTTTAATGGGTCTCCGCCTTCGCCGTGGCGGCCAGACCCAGATTTCCACGGAGCAGATTCCTCCCGGTCAGAGAAATTCCGCCATTACCGGAGGCGCCTCCCCAGAAGTCCAAAAAAATACATCTCCGGCTGATGTACTTATGCAGTTTTAAAAACAACCACCCAGTTCAACAAGGCAACAATTATTCTGCCCTGCCTTAGGGTGTTGTTTGCCAGGATTACCAAGATAACATACGTGGATTGCTTTCAATATCCTAAAGTGCTATATAGTTCTTTAAATTCAGATAGATTTAAAAATGCTGATCTTCAGCTAAAGAAGGCTCCCAGAGAGGTTTGTCAATCACTTAAAAAAGAGAGCCTATAATCTAAGAAGGCACGATACGAAAGGAAAATGGATGTGGGGAGGAGGAGGAAATAACAACATTAAGTGTTAAAATATAAATTGCCGCTAGAACTTACTGGCTGAATTGCTGCGAGTCCTCTGACATTTTGCTTTTGTCTGTAGAATGGAGCCGTTGTGTACGTCCTGTTTAACAGGCTGTTCTTTGCGAGAACAAACTGAGGATTCCTGGAGTGGGGAGAAAAAGACTAGCTTAATCTTTTAGGGGGCAATGTTTACTCTGAGCTTGCCTGAATACGCTGGAGCTCTCTCCTGTCTTGGCGTGCAACACCAATAATACCCCTCACCAAAATGGCAGAGCCATTTGTCATACCCATGCAAGAGATTCTTGAAAACTTTAGCAGACTTGGATGATGAGTCCCCTATATGTTACATAATTTTTAATTAGGGTTAACGAATCTTTGACTAACAGCTCAGAGCAAGCTTAGTTTTAACAGCCATGTGGCAGGCCAGAAACAGGAGAAGGGTGGCGCTTTTCAGTATGAAGATAGGAAGGTAGGAAGCTGCCTTATACCATTAAGTCTATATAGCCAAGCATTATGTACACTGACTGGCAGTGCTGAATGCTTGCTTGAATTCCACAAACCCCACATTGATAGACATTGCTGTTAGGGCAGCCAAGTATCCCACCCCACCCACCCACTGCCAGGAATGCCCTTGGGAATACTTGCTCCTGTTTTCAACATCTGGATTTTCAGAAAATCCCATCGCAACCTGCCATCAAGATTTAATGTTGAATGGCGACTTCCCTTTTCCCCACAGCAGAGGGCGCTTTTGTTAAGTTACTCAAACGCCGTTGCTGGGTATCTTCCCCTTTTTGAACACTTTGGGGGGATGAGATTAATGTAGAAAAGCACAGAATCCTAGAACTGTAGAGGTGGAAGGGACCCTGAGGATCATCTAGTCCAACCCCCTGCAATGCAGGAAGACAGAGCTGTCCCATACGGGGATCAAAGTTGCAACCTTGGTGTTATCAGCACCATGATCTAATCAACTGAGCTATCCAGACTGATAATCACCTTTCTTTCCTGCAGTGTTCTCGATGGTTACTTTTTGTTAGTGTGGCAGCTGTGCCACTAAGAGCTCTGGGACAGGCAGAAATTCAAGAGAAGATATTTCCCCCCCAGTGTGGCCATGCCATGGAGAGGAAAAGCACGCCTCTTTAATTTCTATCTTCCATGCAGGTATTAAAGGCACAGTGGTGGGGGTTGAATATGTGTAAAGGTAAGGTAAAGGGACCCCTGACCGTTAGCTCCAGTCGCGGACGACTCTGGGGTTGTGGCACTCATCTCGCTTTATTGGCTGAGGGAGCCGGCGTACAGCTTCCGGGTCATGTGGCCAGCATGACTAAGCTGCTTCTGGTGAACCAGAGCAGCGCACGGAAACGCCGTTTACCTTCCCGTCGGAGTGGTACCTATTTATCTACTTGCACTTTGACATGCTTTCAAACTGCTAGGTTGGCAAGAGCAGGGACCGTGCAATGGGAGCTCACCCCGTTACGGGGATTCGAACCACCGACCTTCTGATCGGCAAGTCCTAGGCTCTGTGGTTTAACTCACAGGCCACACCTTCCCTAATACCAACCACCTTGGGTCCTGTTTGTGATGCTGTCCAGTTGTTCCCTGCCACGCATAGCACTGCCTTGTGGCTGATGCTGCCATCTGATGAATTTCCTCTTACATTCACAGCAGAGACTTGCAACAGGGCCTTGTAAGTGGTGGCTCCCCTCTTTGGGGAATGGCCTACCTGGTGAAGTGTGTCTGTCTCCATCATAACTGACTTCCAGGAGGAATTTTTTTAAAAAAAAAACCAAAACATTCTGGTTTACACCCAGACCTTTGAAGACTGAAAGCTACTGTTCCTGGAAACTTTGAAATTATTTGCTATGCGAATGTGTGACTTTATGTTCGTGCCATCAGAGTCCTTCCAGGAGGACATATCAGGGCCTCTTATTAGGAAATGACCCCACACCAGTAATCACTAGAGATCACTCGGTGCTCCTATGGCTATTGCTAGGCACTGGCCTGCTTTTTCCCCTCTGGAAAAAAAAAGGAATAACAAGTGCTACTTGCCTCCCCTTTGGCTGAAGGAGCAAGTGGGCAGAGACAAAAAAAGAAAAGAGGAAGGAGGTCATGCAGGGCATCTTGCCAAAGTCTCCCCCCCACACACACTTGCAGACCTGTGGTCCTCCTACCAGGAGGTCTCTCCCACGTACCTTGTTAGCAATGACTAAGTTTACCAAGCCTTTTGCCGACCGGATGAGCGATTCCGCTTCTTTGCTGGAGAGCTCCTTAAGAGATTGTCCATTGACAGTGAGAAGTTCGTCGCCAGGGCTTAGACGGCCATCCCTTTAAAAACAGCATCAGATACACACTATAATTTATGTTAGAAAATAAAGTGGTACCTTGGTTCTCGAACTTAATCTGTTCTGGGAGTCTGTCCGACTCCCGAAACCATTCGAAAAGCAAGGCGCGGCTTTCGATTGGCTGCAGGAGCTTCCTGCGCTCAAGCAGAAGTCACATCGGACGTTCGGCTTCCAGGAAAAACATTTGCAAATAGGAACACTCACTTCCGGGTTTGCAGCGCTCGGGAGCCGATTTGTTCGACAACTAAGCCATTCGAGAACCAAGGTAAAGGTAAAGGGACCCCTGACCATTAGGTCCAGTCGTGGCCGACTCTGCGGTTGCGGCGCTCATTTTGCTTTATTGGCCAAAGGAGCCGGCGTACAGCTTCCGGGTCATGTGGCCAGCATGACTAAGCCGCTTCTGGAGAACCAGAGCAGCACACGGAAACACTGCTTACCTTCCCGCCAGAGTGGTACCTATTTATCTACTTGCACTTTGACGTGCTTTTGAACTGCTGGGTTGGCAGGAGCAGGGACCAAGCAATGGGAGCTCACCCCGTCACAGGGATTTGAACCGCCGACCTTCTGATTGGCAAGTCCTAGGCTCTGTGGTTTAACCCACAGCACTGTATTTATTTGGAACTGGAATCACTTCCCTGTGTCTGCTTCGTTCCCTGAAGCTCAGGTAACTTAAGAGATTTGGAGACTGCACAGAGGTTCATTTGCCCCTTACCAAACAACGCCCCCTCACCCCCCACCACAACCAGGTGATGCTGGAATGGGGCATAACAACACAACCTGTAAGTGAGAGCACTTAATGTGTTGTGTTATTAAAATACTGCTCTGGCTGAGCTGCTGTGATGTCATGCAATGTTCACCAATGTTCCAATTTCTGAGTATCAGTGTTTGCAAACCTCCACACAGCCTGTGCACTGTGATGAATCATGCAAATAGATACATACATGCATGCATAATTAATTCCAATAATAGAATTTATTCAGTCCAGAATTGTGGATTGTGATATTATGCTAATGTCCTTTGCCTATTTTGAGCCTTGGTTAGAAGAGGTAAATTAGAAATATGAGTAATCAAATACATTCATATTCATCATCTTTAAGCGAAGATGTGAAGTACCTCTGGGCAGCTCCTCCGTCAATCACGTGGCTAACTGTGAATTCTTTTCCAAAAGCAGAGCAGTTGGGAGTCCTGGAGACTTGAATTCCCAGCCCATCGGTACCCGTGGCTATGCAGAGCTTCCAAATGCAGCTGTCCTGGTTTGGAAGATTTGGAACGGTATTTAAGGTAAGAACTGATGCTTCTCATGAGGCCAGCTATAACATTTGGATAGCCTAAAAATAGATGTGCTGGTGTATTCATACAAATCAGAAGACATTCCCCATCCCATGCAATCTTTGAATCTGCATCTTAGCAGATACATCCCCTCCAACATTCCTCCATCGAAAATAGGGACGTCCTAAACAGACAAATGGAACATTCTGGGATCAAGCCAAAAACTGGGACGACTTCTGTAATTCTGGGACTGTTCTGGGAAAATTGGGAAACTTGGAGGTGTGCAGATAGTGTGGGATGTTTGTGCTGTGGTCCTTGATAAAGTTGAGCTTTTTTGTTAGTACTTTGTCTCTCAAACGAGGTCTACTTGATTTGGAGAAAAAGCCAAGATGGCTTTTGTGGTATTGTGATTCCTTGTGGGTCTTTAGGGATGTTACTTAACTGCACATTTCAGTATTTCTGACGTGCCCTTTGGCAGCAAAGCAGTTTGTTTCATTTTAGTTCCCTTTCTGTTGGTAGTTGGGCCCAGGAAAGTCTCTGAAGGAGCCTAGCCTTGTTCTAAAAACGTTATTGCTGATATGTAGGAGAATTTCAGCCTCTGATCTAATAAAGTTTTTACACGTTACTGTTCCTTTTTAAAAACCTGCAGTTTATTTCTTTCTGCTTAGTTGCACTTTTTTTGTGATGATGACTTTATTGGTGCTTCTCTTTAAATAAAAATAAAAAATCTGCAGTGTTAAATGGATCAGTTTAGTTGCTTAGAGAGTGATGCTGATACTGCCAAGGTTGTACGAGACAGCTGCATATTCCTGTTTTGCAGGGGGTTGGACTAGATGATCCTCAGGGTCCCTTCCAACTTGACAATTCTATTATTTCTTTTATGGACAAGTCATATTTCAAAGGTATGAATTCTCACAAGCTTTCCAGCATCAAACACTAAATAGCACTACACACCAACTTTTGTTCCTTCATAGTCATTCCTATATCATCTCTTATCAAAACATTTTTATACAGTTTTGTACTGCAAACAGGCGATGTTAGATGCCATTATCTCTGCCTGCCTATCTTCTTGTTGAATGGTTCTGCTAACATGAATTTGACCTGAAGAGTATTGTTTTCTTTCACCCTTTTTGCAGACGGGTAGATATTTTTGGTCCCTGCTGCTTGCTTGAAAATGTAAAGCCCACAGTCTTTTATTTGTTGCTTCTGGCCAAGGAAGGCAGAGAATTTTGAAACGGCTTGCATTTTAATGCAAACCTGCCTTATTTGTACTTCCCAAAACAATATGTAAACTGAAATGCAGCTATTCTTCAAAATTTACATTGCTTCATATTTTACTATGTACTTAATTATTCTTATATATTTGAGAAGTTTATATCCCACTTCTCAATAAATACCTCAAAGAGGTTTACAGGAAAATATAGTTCTCCAACCAAAACATACGTACAAAATTGCGTATATTAAGGGAGATCATAAAGATGCATAAGTTTGTGAATATAATGAACAATATGCATGATCTTAGGCAATTTGGTTTTGCAAAAATGCATATAGAAGGAAAGATGCACACTAAAACGCTGTCTAATTTTCATGAAGACCTTAAAAAAAAAACACCACCCACTAACTGATGTGGAATTGTGCCAATCTGTACTTAAGTAAAACTGTAATTGACAGAATCGCCCATCCTGAGTTCTACAGCTCACTTTTATGCCGTTGTATCTTGATGGTGGTGGGTACTGGTTTTGAAATCTGGCAGCTCGCTTATGGACCTTTCTTTATGCAACATTAACATGACAATATTTAAAGTGTGAAATCTCATACTTTTTTTAAAATACTAGGCAATATTGCATGTCAGCCATTGTGTACTAGTATCATAGAATTTCGTAGTTGGAAAGGACCACAAGGATCATCTAGTCTGACCCCCTGCGATACAGAAATCTTTTGTCCAACGTGGGACTCAAACCCACAACCCTGAGATTAAGAGTCTCATGCTCTACCAACTGAGCTGTCCCTAACTATGCAGTTATTCCTATATCCACTCCACTCCAAGCCGTGCACGCTTCAAAATCCCGCAAAGCCCCTTTGCCAGTGGATGACAGTAGGCGAGAGAAACAGATATGAATAGTGATACCTTCCACTGCATTAGGATTATTGCCTGTCTCTCCAGCCTATGGCTTGGGCTCTCTCTGTATACAGTGGTACCTCGGGTTAAGAATTTAATTCGTCCCGGAGGTCCATTCTTAACCTGAAACTGTTCTTAACCTGAAGCACCACTTTAGCTAATGGGACCTCCCGCTGCTGCCGCACAATTTCTGTTCTCATCCTGAAGCAAAGTTCTTAACCCAAGGTACTATTTCTGGGTTAGCGGAGTCTGTAACCTGAAGCGTCTGTAACCTGAAACATCTGTAACCTGAGGTACCACTGTATATGTGACTGCACCATCCCTAAGGGGCACCCGTAACGTTTGCAACACAAGTCGGAAGACCTGTCTCCTAGCATTCCCCTCCAACTAACAGCTTTTAAGCCACAATTTTGCTGATGAGAGGTGCCTTTTAAGACCCCAGCTTACCCCTGCTGTGTGCGCTGTAATGACAGCTTTGTATCATAGCAATGCTCTCTGTATTCCTGGTAGGATGAGCCTGCTGTGCTGCAGAACGGAGAGCACATTGGATGAGCAAGCCACACAGTAGGGGGGGTAATACCCTTGGCACGGAAATTCATGCTGCCTTGGGAAAGGGACACGGTTCTGGGGTTTGTCTCCCAAACCTCTAATCAGGAGAAAACCCATATTCAACCGGGGGGGGGGGGTGACTCTTACCCAGATCTTAGGGAACACCAAGCATCCAGTGGTCAGGTGTGACCCTCTTCCTACCTTGATGAAGAACTTTCTCTTCATATTCTTGCAGCCATCGCTGGCCGCAGCCCTCAGTTGCATCATGCTGGTGATCATAAAAGGATCAGGAGGGCTGTCCTCGCTTGACGATGCACACGTTAATTGAAGCCGAGGGCAGTAGTTGCTTTCCTCTTGACCCCAGTTGGCCTGTGTTTCGAAGGGATTGGGGTACTTCTCCTCCGGGCTCGATCCGTCGTCGCTGTTCTTGCCATTGCAGAGGATGAGGGAGCGTGAAAGGGAGCGCAGGGTTTTTGACTTCCGACTCTTTGCGCTGTTCTGTCGCTCCATCTTCGCCCACCCAGTAATCTGCTGCTTCCCGTCAATTTGCCATGGCTATTACAGGGGCTTGTCCCAATTATTGCAGCTGAACATCCTGCTGGAGGAGAGAGATACAGAGGAGAGAAAGCTGGCTTGTAGATATTGCTGTTTCATCTCTTCTTCCCCACCCCACCCCAAAATAACACACCGTTTCAAATTTGCGATTTTTATTTTTTTTAAGACACAGGCCTTCAGTTCAGGCACAGCGACGTGATGCCTCATGACTTGCTAATTCTGTATTTTTCAGAGAAGTGCTAGGCATGTCTCCCCTCACCCCCACCCCCTTCGCCGCCTTCATCTCTTGGCTTTATATTCTTTCTATTTCTGTCTCTAAGCACCATGGAAGACTCAAAACAAATATTTTGCATCGGTCCTCTTCAGTTTTGGCAATCCTCCTGTGTCCCTTCCTCCTCAAAAATACACCCAAAAATCAAAGTGGGCATGTGGCAAGCACATGTTTCCAAACATCTGTCATACAGGTACGCCGGATAGAGGATCCCTGTATCTTTTTCCCTTTGGGGAAGGCAAGTAGCTTGATTATCTGTCCAGCCTGAAGCCACCTGTAGCTGCTTAAGGAAAGGAAGCTCTGGGCTGGCGGCTGGCCAGGTGGGGACAGAGGGAGTCAGGAAACCGTATCCAAATAAGTGCATTGATGTGCAGAAGTCTAGGATTGGCTGTGATTGTAGCCCTGTTCCGATATCCAGCTGCCTATGGAGAGGAATGGAACTGCACACACAGTCTCTTTTCCCAGCCACCCCAGTAATGCCGTCTTACTTGCCTTTTCTCTAAACTACTCCCCACCCCATTCCGTGTTGTAGCCTTTCCTCATCGGGGAATTTGGGTGTGCTTAGGAAATTGATTGATCCCTGGTCAGACTGTTTTTGCCTATCTAGCCCAGTGCTGTCCACTCTGGCTGGCAGTGCAATATTTAGAGGGTGCAATACTTGCCATGCCCCGGGCACTGGCAATCCACGCTATACCACTGCTGGTAGCTCCACAAACACCAGGATGCTTGCTATCATCGGCTACCTGGTTTCACTTCACCCTTTTTAAAGAGTGTTTTGAGAGTAGGAATTGCCTACCTTCAGAGAAGTCTGCCCCACTGTGTTCTGTGTGAGTCGCTGTTTCAGGTGCAAAAGGGTAACTCATGCAGAAAAGCAGGGGGTGAACTCCTCTTAAGTTAGGTCTATGAGTCTCTATGAAGAATAATGGGATAAGTCCATTGCACCAAACTCATATGAGGCAGAACTGGCCATCCTCAGCGGAGACTGATTGAAAGGAAGCAAGAGGAGAGCATGGAGTGTCAAAAAGAGCTAACGGGCAGCTTCCAATTGTGGGTAGTACTTCAGAGTTATGGTAGCTTGTAATAGTTTGATTTAAATTTTATTTCTCATGGCACACTAGCTGTTATCTATATTGGCACGTAGTTAACTATTGTAGTAACATATCTCTACAAAGATGATTTACTCTTCTAACATCTTAAGGGTAGTGCTTAAAAAAAAAAAAGATCTCATTGGATAACATATACATTTACGCCTTGTGGAATTAAATTATGCATAGGAAACATGTTTAAACTAAAAGCCAAAAATATGCATCGTACAGATGCTTTTGAGGATTTTGTTAGGTCTGGGGTTTTGTAAGTAGACCAACCAAGAATTAGTTTCCCCAGAAGGCAGTTTCCTTTCACTTTTGTGTTGCTCCAGATTTTAGAATATAATTTTTGGCTCGGCAAACTACGTATTTTAGGAGAAATATTTCAAGTTAAAATGTGTACCAAAAATGCAGGCGCAAAATGATGTGAAAACGAAACCAAATTTATGAATGAATGCTCATGAAACTGACACAGACGAGAAATAGACTGATCTGACTATCTTTACTAGGGATGGATGAATCTTTCCTTTTCTGTATCTCTGAGAGTCTCATTTTCCCAATCTTAGAATTCCTTGTGAAAACTCATCAGCATTTTAGTGTGCATTTCTCATAATATACACATTTATGAATGTCATTTTCAGTAACACTCAAAACCATTTAAAAGCACCCACACACTACAACACCCACTCTCAGAAGACCTGCCATAACAGCCAGTTAGTAGCCAAAGGACTGTTGGAACAAAAAAGGAGGCCAGCCTCCCATGGCAGGGAGTGTGGGATAACCAGCCTCACATAATCAACATACTTCAGTCTAATTAATACATGAAGGAGTTAATACCATAGAGTAAGCTGTCCTGCCCGGCTTAGCTATGTCACTTCCCTTACTTTAGGAGGAAATAGGCAAACGAGACTATTGTTTCCCCCCGAGTCTACCTGAGAAGTTCAGCATGTTAAGAGGTTTGAGCTGGTTGCTCCAGCATAACAGCATGGCTCTCACTATATACTTTTGAGTTCCTATATCAATAATCTAGGAACTTTCATCACTTTGTAACCAAGCTAAGTTTTACTGCCTGGGCAACTTTTCTGACAGATATATGGGAAAGCACATGAAGCAGGCCTTTGAAGAGTTTGTAAGTAAACCAAATTTTAACTTATCAAACGTGTTGTCTTCTATGCTAGGGAAAGTGGGACTCACTTAATTGGAAGGGCATATTTTAAAGGTCTAGCAGCTTATATTTCTACACTTTGTTACACATTTTGTGACTCTAAATCTCTGCTGCAGTGCTCTCACCAAAGAGTACTTGCCCCAAACTTGGATCTTGGTATCCAGGAATTCTCATTTCTATATATGTTTTGCACCAACAAGGAGTTCCACAATCTGGGAGCAGCCACTAAGAAGGCCCTTTTGATGTACACTCTCTCTAATATACACATTTCTTTAATCGGAAAGCTCCATCACAACATTCAGAGAACTGCGAATTTTAAAGGGTAGCTGTGTTTTGGTTTGCATATAATTTTGGGAAGTGCACCAAACAGAATCTCCTCAGTATCTTCTTCTTTTCATTCCTTTTCTGCTAATGTACTGATGAATCATGATGTGTGACCAGACCAGCTCTGGCTGTTTTTCCTTTAAAACCTCAAGCCGTCTGCACATATTGTGACCCTAGAAAGGAAGATATGGATGTTGGCTCTGCATATGGGATTTACATAGTAGGGAATGATTGATGCTGAGGCCTAGCAAGGAAGAGGTGAATAAGGTCTTCCTTGATACATGTATTCTGTATTAAACTATTTCATTTCTGAACCAAAGAAAACTAAGCTGTACAGTTGTACCTTGGTTTTCGAAACGTTTTGGCTCCCGAATGATCAAAACCCGGAAGTGACTGTTCTGGTTTTCAAACGTTCTTTTGGAAGTCGAAAGTCCGACGGGGCTTCCACGGCTTCCAATTGGCTGCAGGAGCTTCCTGCAGCCAATCAGAAGCCGCACTTTGGTTTTTGAACGCTTTGGAAGTCGAACGGACTTCCGGAATGGATTCCCTTCAACTTCCAAGGTACGGCTGTATATAGCATTTGGAGAATAATGCACATTGAGTCGATGGTGCGTAATGTCATATTAGTTTTTGCATAATTTAGTTTAGCTTTGCTACATGTAGGAATGGTGCAAGGCGTTTTGAAAAGCACTGCTTTGAGCTCTTTCCCTAAGCATTTGCCACAGATCTTCTGATTCTTAGGAACACCTCTTGCTGCCAGGAAGCCTCTCCTCTGGGTAAACATTATGAGAGTTGGAAGGCCACCTTTCAAAGATGTTGTATTGCATTCTGCATTTTAGATCCTGCATGGAGAGGGTATAGATTACATGGCCCCCAGGTCCTTCTGTTCTATCAGAGCTAGGAGTTTGCTCTTCTTTAAACATCTGAAATCCTCAAGCAACCAAATTATGGTGCCAATACCATCTTCTGAGGCTTTTATGTGCTCTAAGAGAATTGAAGCATACACCCACAATTTTGGTTATTGGGGTTTTCCCTCCTGGGCTTTGCTTGTTTCTTTCTTTTTTCTTGAGAAAGATAACAGAGGAGAACCAAATTTGCACAGCAGTGTCTAGCCCCTCTTTGCCTCATCTGTGAACTCCAGGTAATCAAGGACCTGCTCATCCTTGGCTAAAAGGGTTCATGCTGTACATGGAAATGGACTAACCCTGTCATAAATCAGAGCCACAACAGCAACCACAACAGAAGCAATTACAGCAGAAACCAGCCTGGCGTTGAAACCAGCCCAGCTGCTTCCCTTAAGCATGATCTATCGCCTTGGAAAGAAAAATCTCAATAAGTGAAGAAAGGAATTTGAGACCACCTTCTGATAAATGTTCGTTTTCCTGGAAGGAATGCATTCGGGGAAAGGATTAATAAGGCGCAGGTCGAAGCTGCACAAGCAGGGATCAAAAGAGCTCAAGGGGGGATAGATAAGATGGATTTCCTAGGCCAACGCTGAATAAGTGTTATTATGGTAGACCGAAGTGCTTTAAATTTTGACCCAGGAGCACTGACCCAGAGTTCAACATCTGCCTACATATCCACACGTGTGTGTGCTGAGCTTAAAACTAAGATGGTCATGTGACCAAGTTACCATTTGAGGTGCTGGAGGAGACTCTTGAGAGTCCCATGGACTGCAAGAAGATCAAACCTATCCATTCTTAAGGAAATCAGCCCTCAATGCTCACTGGAAGGACAGATCCTGAAGCTGAGGCTCCAATACTTTGGCCACCTCCTGAGAAGAGAAGACTCCCTGGAAAAGACCCTGATGTTGGGAAAGATTGAGAGCACAAGGAAAAGGGGATGACAGAGGACGAGATGGTTGGACAGTGTTCTCGAAGCTACTAGCATGAGTTTGACCCAACTGCGGGAGGCAGTGGAAGACAGGAGTGCCTGGCGTGCTCTGGTCCATGGGGTCACAAAGAGTCGGACACGACTAAATGACTAAACAACAACAACAACAACCAATCCAAGTCTGGTTTAAAGATAAAGAAACAAGAGCATTGGGAGCAATAGAATTGCCTATCCCCAGTTAGCACCAGGATAGCAGCCTGAGCAAAGGCCCGGGTCATCTGGTCATAGCCTTTCTCACCGTGGTGACATGTACTATATTTAGGGATGGGGAGGGACTTCAATTCAGTTTGCATTTAAAGGCAAACTTACTCTCATTAGCCCTTTCTGGAATATTGCATGAACCAAATACACCCATCTTTGAAAATTCACACTTTTCTGAATTTTGCAATTCAGATCTCCAGCCAAGCAATGTGTAAAAGAATTGCACATATTTGGATACAGTGTACATAGAAATGCATGCATTGGTGAAAATGACATACATTGCATAAATGAAATGCTTTGTCAAACTGTATATATTTTGCCAAACTGCATACAAAAAAATTGTCTCTTGGGAGAAATTCGCACTAAGATGTTGTTGCATTTTCGTGAGGACTTGTTTAAAAAGCAATTTGCAAACTGGTGTGGAAATGTGGAGAATTGAATTTAAGACTGGAAAAATCCATAACTAACAGTATATCTATCTAAATTACAGTATTTCTAAATGTGCCTTTATACATTTAAATATAACACATGAAAAATTGTGTCCTCCTTCCTCCCTCTTTTTCTTCTTTTTGATGATGCTTAAGTGGCTCTCCTACCTGAAAGAAGGTTTTCCTGATCTGGCTGAGTGGATCTGAAACTTTCTTAAGTTTTTCCTCCTCCTTTTTTAGCTGCTAAGTGAAGGAGTAAGATTCACTGTCACGATCGACCATGCAGAAAAGAATAATACAAATGCCCCAAAAGTTTTGTGAACTAACGTATGGAGAATTATTTTGTAGACACTTGCCCACCTGCCAACTCCAATGCAGTCATAAGTCGATGTAGCCAACATGCCCTGACGAAGCACACCCTCCTCCTTAAGGATTTTTCTTCTGTTTCCTGTATGCGCTCCAGATACAAAGTTGTCTTGCGTTGTTTTTGTAATCCAAATCAAATGTTTAACAGCTTGGCTGGCTGGTCTCACTTCTACGCACGCACACACACACACACACACACACACACACACCGCTTCCAACCTCCCTTCCTCTGTTTTGTGCTAAATTATCCTAACCTTTTTTTGGTTCTTTATGTAAACAAATGTGCTTGCAAGGAACAGCGTCCATTCTGTTTACACTTCATTTGGGATGACCAAACAGAGCATTTACGAATATAATAAAAACTGTTTGGCGCAATTGCAAAACCGAACTGGAGAGTATTGCTTTTAATGAAAAGACAGGAAATGCCAGATTTCTTCCTTGCTGTAGAGATCACGAGGGTTTCTGTGCCGTTTGGCGCGAGCAACGTAGTTCGACTTCTTTCATCCAACTCTGATGAGAAGCCAAGAAGGTTCAGCACTCTCTTCTTCTTCTTCTTCTTCTTCTTCTTCTTCTTCTTCCTCTTTTGAGCTTTTCCCATAAATAAAAGGAGAAGGATCCGATGTGTCTTGGGCTATCCCATTGGTAGGTTCCACCTTTCTTATAACTTCATCTAGCAGAGCCTGGGGTTATTGCAGCGGGAGCAGAAGAGAAGCATATAGAACCATTCTAAGAAATGAAATGTTAAAAGGGACTTACAACAAAGCAGCAGCAGACTCCCTCAGAAGGCTGTTTGTCTTTGCGGCCCCGGCAGAAAGCTTCAAGCGCAATAATTGAAAACACACCCTCCGACTGTCACATGACTTTCTTTCAGTAATTCTGTACAGGGCTATGGGACACAGCTATTGTTTCCTAACCGCAAAAAGGGGCAGGGGGAAGAAAAATGATAAATGAACCCAGTGATTTTTTTTGTGTCCAGGGCATCCCACCAGATGTCTTAGTGCACCCCACCCCCCACAAGCAAGGTCTTGCCATTTTGGTTTACCTTATAAAGGGTTAACTCTTCTGACAAAGTCTGCAGTTTCATAGGATGAAGGCAGGGAAGAGGGGAAAGGTTGTCGCTCATTGGCATGGCATCTGCCCTGTGTGCAAAAGGTCTTGGCTTCCACCCCAGCATCTCTAGGGAGGGCTAGGAGAGAACCCTTCTGAAACCCCAGGGAACCACAGCCAGTCAGTGTAGACCAGGGCTTTTCAAACTTGGGTCTCCAGCTGTTTTTGGACTACAGTTCCCATCATCCCTAGCTAATGGGGCCAGTGGTCAGGGATGATGGGAGTTGTAGTCCAAAAACAGCTGGAGATGCGATACCAAGCTTGATGGATCAACAGGTCTGACATTGTATGAGGCAGCTTCCTTGGTTCCTAGGCCTTATAGTTTCCATTACATCTACAGGGCTGAAGGGCACTACACATCAGGGTGGACACAGTTTGCATGATGAGCTGGAGGGGCATATTCTCCCTCATCACATTTTATCTAGCATGAAGAGGGATAAGCTCAAAGGGCAAGAAGGCAGCATACTGCCCAGACATCTTCATTGTCTATTGAGAGGGTCAGGGTTAAACTGAAGTGCCTGTCATTCAGAGCCAGTTCACATGTAATGTGGAAGATCGAGGAGGCAATTTGCCAGTGCAAATCCCTAAAAGTTGCAGATATGGGGTCTCAGTTGGATCAGAACTGTGAGATTCATGGCCAGTGTAGACTATGCATGAGGACTGTAACCCAGTAGGCGTGTCAATGGGCAGGGATTATGGGAATTGTTGTACAGCAATATCTGGAAGGCCTAACCCCAACCCTTTAACCCTAGCCTGTCATATTTTTGTATGTTATTTTCACTAGTACAGTGGTGCCTCGCAAGACGAAATTAATCCGTTCCGCAAGTCTCTTCGTCTTGTGGTTTTTTCGTCTTGCGAAGCACGGCTATTAGTGGCTTAGCGGCTATTAGCGGCTTAGCGGCTATTAACGGCTTAGCGGCTTAGCGGCTATTAACGGCTTAGCGGCTTTAAGAAAAAGGAAACAAACTCGCAAGAACTCGCAAGACGTTTCGTCTTGCGAAGCAAGCCCATAGGGAAATTCGTCTTGCGGAACGACTCAAAAATCACTAAACCCTTTCGTCTAGCGAGTTTTTCGTCTTGCGAGGCATTCGTCTTGCGGGGCACCACTGTATCTACCTTTTTAGGCACAATTTATCATTTTGGTATGCATTGCTTGGCTGGAGAACTGCACTGGAGAATTGTGAATTTCCCTGGGTGGCTGTATTTTGCTTCATGTGTTGTTTTGGAATGGGCCTATTTGTTCTTTAAATGCAACCTGACTTGAATTCCTCCCCCATTATCACCATGGGAATGTGACTCTCAACAGGAAGGCAAAAAGTATTATGGGGTATGCTACAAGTCCGAATGGTTGCCAAGTGTGTAGCCATTATTCTTTTTAACACGTGAAACAATTATTCATTCTTCAACTTAGGAAGCTGCCCTACATTGAGTCAAGCTATTTTTGCCCATCCAGCTCAGTCCTTGCTCTGACTGGCAGCAGCTTTCCGGGGCCTCAGACTTGGGTTTCCCCACCACCTTTTGTCAGACATGAAGGATTGAAACTAGGACTTCTTACATGGAAAGCAAGCGCTGTGCTACTGAGCTATAGGATTACGCCTCTCTATACAGTGGTGGCGCTGTGGGTTAAACCACAGAGCCTAGGACTTGCTGATCAGAAGGTCGGCGGTTCGAATCCCCACAACAGGGTGAGCTCCCGTCGCTCGGTCCCTGCTCCTGCCAACCTAGCAGTTTGAAAGCACACCAGTGCAAGTAGATAAATAGGAACCGCTCCGGCGGGAAGGTAAACGGTGTTTCCGTGCGCTGCTCTGGTTCGCCAGAAGCGGCTTAGTCATGCTGGCCACATGACCCAGAAGCTGTACGCCGGCTCCCTCGGCCAATAAAGCGAGATGAGCACCGCAACCCCAAAGTCAGTCACAACTGGACCTAATGGTTAGGGGTCCCTTTACCTTTACCTTTATACAGTGGTACCTTCGGTTGCGGACGGGATCTGTTCCTGAGGTTTCCGCAACCGGAGGTGCCTGTTCTGTGCATGCACATGGCACGATAGAGTGCTTCTGCGCATGCGGACGGTGCGTAGAGTGCTTCTGTGCATGCATGAGCAGCGAAACCCGGAAAAATACTTCCGGGTTTTCCGCTTTCGCAACCCGAAGTTTACTTTACCCGAGGGTAACGTAAGCCGAGGTTCTACTGTACATGGAACGTTCCTAAGATGCTGAAGAGACCCGGCGCTAATGAAGGAGACATATTTGTTAAGCTACAGTTTGCCCAGCAAAAGAGTTTGTGGGAAAGGAAATGTTGACAGCTGTGACTTGCTACCGAAAGAGCTCGCCTGATGATTTGTGCTCCTCGTGCCTCCTAGCCGCCCCCAGCCAGATTCCTCGGAAGCCTGTCAAGGATCTGTGATTCAGTTTGTGTGTAGGTGAAATGCCCTGGCCTTTTTGTGGCATTTCTTGTGACGAGCAAGGACCGTGAATTCAGAATTTGCAGTGTGTAAAAAGCAGGGACTATCAAGCAGCAGGGGCTCCCGAAAGGCAACTGCTGTGAAACCATTACTGTTTTGCTAAGATGTGTGGGCCCTGATAGGAATGTTACACTTTAACAAAACTTTTGAGTGAGTATGTATTCAGGGATGGAGAGCATCTGTGGGTGGGTGGTAGAGGAGGATGAAAGAATGTCTTTAAGGATTGCTTTGCTTGATCAGACCGAAGGTCCGCCTAGGCCATAATCCTCTGCTGCTTATAGCAGCCTGTCAGATGCTCCCAGGAAGCTCCCAAGCAGGGCATGGAGTCTGCTCCTGTTGTTTGTCACTGAGCTCTGGTAAACTGCACCTGAACATGGAAGCTCAATTTAGCTGTCGTGTTTAATTGCCGTTGGTAAAACGTAGGCTCCATAAATTTTCCTAAGCTTTTTATTTAACAGAATTTTAATCGAAAGCCTCTAAGTGGATCACTTGAAACAATATAAAATACTCATTTTAAAATACAAATGAAATGGTATATTAGAACAAGCTGAGCTTTAAAGAAAGGATCAGAATGTAAGTAAAATTGGCAGTATTAAAAATATACATAATAAAATAAAAATTCAGCTCAAAAGTATACACCTGGGTAAAGGTACCCCTGACTGTCAGGTCCAGTCATGGACGACTCTGGGGTTGCGTGCTCATCTCGCTCTAAAGGCCGAGGGAGCTGGCGTTTGTCCACAGACAGCTTCTGGGTCATGTGGCCAGCATGACTAAGCTGCTTCTGGTGAACCAGAGCAGCACACGGAAACACTGTTTACCTTCCCGCAAGAGATACCTATTTATCTACTTGCACTTGACATGCTTTCGAACTGCTAGGTGGGCAGGAGCTGGGACAGAGCAATGGGAGCTCACCCAATTGTGGGGATTCGAACTGCTGACCTCCTGATCGGCAAGCCCTAGGCTCAGTGGTTTAGACCACAGCACGACCTGCGTCCCTTACCCCTGGGTAGGCTTACCTAAACAAATAAAAGTTTTTAAGCTAATGCCAGAAGAAATATAGCCAAGGTGCCTACCTGGCAGTGGCATAGCATGGGAGGGGCATGGGGTGGTTGTGGCAAAATTGCCAGCGGCACAAAATCTCAATACCCGGTGCCGCCACAATACAGCTACACGCTTCTATTGCTGGGCTCTGTTGAAAAAAGTTTCTGCATGCGAACCAGGAAGTGACCTCTCCAGGCAACCGAACAACTCTTCTTTTCTTATCTCTGCAGCTGCGATCTCCTAAGTGATGCAGATGCTGTAAGGCAGCTGAATGTGCATGCGTGTTCCTTCTGTTTCCCTCCCTCTGCATGGCCCCGGGCACTGGCAACCCACGCTATGCTAGTGCTACCTAATGTCAATGTGCAGAGAGTTCTAGAGTGTATGCGTTTTTACAGTGAAGGCTAGTTACCTTGCAAGTGCAGGATGAACACTAGGAAGCATTTGTAGGAATGCCAGTTGCGTGTCTAGACCCCACAGCCCCCCCCCCTTGTAAAGAAGACACCAGGACACAGATAATATGTTAATGTTAATTGGGCAAATTTTGGCCACAACTTTATTGATTACAGACTGTGAGCGGTATTGGCTTAGGCATTGAATGAACCCGACTATATCTGACTCCTGCCCGTTGCGCAGGAAGTGCAGTAAGGGTAAACCACCAGAAAGGGGAGCCCAGTCGATGCAGACCAACTTGAGCTCCCCCAGATGTTTCTGTTGGGGTCGTGTCATGGCCCTAGCCCTGCCCCGGACTTCAGACAAGATCCACACCCCCAGATTCCTTTAATGGAGTACCTTTAAGCTTGGAGGGGCAGGTAATGGCCGCACCTCCCCTCCCCCATCATAAGGTCAAACAATGCCCAACCACAAAACCTTACAAAGTTGTGATGATTGCTACAAGGTAGACGAAAACCACAAGGCCCCATGCCAATTTTGCCAAGTGGAAAAATTCCTACCAGGCCCCTCAACGGCAACCAACCGAGGTCCATAGCAAGGCCGATAAAACAGAAACCCGTAAAATAGGGAGGGAGGGAGTTTAAAGAAGCGAGCCAAGAAAGAGGAAGCCCTCCGGCTCGCGCCTAAGCTTAAATGACCCCGGCCACACACACACCCCCAGCCACCAGATTGGCTAGCTGGATGATGAAGTGGCCGGGATCCCCCGGGCAACGTGGGACTTCGTCCCCCGCCCCCAGAGGAGAGTGGGTGGAGTGAAGTGGAGCGGACTTCTGCAAACAGAAGCAGTCGAGAGGGCATATGTGAGGTAAGGTGAACATTCAAGTAAGGGTTTGTGAAGAGAGGTTGGGGGGACATCCTCTCCAATGCATCAAAGTATTGACAATCCAATTGGCAGGTGAGCCAATCAGACTAGAAGTGAGGTTGCAAGGGAGAGATCAGTGATGAAGCAGCGCTGCTTAGCCTGACGGAGGATAAGAAATGGATTGGGGCAAGAAATGCATTTGGTGTGGATGCCAGTGACCGATACAGAGAAGGGGTAGCAGGAGCTGATAGAAATACAGGAAAGGAAGCAGCAGTAAAAGAGGCAGCAGCCGATCAAGGATGAATCGGAGCATGTGAGAGACAGAGGTGGAATGAAAGAAGAGCGTGGGAGGGAAGGTGGGATGGCAGCCTGGCGTGAAGATGAGAGAGTCAGAGTGGGCGGAGGGGAATGGAGGACAGAACGGGAGCATGAATGTGGGAGTGAGCATGAAACAGAGGAGGAGGAGAAACAAGCCGAGGGCCGGGTAATAAGCA